TGGGATTCAAAGTAGTGGAAGAATAAATTGATAATCTGAAATTGGAATTGGAATAAGTATATATAATTCGATATATCATTCTAGATTGACTTCATGATGAATAAGACGAAGTTAGTTGAGGTTCAAGTGAGTGATAACCAAATTGTAGTTGCAGATACCAAGATAGCACGACAATGGATCGTGGATAGATAGTTTGATTATGACAATTCCCTTTATCCTCTGGGTGTGTTGAACATCATTTATAAGGTATCGCAATGGATCTATTTAGGTATCACTCTACCAAGTAATTAATATTTCATTGACTGGAACAAAGGTGTTATACTTATATCAATCTATATTGTGAGATCAATAAATATATATATATATTAAAGTAATTGTAAATATTTCATATTTTAATAATGAGTAGCAATAGTAAAAAGAACTCTTCAAAACCAGAAGAGGAATACGAAGATGTTGGATATTTTTGTGGCTGTTTTAGAAAGAAGAGTAAGATGGAGCCGAGTAAAACCATGCAAAATTCTAAGGTGCGGCACTCCATGAATAGATCGGATTTGGAAGGGAGTAAACATTATGCTTCCTCTTAATTGAACTTATTAAATTCAACAAATTCAGAATCTCAAAGAAAAGTAAGTGTTGCATCTCCAATAGTTAGTAGTTTTGCAATCACAACTTTTGAAAACAATTATTTGCAAAATTAGTTATTCTTACTAAGAAATAATTAAAGTGGAGAATCTATATTTGCCAAGATAACTCAAATCGATTTACAATCAAAGAAAATGCAAAATTCAGATTTAAAAAAATCAAGACTTTTTGAACAGAAAAATGACACTGAATAAATTCTAAATAGCAAATTTCCAGAATTGACTTCCAAATACATCGCCTCCAGAATAAAGGAATAAATTACGACTCTGGCAGAGTATGGATGCGGAAATGGTGAAAATACAGTTCAAGTATTATACTATTAATAAATTAAAGTTTACAAAATACTTAGACTTTGTAATTGCTATAGATAAAAACACTAATGCTTGTATGTAGACCAAATTGAATTGTGATCAGACTACTTTTAGTCAAGATTTACCAAATCCAAAAGTGGAAATAATTAATGCGGACATTTTCAAATTAAAAAAGAATCTTCCATTTGATAGCATATTCATCAATCCAACCATCAACAATGATCAACCTATCTGCAAAGACATCTTGAAAGAATGTAGTCCAAATCTTAAGGAATTATTGAACCTAATATCAGATCAAATAGAAAATTTGATCATTCAATTCCCAGCCTAAATCGATTATTCCTAATTGCCCCTACTCTTGAATATTAACTAACAATATAGAAATAACAATAAATAGCAATCTTTCATTGCTCATTGCTCATTAGAAATTGAAAAAATTTACATTTAGGGCAAACACATATACAATATTGTGTATTATGGAAAAGTAGCCAATATTCCAAGGGATGAACTCAAATAACTGTTGACAATGCAGATGTCCAATCAGGAAATAAACAAGGATGGATTTAATAAGGTTGTGGCTAAATTAAATGACAAAATTGGTAACATAATTAAATATTCTAATTTAGGCAGCTTAGACCTTATTTATGAATTATTATAAGCACAAAGTTACAAATATAGTTTTGACTAATTTCTAATAGCTGTCTGTGAAAAATATAAGTTGGATTATAATGATTATGCGTTTATGTTATATCAGAAGTTATCAAAGTATCATTAAGTCATAAAAATAGAGATTATTCATAAAATACCTTCAATTGTAAATTAAGGGACTCAAACAATGGCATTCAAGAATCACAGGAATTTGGCTTTAGTCCAAAGTTTTCCTATAGTCTGAATGGGTTGTCATAGAAAGAAGAGGATTGCATAGCAGAAAGCTCAGATAACCTAGATTTGATCGGGCTTAGTAACGGAAAAGCAAATTAATGTAAATGATAATCATTTTATATATTTAAAAATCAGTTACCTTAATTGTTCAAATTTAACTGGTTTTATCAAGATTTCTTTCATTCCGCTTTCTAATGCTTTAAGCAGATTGTTTTCAGAATCATAGGCGGAACACATCACTATATTCAACTTACTATCAATCTATAGTAACTATTCGGAAACTTAATATCCATTCAATCCAGGCATCTCTATGTCCATTAGAATCAATTTATATTGCATCTGTTACATTTTCTATCTATTTTTTACTCTATTAATAGCATCTTACCCATCATAAGCCATTTCACTTTCAGATCCTAGGTTCTTAATTAATAAGTTCAGAGACAACAAGTTGAATGGCACATCATCACAAATAAGAATTGGAGGATTTGTATCATTTTAATGCTATCTTTAAGTAAAGAAGGTTTAGTTCCATAGAGGCATTTAATGATCTTCAACTGTAATTCTTTCATCATACAAATTTCCTGATTCTGGAATTTCATCGAATCTTATAGTAGATCCTTTGAGAGATCTAGCACTGGAATGAATTTGGTTATTAATTCTAAAACTAATTTTAGTATATTCTCCTTCTTTGCTTCTGATTTTGAAATATGACTTTTTGGAATAAGACAATTCGTGATTCATTTTCATTCCAATTGAAAACCCGAGTCCTACATATTTGGTTGTGAAATTTCTCAATTAATAGAATATACTATCATCAACACTTGCATTAACGATATTATTAATTGCTTCTAGATCTACCTTAGAGATTCCTCTGCCAGTGTCATGAACTATAAATTTAATGAAATTAATCAATCCTGAAGGTTTCTATTTTTTCTTAGCTGTAATCGAAATTGTATCATCTAATTCAGTAAATTTTAATGAATTATTAATAAAATTGACTAATAACTGAAGTATTCTTTCAGGGTCATTATTAACTTTGATATTTTCTAGACCATCTGCAATTTGGAAATTTAACTTAATCCCTTTACTTTGACAAATGTCTTAATAATATTCTTCCAATTGATTGTACAAGTCCTTAATCAGAAATTCTTGCATATTTAAATGAAATGTTCCTAAACCAAGTGAAGCATAATCTAAGATATCATTAATTTGATGCATAAGTAGTTTATTAGAAACAATCGAAGGGTTAATATATTATTGAATTAGATTTTCTTAAATGGGTTGGTGTTTTAAGGCTTACAGTAAGTTTAGTGAACAATTCAGAGGAGTTCTTAATTCATGAGAAAATGAATTAAAATACAAAGTTTAAAATTTGTATTTCTAGACAAATTATTATTATTTCTCTATTTCACTGACATCCTAAAATAATGTTAAATAACAATTTTAATTGAGTAGGTTTATCAATTTACAGAAAGTTACTTCAATGGTTTTATCGTGATTGTTTGTACTGAAATTAACTGTTAATTTATTTGCTTTAACAAAACTCCTGTGTTCTAAACTACAGTTACAGATATAATTACAGAGAAGAAGTTTGTGATTCACTAAATAGTGATAAAAGCAACTATTTAAAATCATGTTTGGATAAGTAATTTTTTTTTTTTTATTTCTTATATTAGAATTGCTATTCCAATATCTTCTCACTGAGTGATTAGCATCTTTTCAAATGCTTTTCAGCAGAGGCAATTAATGATTCTATCATCTTACCATCTGCCTTTTATGGTAATTGCTTTTGTGAGGCACGACACTTGATTTCTTTATGCAGCTTTGTCAATGATTCTTCCTGTTCTAAACCCCTAGAAATTCAATAAAGATTTACTGTAGTATCATTTTTTACAACTGCAACATGGCTTAATCATCAGTCTAAGCCATCAATATCTTGGATGCCTTATCATTGATGTACAAAATATCTAAGTTGGTTGAAAAATATATTATTCCTTATTTAATGTGATTCGTAATGTAAATTAACTCATCTTTTTATATGAGATCAATTTTCCTATTGGACATGATCTATTCGGCTGGTACTGTAGAATAAGAATATAAAACTTCATGTGATGTAGCATGCTTGTGTCTTAATTATTGTAGATTCACTAGTTTTATCAAGATTATTAACATCGAGATTAAGGCTGTGATAATATACTGATGTATGAAGGTGTTATTGAGTTGAATCTCTACCATACAATACACTATTGAGGAGTATTGCAAATATTTGTGTTGTTGTGTTGATTGTTCTTAATACAGCAATAGCAAATATATGTAAAAGTGATAAGGATCTAAACTTGAAAAGGCTTACCTAATTTCTGAAGCCAATTATACTTAATTTAGCAGTTATAAACACAGGGTAAGGAGAGAAACCTTAATTTTGTAGTTGATTAAAAAATGACACATCACACTGACCAAAGCTATTGAGAATCTTATTGCTGCTAATATCTAGGTGATCCCTTAATCTGCCAATACTATGTTGGTTATAGCATCGCATCCAATTAGCAAATTAATTGAAATGCTCAAGTAAATATTCATGATTTTTTATACCAAAATTATATCACGTTAATTAATTTAGAATGGAATCAAAGTCATTATTCATCTAAAGTAATTAAGGCTAACTACAATTCAGAAAATCACTATTCAAATCTCTTATCAAAAATTCCAAATTATTGAGCAAGGTAAAAATATGAAGAATTAGGATTGTCAATAATAATTATGTCAGAAAACCATCTGAATAATATTAAGTAATATGAATCACATTTAAAATTATAAATATCATAATATTATAACTTAAAATTTTAATATCATTTGATATTAGATATTCAATGAGATTAATTATAAATCTATTAAGCAAATTGTAAAATTAAAATAGTGTATTATTTACACTATTATTATTAAAAATATTCAAGATTGCATTTTTAAAAATAAGTAAAATGGATACTAAGAGTAGTACAAATAGAATATTATTAGTATCTAATGATTAAAGATTTAGCAAATAGCAATTTCTACTATATGAGATATATATAGATTTTCTATCATATACTTAGGTGTAAATAAATAAGAAAATTTAAATTTTTATATAATTGATATTGAATATGAATCAAATTATGAAATATAATATCATCATAAAGCTAAAAGCAAAGCTATAAGGCTTGTTGCTAACATTAACGAATAATTGGGTAATAGATTGCAAAATCCTCCCACTAATTCATGTGAATCTTCACACAATGTGCATACATCTTAAGCGGAACATGTAACACAATTTGCAGGACAACCTATACAATACATAGTTTCAGCATTAGCAAAGGTGTTTGCAGGACAAGTCTAAACACACTCTATGCCATCTCTATATGTGGTGCAAGCCTTTTCACATGCTCTTCCAGCATAACCAGCGATACATGTGCACTAAAATATTTAATTATTTATGATTACCACTCCTCCTAAACAATATCCCTTCTTATTACATTAATTTGGACATTCGTTCATTGATTTGCAGATATCCTTTGGATTATCTGGACACATAAATCCAAATGAATATTTAGTATTGTCAAAACTTGGAATTGAACCTCCATCACTACAATCATATGTAGTTCCATCAACAATAATGCTCAGTTACTGATCTTCATCGCAGGAATATTTGAAACAACTAAATCCAAGATATAGATAATCTCCTTTCTTAGGCAATCCTCCTCTCACACACATACTATCATATCCAAAATGAAAGTTGGTTCCTTAGAAGAACTTTGCATCATAGTTATCAGCATCCCTGCAATCTAGATCCTGGATAATGTTGTAATATGGACATTCTACTAATCCATCATTTACGCAATATCCTATTCCTGTTTGTGCATATGAACATGATAAATGATTTAAAAAATTATCTGACTTATCCTAAGGATCGTATGGATTTTAGCAGAACTCTTCATAACTAGAATCAGAATAGCATTGCTGCTAATAAAAATCACATCCCTTATCCAAACCCCATAATTAAACATCAGAAACATGTTTGGTTACTCGATAAAATCTAAAAACAATGAGTTTATTTTATACCCTGTATCTTCTAAGATGGCAAATGTAAAATCAGTAAATAGAGTATTGCCTGATATCATCGAACCTGTCATCAAATCATTGTGAAAGATGGACCTTTCAAAATGAGATCCTGCTGTCCCACTTCCATTCTAATCTTCCATCTAATATTTAACTAGTTTAATATACAGTTCCACCCAACAAGTTACAACATCCAAAATGATTCTTTACCAATTGAGTCAGTCTTGGAGTTGGCAAGTCTATCTGTAGATTCACTCGTTAATATACAGTGAAATCATATTTTTAACCAGACGTACTATCAAAATAGTTGTCATATAGATCATCACTGAATCCTAACCCATGTATTGTTTCATGAAGCACTACTTGAACTGCAGCTTCAAACTTTGCATTTGTTCCCTTTTAAAAATTATTCTATTAATACCTAAAATTCCAGCATATAGTGGTTGTTCAATATCATCATCCCAAATATAGGTCTCCCTGTTTTCTCATCAAAAATCACAGGTCCAGCTCTAGCAATATATTCTACTTCAGAATCTGTCTCTTGTGCAACAAAAAATACCTAAAATTATATTCTATATAATTACCAAATCACTGTCGTAGCTCTTTTGGAGAGAAGCAGGCACAATAAGTAGACCCCAATCTGTTTCATAAGTAGATTTCCATTCCAAACTTCCTGTTTGTCTTTTCACCAATAAATGTCTTCCAAAAAATGTCTTACATATTTCAAGAACTGTCTCAGTCTGTTGAATGAGTTCTGTGGGAGGAGTTTCTATAAATTCAAAGTGTATTCTAATGGGTTCCCAAGTAGTTTTAATCTCATCAAGTTTTCGATCTCCTCGATTCTCTCTTAGCTTTTATAATAGCTTCATCTATGATGGTAATTTTATATCCAGGACATCTGAAACAGCAGCGAAACAAATAGTAAAATAGAATATCAAAAGATATTTCATCCTAAAAATAATATTTAAATTTTCTGGGTATATTACTATTTAAATATAAAAAAATTATATTAAAATTTTATATTAAAAATTATATAATAATATATTAATTACAATGTTCGAAAATTCACATACTAATAATTAATTTTCATTCCACTCTTCCAATAAATTCAAAAAATTAACCAAATTTGATCCTCTAATAAAATAAATCAACCAAGTTGTCCCTCAAAATACTTCAAGAGGAAGAAGCTTTAAATGCTATTTATTTAACGCAACTGCAGGATAATGCAAGTTTAGAAGGAAAACTTGCACATGTACTGATTGTGGAGGGACAAATGCATTCGTTGAAAAATAGAATGCTTTGTAACCCATCACTTACATAAGAGCTCATCATATAAAAAAGAGAAAGAGGAAGATGCATCGCAATAAAGGAGGTGGCAGACATCTATCAGCCATGATAACAAGAGTCCCCCTTAAAATTGAGGATATTACGAGACTTATTCCAAAGCGAAAGGAAAAAAAAGCAAAAACATTACTCCAAAACTAATTTATCGAATAAACATTATTAAAATGCAAAAGACTATTAACCAAAGATGACTGTGCTATTGGCTATGAATACTTTTTTGCTAACGAATTGAAAATTGCCTACTAAACGAAAGAATTTTTAACCACTAGTACTTTTGAAAAGACTCCCAAGTAAATAAAACAACAAAATTTTGGAGTCACTGGAAGTCAAAAAACAATAGATGAATCTCAAATTATCAGTGCTAAGAATTTGAATATTAATCAGAGTCAAGTCCTAAATACTCAACTTCCTAGAGTAAACTATAAAATTAAACAAAAAACTTCACTCCACAGTCCTAGAGTCTATCAAGACATACTGTAATCACACAATCTTAAACCAAACAGGACTGTTGATAAATACATATCTCAAAGCACTCATTGTTCACCATCCAACATCAAATTGCCTTTGATTAGTTAGAAGCAAGTAACCTAAACAACAAGAAAGAAGTCCAATCATACTTATTTGAAAGGTTCTCCTTTGAAATTATTGCTTGAATTAAAATCATAGATTTTATTATAAAAAAAAATGAGCAAATAATGAGTTTTTGTTTTTTAACGACTATTTAATACCTTTTATTATTTAATGAATCTCAACATCTCTATTTTACGCATATTTATTAAATTATTTAATAGTATACAATCTCTACCCTGAATTATTTAACAAGTGCACCTATCTATTTAATGGTCTAATTATCTAAATAAATATATCTTCAATATACCAACTAAACCACCTAGTTCCCTATGTTTTTCGATTTAATTGATAATTAGTTAAAAAATCTATCATTTAACTTTGTGATCTTCAAAGATGATATGACATTACTCGTATTCATAAGACATCATTATGTAAAAATATCTGAATTTTCAGTATTGAATATGAAATCTTCACACCTGTTTAGTAATATCTTGACCAAGAGATTATTTAGTTAATGGTTCTGAAATTGTAGGAGTAAAACCTTAGAAATCATGATGAATATTGATTTAATGAAGAAATCGAATTGGATATCAGCAAATGGGTTGATCTGTATTGAAAACAATAAATAGTTAAATTTCTTTATTTTATTATAAATTGTCCTAAGAATATGCAATAGCTTCAACCTCGGATTAGAGCAGCATCAGTTTAAGAACAAGGGGAATAGAGAGCCAAATTACCAAATATATTGACACCTACATTTGCAGATTGGAAAATTATTAGTGATTCTAGGGCTCATCCTTAGATTAGCAGGAGGAATCCTCTTTTTAAATTTGGTTTAATTCCTCCAAAAAAGGCAGCTACTCCCTCTTCATTTGGCAATCAAAATCCTTAAGATTTTAGAGGTCTCAAATCTGAGGAGAAAAGTCAAAGAATGAAAGAAATAATTGTTGAAGATAGAGTTAGCACAACAGAAACAAATAATCTTTTATAATTTAAGTCAGATAAAAGATATTTTCAATTGCGAAATCTATCTGTAAATGGACCCAAACAAAATAATCAATTAGTATAGCTTAAAATAATATTTTCAGTTACTTGAATGCAAATAGTTATTCGACAATCAAAAAAAAGCATTTGAAGAAATATTGAATAAAAACAATTTATATAATAAATATTCTAGAGTAATAGATAAGGAGTAATCCATAACAAATTAGAAAATAATGTAAATTTTTAACTTTTATAAATGAAATATCTACACATATCTTATTAAATCCCTCTCACTATACAAGTTAAACATATCTTATATATATAAATTCAGGAATAATTCCATTTATAATTATTAAGATTAATATTTATTTTATTTATAATTCTTTGATATATAATAAAACCTTTTAATCCATTCACTTATCAAAGATTATAGAGGTTATAAACATCTATTTTTATATGGTTATCCGCAATAGGAACAATTCACCATATTAAAATGGGATATAATTGTATTGTCAATAATGCTTATGATTCCTTTATTCTGATGAGCTTCATATTATAAGTTGTAAGCATCCTCTATTTTTAACAGTTGAGTAGTTGCTCTACGACTTGAGACCAAAATTAGAAACTTAAGAAAAATATCATTATTTAACTATTTTCATCCAAGTATTAAGTATATTTTGAGTATAAAATTAATGATGTCAATTTCAATAATTATTCCCAAATGTCAGGTTTCAGTAATTTATTGAGTGAAATTGGGACTGATTATCACTAAATGTGCTTGAATTATTAATAAATACTCTTTTATGTTATTAACAAATAAAATGGTTTTATGATTAATTTTTATTGGTAAAATAGGACTTTCAAAAATGGACTTAACATAATATATTCTAAGTTATAATTTGTATATATAAATCAGTATATGGTTTGGAAGAATGGATTAGGCTTTTGATACTCCAAATCGATGGCTTTTCTTGATTTGTTATATTTACCAAAATATTCCATGCATGTAAATGTAAATCTTATATTTGAGATAAGATGTATACCTAATGTAATTTCCGAATTTAGCTGTTCTTAAATACTCTCTTGAAATGCCTGTCTTGGCAAGATCATCAGCATAGACGAATATGTCTGAGCCATCCTAGTCCATAACAATAAATCCATAATTTTTATTTTCGTCGAAGAACTTAAGATATCCGGTGCTTCTATTCTTTTTGGGTTATTCAAGAGCGAGTTCTTACAGTAGTTGAGTGACAGAAACTTAAGAGTCTTAAACAAAGCGATTGCATTCCTGAATGATTTGATCTCCTTCAATGTTGCTCTCCTCGATAAGTTGCTACTTATACTAAAAAAATAGTGTCTAATATAGTACATAATTTCTAGGATATGAAGAGCTCTTCTTAATTTATGGGGGCTTATGGACGTGCTCTAATTTGAAAGTATCATAGTCCAAATCATTTTCACTAATGTTAGTCGAGAAATCCTTGAATTCCGATCTAGATGGAGACAATTACAAATCGATCAACTTCACAGGGAACATTTATAGACAGATAATTAAATTATTTATGAATAATTTTATTTATTTTCCTTATATACACTCTCAAACGAGCATATAAATATTCTTCAAAGAAAATCAAAAGATTATTTAATGGGTGCTACCTCAAATTTCAAGTGCATTAGGTTCCATACTCAACATCAATTTAGTCTTATAGTGAATTTAAAAATTACAGCAACATATTTAGTTAAAATATAATTAATTATATCTTATTAACAATAATCTTTATGTTAAGTTTTGTATACTCTAGTGTATTTAAAATTTCATATAATGAAATCATACAAAATTCTTAAACTATTCTAATTCTTCTAAATTAAAAAGTTAGATATTTTGAGTTGATTATTTCATATTCTCATATGCTTATTATTTAATATATCCAAATGACTAAGGATAATATTGAAAAGCTAATGAACAAATAGCAAGCTAATAAATATATAACAGCTACATTATTTAATGAACTACTTAATGATAAATTATTAGATTCATATTTCAAAGATAATTTTATATTTTATTAAATCAATGAATTAAAAAATTGCATTCATTAAATGCACATTCAAGTGGTGTTAAAGTATAAATTGACTAAATATAACTTAAATACTAAAATAAAAAATTAATCAAAATAATTTTTTTTTTTTTCTCGTTTATATTTCTCTAACTTATATTATCACTTGTTGTTTTTGAATTTGATCACCATTTACTATTGAATGCAAGATGTTGGCTAATTTATCTGCTAATTCACAGACTTCGGATTTAGGTGGATTAAATATATAAGCATTGCTTCGAATTCTTTCGACATCATTTAAGATCTAATCCTTACTCCTATAAAAATCATTCTCCAATCTTAATATCAAATTATACAATTACCTTCTTTGAATGAGTGTGATGTAACTCATTAATGGAACAAAATCTAAGTATTCTGGGTACTGTTGGACATCTACTTCATTGGAGAAGAAAAAGGAAATCTTGGTTTACTTTTTTATCATAGCATTAATATCTTTATTAATTTGTTGAGCCTCATTAGTAGTTAAAGCAGATTATAAGGAAGCTCCTTAAATTTCGATAGGTTTATTAGATTTATTGACCATTGAGGCAATTTCCCAGAAATTTAGATGACAATAAGCAATCATACTTTTTTGATTTCTTAGTTGATAAGTGTCGTCACTAATCCTCTTGCATTTTAAGACTTGCCAATCACTGGCATGTAAATAAACATCTGGAGTTTCTTAAGCAATAAATTGGTATTGATGGCCAAATCCATTGTCCTTATCAGCATCAGTTTGGAAGCTTAGTTGTTGTTGATTCAAATAAGGACGAATTTATCTTACACTAGATGCATAAGATTCCTCTAGAATAAGATATGGATCGCAATCATACGAGTAGAAGCATTTGAAGATAAGATCCTTTGTTTGAAGCTCAAAAACTTGTATGATATAGGAGTTTTANATTAGGTTCCATACTCAACATCAATTTAGTCTTATAGTGAATTTAAAAATTACAGCAACATATTTAGTTAAAATATAATTAATTATATCTTATTAACAATAATCTTTATGTTAAGTTTTGTATACTCTAGTGTATTTAAAATTTCATATAATGAAATCATACAAAATTCTTAAACTATTCTAATTCTTCTAAATTAAAAAGTTAGATATTTTGAGTTGATTATTTCATATTCTCATATGCTTATTATTTAATATATCCAAATGACTAAGGATAATATTGAAAAGCTAATGAACAAATAGCAAGCTAATAAATATATAACAGCTACATTATTTAATGAACTACTTAATGATAAATTATTAGATTCATATTTCAAAGATAATTTTATATTTTATTAAATCAATGAATTAAAAAATTGCATTCATTAAATGCACATTCAAGTGGTGTTAAAGTATAAATTGACTAAATATAACTTAAATACTAAAATAAAAAATTAATCAAAATAATTTTTTTTTTTTTCTCGTTTATATTTCTCTAACTTATATTATCACTTGTTGTTTTTGAATTTGATCACCATTTACTATTGAATGCAAGATGTTGGCTAATTTATCTGCTAATTCACAGACTTCGGATTTAGGTGGATTAAATATATAAGCATTGCTTCGAATTCTTTCGACATCATTTAAGATCTAATCCTTACTCCTATAAAAATCATTCTCCAATCTTAATATCAAATTATACAATTACCTTCTTTGAATGAGTGTGATGTAACTCATTAATGGAACAAAATCTAAGTATTCTGGGTACTGTTGGACATCTACTTCATTGGAGAAGAAAAAGGAAATCTTGGTTTACTTTTTTATCATAGCATTAATATCTTTATTAATTTGTTGAGCCTCATTAGTAGTTAAAGCAGATTATAAGGAAGCTCCTTAAATTTCGATAGGTTTATTAGATTTATTGACCATTGAGGCAATTTCCCAGAAATTTAGATGACAATAAGCAATCATACTTTTTTGATTTCTTAGTTGATAAGTGTCGTCACTAATCCTCTTGCATTTTAAGACTTGCCAATCACTGGCATGTAAATAAACATCTGGAGTTTCTTAAGCAATAAATTGGTATTGATGGCCAAATCCATTGTCCTTATCAGCATCAGTTTGGAAGCTTAGTTGTTGTTGATTCAAATAAGGACGAATTTATCTTACACTAGATGCATAAGATTCCTCTAGAATAAGATATGGATCGCAATCATACGAGTAGAAGCATTTGAAGATAAGATCCTTTGTTTGAAGCTCAAAAACTTGTATGATATAGGAGTTTTAATTAACTTGTCTTTTAAAGACTGTATTGATGACAGGGAAAATGTAATTTATGTTGAGGACTTTGCAATATGCGAAATTGGCTGACTCTTAATCGGTTAGAACATCTCCTGGAAAGACAATAGTTTTTTTGGATGCAGAATCAATTGATAATTCTGACAAATCTAAATTTTGTAGACATTTTTAAAGATATTATTCATATCCTTTGGTAAAGAATATTACATCATCTCCAATCTAAGGGGAATTGGTATCATCGGTTAAATATTTATCTCTCACATGATCACCTTGTCTAGTTTAAGCTTATTTTTTTCGTTGAAATTATGCCATACAATTAATACAAATTCTTTTTTGAGTTCCAAAATCTAATTCACTTACGAATAGACGTATCTCACTGCACTCCTAATGAAATGCAGACTTACATTCAGGACAGCGAACAACATTATCCATTAAAATTCTGCATCTAGTACATTATTCTGTTACTTATGACCTATTTCGTCTTAGATCGTTTTGTTGTCGATGACTGTTCAGGATGACTAGTCTACTTTATTAGTTTCTTTGATTTCTTCTTGATCTTGTCAATAAAGGAGACTATTCTATTTGAGCATCTTCCTTCATATTTTAGTTACTTTATTTGCTTATTTTTTCTTCGCTTTCACTTTCACTTTCGATTACTTTTTTTCTTCTTTGACTCTACTTTTTAGATTCATTATTATTATTAATTGATTGCTGAGCCACTTACTATGATATTTATGAGCTACTATCTTCATCATCCTTAATTAAAGCCCTCTTAATTAATTCCCCTGACTTTTGCTCAGTCTTTTTGATTAATTTGACATTATGATTAGAAGGTGATCTTTCTGGAATTGGTTGATTGGCTACATCAATTATTTCACCTTCTAATTTTTAAATTCTAACTTGATCTTAAATTCTCATTTATTCTTTAATATCATGAATTATTTTAATTTCCATTTACTTCATCTCTGCAAAGTAGCCTTAAAACATTTCTTCATTTTTCATGTTGTCTATGGTTATTCCTTTGGACATTTGTATATAAGTAAATAACTTTGGTTTCTAGAGATTGACACTCTTTTTGCCTTGATAATCTTAAGATATCAAATAGGGAAAGAGAGTCTTAAAATTATTCTAGAAATGATAATGGTATGGCATTCTATAGAAATTGCAAATACTTCCCCTATCCACATAACAAAATTCCATATCAGAATCTAATGCCATAACTCTAAATCCATCGGACTCATCTATTATTGGATGTTCAGAATCTGATACATAAAACTATTCAACAGGAGTTTAATCGAAGATCTCTTGCACTCCATAACCATAAATAGAAAATGACCCATAATCGGTAGATACTACAAAAGTCATTCCATTTGGACTGAAACATCCATCTTTCAAAGGAACCTCTAAATTTGGTAATTTCAAATGATATCCTCTTTCATGAAACACTTTTAGAGGTATTCCTTTTTGGACATTCCATAAAATAATTAATCCATTTTCATCAGCTGACAGTGCCACTTCCTCAAAAATAGGATGAGCTTCCAAAAACACAACATGAGAATCCAATTTCAATTATGATAAACTCTCTTAATCCATACAATGAATGACTTAATTCTCATGTGTTGAATACACTTGAATTTGAGTCTTTGATTTTTCCTCATCTCCTTTCTTCTTCAATTTCTTACTAAATGAAGCCAAAGCATAAGTACTTTTGGCAGACCAAGCAATAGCAAAACATTAGATTTCGCCTACTCTTCTCCCTTCCGTAGATTTATACTTCAATAACACTTATGATCTGTTATGTTGATTGGCTGCAATTCCTCCTTCTTACCACTTCCATAATCGAGCACTTCCATCAAAAGATGCAGTTAACAATTGATCACCATCCTTAGACCAACGAGCCAAATGAACTGTGCCAGAATGTTCTCTCCATTCCACTTTGTTTATTGCTTTTGACAGATTTTCTGGTTTATCAAAGATTATTATTTCGCCTTAATCTGTTCCCATTGCCAAATATCCCTGCTTATTGAATTCCATACACAATATCCCATTTACCTTGCCTTTATTTGATTTATTGTAATTCACATTCAATCTAATGATATCTGCCTCATGTTTAATGGCAGATTACTTAATTTTCGTATTGAACTATGTGCCCAATATGCTCCCATTGCATTTAATCAAATCCTATACATCATAGATATAAACATAACCCTTCTCACTTGCAACAGTCAAATAGTTTACATTTTCTGAATTACTTTGATAAAACACCAAAACTAATATCGGATCATCTTAAGCTTCCTATTTCAATACAGCATATATGTACTTTTAGTGCTGCTACAGGTTTACCAATCTAAATATCCCAAACGATCACCAGACCATCATTACTACAAGATGCCAAATATTTGTTACAATAACTAATATCCATTGAATTTATTGCCATTGTGTGACCTTTCAATGATTGCAATAACAACCCATTGGATGCTGACCATATCTTTATCAATCCTAAATCATCTCCAGTCAACAATAACTAACCGGTTCTAAATAGTCTACATATCATGTTTTACCTGTCATATATTACATTATACACTGGTATGTATGGATCCTCCTGATCTTAATTGTCTGGATGAAGAGCATGTCCGAAACAAGTCTTTAATTTTCGCATGTACTCAACCGGTGATATATATTCTTGGCGCACAACTCGACCACCATTTAATTATTAAAGTGATTATGATTTGTTCTTTATGTGTTCGAATCTTGATTGCCTTTTGGGCTCAGGTGTCTCACGAGCTATATATTATTGAAGCATCTTTTGGATGACGCTTTCATGAGAAGGACTCAATTTTGTAGAGATTAAATTTTTAAGATTCAAATCTAGACAGATGCATCATAAATTTATGTACCATTAGCCTGTAGAATGTGCCCACGCTTATGGCCATTCTTTTGATTGAAGAAATTCTCCAATCCCTCTAGAAGATGTTTTTCACATTGAAGCTCGTGCAAGTGATTCAGGATCATTTAGGCACAGATTCTCTGCTGCTGACTCTCTAAAATGGTTGACTTTTGCAGCTTCTTTGTGTAGTATGATATCAATCGTGCTTCTATCAACTTTTTTCCTTGGTTCTCTTCAAAGCTGTTTTACATTCCTGAAATGCATAATTCTTACAAAAACTAATACCTTATTCTAGTATAAAAAATTAGAGGCTTTAAATATGATATTTTAATCAATTATTTAATCATAGATGTAGGGGGTTTAAATACAAATAGGAATGGTTCCTAACTAGATTGGAAAACACGAACATAATATCATCAAAAACAAAAAAAACACAAATCAGAAAAATAGAACATTTCTCTGCCGCCTTAATTAGATAATTTTTTATAATATATTAACTTTATAAATTATAATTAATTTGCCAAAAACTCTCTATTTCTCTCCTCCAAACCCTTTGATTTCTATGAGTTCACCCTTAATTCCTTATAATATACCACAAAAGCCTATTTTACACCAAATTAAAAATTGATCGTTACTTTTATATCTCCCTATTATTTCCCTTTGAAAAACTCTCAATATACTTATAAAATGCTGTAATTTCCATCTGACAACAAAACTCTTACATTAATTCTTATATTTTGTAATTTTTTGATCTAAATCATCTTTGAATCTAATCTAATAAGTATTTGAACTTTGGCATCCTTATAGTCTCACTGAAAAATGGTTTCTTATGGGCTTCAGAGATGAGAAGAATCATTTTTTGTTAGAACTAAGATTTATTCTCTTTATTATTTTGAGGAATTAATTTATTTTATAAGAAGTTTTAATAAAGTAGTTTTTGGAATCATTTTTACTATTTAAAATATCAAGATAATCAATAATGACATGACACTTAACGTTAAACAGCTTTACAATTAAGAAAGTATAGATTTGATTATATAAATACTGCCTATTTAATCAAAAATGAAATGAAAAATGATCATCAATTCAATTATGATACAATAACGACAACAAGTAATTACTATATAGCTTACCTGTAAAATTGTGAAACTTAATTGAAATAAGACGTAAATATGAAATTTATGAAAAATTTGACCAAAAAATTATTGAAATAATGAATATCAACATTATCCTTTTAAACTGTTTTGTTTAATTGTAAATATATGAAGTTAATAATTAAATACAATGTAATTCAACTATTATGATATAATTTATTCATTGGCTTAGTATCTAAATTTTCACTATAGTCTGTTCTGTAATGATTTGCTCCTAATCTATTTTATAATTACAAGTGAAGATGACAGCATGTTTATTTTATAATGATTAATTTTTGATAATGCCTATGATAGATGGAGAAATCTAGATTTTATGTTCCCTGCACTTTGGTTAAACCCACAATTGCTGAATTATATGTTATTTTACTTATCTTTATCAGTATTATTAACGGTATAACACATGCTTGTGATTGCTACAAATTCTGTTTAAACTTTACAATTGAAATTGTTGTATTATCTGGATTTCCATTTTGAAGTTACTTAAAACTTCAACAAAATAATCATTAGAAGTAAATCATCTTAATCAAATTGTGTAATTCCAAATAATCCTTAATGCTAATACTACTCATAAAGATTTATTAAATACATGTTTAAGTTCTAGATGTTATTGCTAATTGAATATTAGTATTCACTAATAAATCCAGTTTCATAGTGTATAAAGTTGGAATTTACCCCTTTAATGACTTGATAAAAAAATGATTGAAGTGTAAAAAATCAATTGTAGTTAATAACATATATTTAAATTCTGAAAATAATTAAGTTATATTAAATTATCATTTCAATTATTTCCTAAAACAATATTTAAACAATCCTATTTTAGAAAATATCAAGATTAGAATTATAATATAATGTCAATAAATGATATGACGATTTTATCCTTAAAAATTATCAAAAATAATATGTTTTGAAACTTATTTTTTTCTAATTCTCTTAAATATTTTACATCATTAAAAACGTAACAATTAAATCTCAATAAATAAATTAACATTGAGATTTTAGGAGGATTTTAATGATTACTAAATTTATCTAATTTAAATGGATCAAATTTCTGTTAAAATTCTTAAAATTGCCTGGTATTCTTAATTAAAAGCGAATTGTTAAAACTAAATGATAAAATTATTTCATCGTTATTTCATCGATTTATTTAAATTTAATTTAAACGAAATCTATATAATGATGATATCATTAAATTATGCTAAATAAATTAAAAACTAAAATGGGCTTATTGAAAATCATGTATTTAGATTGAATTGTTGAAAGTATTCAACTGACTAAATTACAGTTTGTAGATTTATTTGAATATTGCTCAAATAGTTTAAAATAAATTGATAAATATCAATAATTTTTATTATGTTAAACAAAAACGGAACATACACAAAGTCAAAATTTAGTTCAACAATGAGTATCTAAAGTGGAGATAACAGAGTGAGATACTCTTAAGCTCCAGAGGAATTGGGAAAAAGAGCCAAATTACCACTTGATATTACAGTGTTTGTGATGGCAGTAGAGGTTGAGAGATTACAAAGAGAAAATGCGTAATTGAAATCAGAGCTATAACTAAATAGTGACTCTAATTTGGATAGAGTTCAATATGAGAGCTAGATAAGGGATTTGATGGAAAAGATTAGAGTGTAAAGCAAGTAATCATTTATAGTGATTTTCATCGTTAGTTCATAGAGTAATCTATTGGTGGATATTGAAAAGTTACAACGTAAAGTATAGGATTAGGAAGATCAACTTAGAAGATAATAGTAATCATAAAAAGAATTTGATCCAAATTTGAGAACAAAATTGACTTAGGCGGAACTCTAATTGGCAGCATTTTAGAAGTAATTAAACTAATAAGTGAATCTATTTGGTGGGCAAAGTGCAGATTAAATAATGAGAGAGTTAGAAGAATTGAGGAGAAAGAAATCTTAATTCGAGGATTTTTCTAGGTAAATCAATGGAAGGAATGTCAGTAATAAAATTAAATTAAAATAGATGAATTGCTGAGAGAATTAGATGATTTAAGGAGGAAATAGACATCCTTTGAAGATACCAGTGTATTAAGATAATAATTACTTTAATCTCAAAATCGAGTTAAGTAATTGGAGTAAAAACTATCAGAGATGGATTAGTATATAACATAGATAGAATCTGATTTGAATAGATTTGAATCTGAGAATCAGAGATTAACAATAGGAATGTCATAAAAGATTTAGAGTGAGAATAATGAAGCAATTTTACTAAGGAATGAAATTGCTAAACTAAATAACGAAATAACTAAATTATGGTCAGATAATGAGACTCTAGTCCTTGAAATTGATTCATTACAAACGAAACTCAGATCCTTTAGTGAAGAAGAATTGAGGAGATTGAGAAATGAAATATCGAGATTATAAGAGTAGAATAATCACTTGCAATCTTAAAACCTATCATACATGTCAGAAATATCTCGACTTAATATGACAATGGAACAAAATCAATATGCAATTAGTGATGCAAATAAATAGAAATATATCTTTGAGGAATACAAGGAAAAGATAAGACAATTTGAATTGAAATTTTAAGAATTGCAAATGCAAAATGAGAGATTAAGATAACAAGATCATAAAGTGGCTGTTCTAACAACTGAAATTGAAAGATTAAATAATTTAATAAAATAATTAAATACAGATGCAGATGATTGGAAATAAAAGTATTAAAGAATAGAATTAGCATTGATGGATTATAGACAAATAGAAAAAACCAATAGAGATGCTGTTACTAAAAATGAACTACTCCTAGATGAAATTGAAAGATTAAAGAAAATATTAGAATAAAAGCAATATGAAATGGATCAAATAATCAAACGAAACGACCTCATTGAATCTCAGATAAGTACCTATCAAGTTAATGCCAGTGCAAGTGTCAGCAGAATCTAAGAGTATGAATCAACACAAAGAGAAACGTCTACAATTTTACAAGATAATGAAAGATTAAAAAGATAACTCCAATAATATTCATAATAGATTTCTACTCTCCAAACTCAAGTCTAGGAGTAATCTACAAAGAATCAATAATTAATTACTTAATAGTAATAAAGCTACTTGGTAAATAACAATAGTGCAGAAATAGATAAATTGAAAAGACAGATTCATGAATATGAAAATAAGATCGCCATGTTATCTCTTGAGCTTTCAAGAATTAGAAACACTAAGTAGAATTCAAATTCATTTGATAAATCTGATAAGGTTATGGAACTCTTATCCATAATTGTCATAATGTCTGCTGAATTAGATAATCTCAGAGGAATTACTTACGAAAAAAGCACTGTGTAATCACAGAGATTACAAGACAATACTTCACAATCTGTTCGCTCTCAATCAATTAATAATTAATAGGCTAATTATTCATACAGTAATTGGAAACAGAAATGAGTGATATATATATATATAAGTAATTTTATTTTAGTCAGCGCTGTGGAGTGTAGAATCGTTAATCATTTCTCTAACTCCTTTTCATCATATATTAGGTGAAGGTAAGGATCACCTACTGATGATTAAGATTATCATTAATAATAAACCACTATATAAATTGATATTAAAACCATGATTTTATGGGTTTAATAATAACATCTTAATTTCATTAATTATATTATGGACTATTTGAGCGAAGCATTTAAAAACATTGAAGTTTATTAGAATGGACAACTTATCTATTATCAGCATTAACAACCAGAGAAAGAAGATAATTAGTTGATGGAAGACCTGATTACTAAATTTGATTTTAGTTTGGATTAAACTAACTAAAAAAATCAAATCATTGATTAATTTTCACAGTTGAACTTCCAAGACAATTGAAATTTAGATTTAATTAATAATTATAAATCAATGTTCATTCTCAAGCTAAAAAAAAACCTCTGCAATAACTTCCAATTTAATTGGTTTTGGTATGAAAGCATCAAATCCAAGCTTTTCACATTTCTCCTATTCAACCTCATCATCAAAACCAGATAAAGCAACCAATTTAACATCATCGATCTCTCTATTATTGATCTAATAATAATAATAGCATCTATTTACCATTGTTCTTATATTTTATGCTGCTTACCATCCATTTAAAATCGGCATATATAAATCCATAAACACGTACCTAATATTCAAGTTCTTTTGGTTTTATAAGAGCTAACTTATACTTATTAAATTACTTTGTTTATAGCTTGTTATCCATTATAAGCTTCAATAATTACCAATTCGGATATCAGATCTTAAAGTAAAGTCTTAAATGCTATCAAGTTGAAAATTTGATCATCCACTAATAGAATTCCAAACTTTTTATTTTACAATACTTATTTTAACCTTTACTTTGGATCTTAGACTTCTTGTGAATCCTCCTTCTATAAAGATTTTTATAGAAATAATTTTTAACCCAAAGATTGAAGTTAAATAATATTCCTTCTTTTTGTTTGATCGACATCTTCCGAGGATGGTTCATTTAAGTCAAGTTCAGTTTTCTCCTAAGGTTTTGTATAAATTCTTAGAAGAGAAGATCTCACAATTACTTAATGAGTATCTTTCCCATTCAAGGAATCCTCATGTTACTAAATACTAAGATGCTAAGAGGAGTGCTCCTATTTAAAACAACTGATATAATTTGCAGACCTTATAGAATTATTATCCTGCAATTTAGCATAAATCTAAAACGACATTTTAGTTCCCACATTCTATTCACTCCAAAGATCTATCGATTCGGATGGGCCCAACAGACCAACCAAGTTTTTACAAACCATCAACCCAATTCCAGTCCCACTTTTATTTTCAATCTTTTAATTTGAAAAAGTTGCAAACAAATTAAATAGTTGTGGTTTAATATTGTCTGGGATTCCGCAACCAGTATCTTCAATAGATATTGAATATATTAATTTGTTTACAGAACTCTACTAGTATCTCCCTTGTAGGCTTTTTCTAATTTATTAGATTGTTTAATCTCCCACTTAATACTGTATGTTTCTAGAGGTATTACTTCTTTTAATATTTTATGATTTGTCAGTATTGAGTGAAGAAACAGTGATAGTAATACTGCCTTGTTCTGTAAATTTTAATGAATTTGATAAAAAATTCATTATTATTTGTTTAATTCTATTAGGATCTGAATGAATTTGATAAGAGGGAATGTCATAATATGTTTTAATTTCAACTCCCTTTTGTTCTGCTTGAATTGAACACATCTCAATTACCTCATCAATTATTTCATTGATATAAAAATCAGTTAAGCATAATCTTAACTTTTTTTTTTGAATTCTTGCATAATCCTAAATATCATATATCATATAGAGCATTAAGTACACGTTTTTCTTAATGATATTATGATAATATTTTTCAATTTATGTAATTTCACTTTTACAATCTAGGGTCTCCAAAATGGAGACAATGCCATTGATTGGAGTTTTGAAATCATGAAACACTGTTGCTAGAATGAGATCTTTATTTTCACTTATTTATTATTATTCATTTAATTGTTATTATAAATTATCTAATTACTTATCTATCTCTTTGTTCTACAGTACTATCATAAAGGCTTATTTTCGAAACCATAAACAATGATTTAAATTAATTTTCAATGTCCTCTTCTTTAACTAGACTAAAGATATAGTTCTTTAACTTTAACTTTTAATCAATAATTCTTCTATTATTTTAGATTTTTAATTCTTAGGGGTCTCCTCACTCATTATAATGGAGGGTTTAGAATATAATTGGTTTTTTGGAGTTTCAATAATAATTTCATTATGAATTTTGTGTTCTCGCTCTTCGTTGAATTCATCCTCAGGATATTCAAATTATTCTGAGAGTTTCTTTAATAAGGGACTCTGTGAAAAATACTGGCAATTGTCCATAATTTCAGAAAATAGATTCTTGAAGTGTTGACGAGCACTATATATCTGAGGGAAGAAACTACCAATGATACTTTGTAATTTGATTTTGTTTTCAGAGTAAAAACAAAGGAGACACCTTATAAATTCATCTGAATGAGGGATGTCAAATTTAAATTCAGTTTCCAGATTTTTGGTATGATAGAGAGGCTTATTTGTTTGTTTGTCAATTACTAGTATTGATGCAGGCAAGGCTTCCTTAAACAATTCCAATAGATCATTAGCATCTTCTCGTTCTTAAATCTAAAGCTATGTTTGATTTTACAATAATGATTGGTGCAAAGACAATTCCAACATATGACATTGCATACTAGTACTCATCAAATCTTGCTATCAAATAAGTAAGGCAGATGAAAAAGATTAGCGATTAAAGTATTTATATTTACAGAATCTAGAGTAAGGCAAAGAGTTTAAGTAAAATGTAAATGAAAGATCCCTTGGTATAATTTAAGCGTAAATACTTCATGTGCACTTTCTTTCAGCATCTCAATCTCAATTATAATCATGATCATTTAAGTTACTGCCAAATAATAATCGTTTGTTTAACTGATGAACTTTTATCTCCATTCCAAAATCAAAAATATTATAGAGAATAGTAAATCTAATAACACAAACAATCCAGAATTCAAACTAGCAATTGTTTGTGTTAGACCCAAAATCAAAATAATCAGTGAAGCAATAATATTGCATAAAGTAAATTTTTGTTATCCTCCTATTTTCATAGTATCGGAATAGAATGATAAAAATAAATAATGATGATAATTACTTTTAAATTTCGTATTTTTAGGATATAATAAAATCAAATAAAAATATTAATATTAATTAGAACATACTCTGAATAAAATTGTAAGACCTTTCAAACTTTGCATCTAAATATTCTTCATCTATTTCTTGGCTATGAAATTGTTTTTATTTTTAGCATAAACTCGCTTTCATCTAATGTTATATTCATTTTAAAGATCAACTCAATACTTCTCCATGATCATTGCATTTAGCCAAATGTCCATTTAATTCACCTGACCAATTTTAACAGCTTAAATATATGGTTTTAGCTTTAAAAAATATTTTTCTGCCTTGGCTATGCTAATTTAAATTCAAAATAGAAAATTGTTATAAAGTCTGATTCAACCCCAAATATTTTACTCTTCGTTCTTTCAATAATCAAATATATAATTGAAGCAGCAATATACAATATCTTATCACAAGGATTAAACTATAATATATCACGATAAAATATAATTTTGCTTATTCAAGAATACCATTATTTACTTTGCAAATAAGATATTCAAGTTCCTAAACATATTCAAACCTAATTAATGCTCAACTATATAAGCAAATTAGATATAAAGTAATATTGAAACAAATAAGAAAGAGAGATCATTTTTATTGCTTACTAATATGCTTCATTTAGCAAATAAAATTTACCTATTATAATGGCTTAATTTTATTTCGATAACTTTTTTCAAGAAAAATGATGCTTTGGAAATTTTTTGAGAGTTTTATCATTAGCAGTTTTAGCAATGATGATGATAAATTATATCTATTCCAAATTTACATAGCTTGAATATCATTTCTTTTCTACTAAATCACACAAAACAGGTGCATACTTGATAATTCATTAACAATTCAAGAAGATCCCTATAAATCATATTTGCAACTAATGTTTACAAACGATAGTAGGAAAAGTAGATAATAAAATTTTTGTGATTCCCATTGTCATGATAAAGGCTAAAAACTTAAATTAGGAGACTCGCTAATAAAAGCGATTGAGTCCCATTGATTTATCATTTCGTAAACTAAATTTCTTATTACTATAAAATTATATAAATTAATGTGAATTAGAACTGAAAAATGAGCCATTCATGATAATCTTAGACATAGAAAGAGAGTTTAATATTCATTGATATTTGCACGAATAAAATACAAGTAGATGAAACCTGTCTTTTCAATACTTTCATTGATAATTTTGTTAATGATGCTAAAGAAATGGAATTGGGATTAGGAGCCTTTGGGGTTATGAAAAAAGTATTTGATAAATAGCGATCTAAATCAGTAGCTATAAAGGAAATTAAGCTAATTGATTAAGGCGTTTCAAATTCGACAATGAGAGAAATTTTGTATATTATAAATGTTAAAACATCCAAATATTTTAAAGTAATTTTGTAATCCTAATAAAGTTTGATTGAGACAAAGTATTTTATTGAACAATAGAAGATATTCCTTGTATTCGAATTGATGCAAATGATCTCAGTAAATACTTAAATGAGGATAAACCAATAGTTTAAATTGGATAAAGCAAATCATATATTAAATACTTTTTGGTTTACCCTATTGCCATGGTAAAAGAGTTTTACATAGAGATCTTAAACCACAAAATATTCTATTAAATGGAATGACAATAAAAATTGCAAACTTCGGAATGTCCAAAGTTTTTCCAATTTAAATGAAAAAATCCTCATCAGAAGTCTTTACTCTATAGTAGAGTGCTCCAGAAATTCTACTCGGAGATGATAATGAAGGAACTGGTGCTGATGTATGGGCTTGGTTGTATTATGGCTGAATGTTTAACTAGATAACCACTTTTTAGAGGAGATAGCTAAATTTCTATGCTATTTAAAATCATGGAAGTAATGTATATAATTCTATGTTTAAGTTGCTTGGAACTCCATCTGATGATAACTATTATCAAGACTTCCCCATTTTAAGATGAATTTTCCAAATTTTAATGCCAAAAAATTGACTTCAGTTATTCCAATATTAGAAAATGATCAAAATGCCCTGAAAGTTCTACAGGCTATGCTGTAATTCAATCCAAGCAAACGACCATAAGCAAAAGATTTATTAAATTATAAATGGTTTGATGATATAAGAAATGCTCATTGATTTTAATTTCATTAAATAAATATTGAATTTTAAATTATTAACCACTTTTAGCAGTACTTTTGAATTACTGTTTTTTTTTTGTGATTTGATAACTTAGTGATTGTTATTCTACAATTTAAAAAGTTAATAATGTAATCATACAGAATATTAATTTATTGATCTAACCAGGTTATGTTACAAAATAATCATTGATTAAGTTAATTTTATTTCAAATTTAAATAAATTTATTATGATAAACTTGATCTGATGAAATATGAGAAAAAATTTTTTTTAATATTTCCTATAAAGAAAAACTTTCAATATTAAAACGGAATCACTGTTTTTCTTTTTTCCAAAATTAATTAAAACCCATTGTTATTCAATATCTAATAATGTATGAAAATACTGTCTCAAAACTCTAATTTTTGGGAGATTAATATGCATATAATTAATATATATTAATATTTTGAACAATTTTAGTAGAATACATCTGAAACAGACTAAGTCAGGAAGTATTTTATTATTCCTTTCAATTTTTTACAATAAATCAATATTTAATTTCCAAATATTAATAAACTAAATGATTTAAAAATTTGAAATAAATTTATGTTGAAAAAATAATTAAGAAAATTTTGACATATTTATGGAGCGGATAAATGTAATCAACATAAATATAAAAAATATAAATTTATTATTATTATTATGTATTTTTATTATCTCTAATTTGAAAATGATAAAATTTAATTTATATTAATATAAAAATGGCCTTAATTCATAATTAAAATGATATGCAAAATATTTTTAGCAAGGCAGGAAAGATTACTTCGGAGAAATATATTATATTTTAAAGAAAAGAAGAGATTTTTAACAATAGACCCAGATATTTTAATGGGAAATCTTAATCTGTTGCGTCTTCAGAAGATGTGAATCAACAATCTGACAAGAAAATGCCAGAAATATCAAATAATAAATAATAATAAGAGTAAATTACAGAAGCAGAATTGATTTAACGCAAAAATTAAGTCAAACTTTCCCAACCATTCTCAAAACAACTGTCCAGATAAGTAGGTCATTACACAAAACTGAGTAAAGACAGTAAACCTTCTTGTGGGTAATATCATGTTAAATACAGTGAACTGGATAAGTATGTATTGAAATAATGATTAAAAGGGCAATTCATTCAATTCATGATTATGATAAATCCCTCAAGCATACAATACCTTTAGAAGTTCCTGGGAAGCATGGAGAACCTGAGAATATGGAGTAAGTAATTGATATATGAATAGCAAACCTGTAGTGGATAGGCCCAGATTTTCTAGAACTTGTTTTATTGATCTCGTAAGATAGTCACCTAGGTATAAGTTTGCAAAAGATCATTAGACCTGACATCTTTTTTGGAAGACCAACTCCGCATCCAGATAGATTTACATATTTGAAGGTGACAGACTCATGGAGCAAGATTCCCCGAACTCCATCAGTCTAATTATAAAAACAATTGTCAAGAGATTAAATGATTATTTATAAAAAGAAATAATTTGCACCAGATTATCACCCAAATTTTGAGTTTGGTAAAAAGTATATGAATCGATCTATAAATAGATAATTGGGTAGCTGCGGAGCACCATTCGATAAATTAGAGATGAGAAAGGATATAATGACCAAAATACCTCCTTATAATCATGAAACATATTTTGAATATGATGTCTATTCAAAGGATCCGAATAGTAAACTTTTTAGAAACCCTACGGCTCCAAATTTTAAATAAATGTTGGATAGGGAGTAGGATGGAAAATCTCTTTTGCCAAGTTTTATGCAGGTAATAATAATTTGGAATTTATAAGAAATATTCGAATACTCGTATGGGTATTACTCATTTACATCAAAAAATGCTTGAAGTCAACAATTTTAGAGATGGAAGATTTCAAACTGTTACTTCGAGTTTCTTACCTAGTAAGGCATTCAAAAAAAGACCATAATTGGATGAATCAAGTGAAGAGATTGAATAAATGGAAGAATAGTGATGATTAAATTGTTTTATAATTATATTGAATGAATAAGTATCAAATTTCTTTAAAAATTACTTAAAATTAATTATAAAATTAATAATTAAATAACTACCTTAATCCATTTCAATATGTTAATATTTGTTTATTTTATAAAGTTTTTATATTATTTGATGTATTTTCGTATTTGAATTATAATGGAATTGTGTAATATAGTAATTGTTTTTTCGAATTGAATCCCTCAACATAGCATTATGAATTGCAGTATCTTTTTAGACAAGAATATAACTCAACTTTTTTAATATGCTTCCATTTATCTTTTAATTAGAGAAATTAAATGAATACTCTTATGCCATCAAACTTTAATGACATTGGCGTCCATCTCTCTGGGATAGCTATTCATGTAATTGAATAAATAAAAAATCAAAATGAGTAGATTCAAGGAATGTACTAGGAAAGGTAAAAAACTATGGAAAAATTACAAAAACAACTTGAGAAGATGAATCATGTAATTTCTAGGATGTGTGATAAATAACCTCAACAAACATCTGACTAGATTCAAATTCTTAAGAATCAGTAATATAAATATGAACTGTAAATGGAAGAAGAATTAGAGCTTCCATGCTACAGAAACAGAATTTTTCAAATCAAACTAAAGCTAGTTTAGAATGAAACAACAATAATCAATGTAAATAATCTCCTTGTTGAACTGCAAATGTATGAATATCAGGTTATTTTAGTTGGACTTACGACAAGATTCCTAAAAAACTTACCCATAACAATAAAAATCAATCAATCTTCAAAGGCTGCTAATAAACTGTAATAAAAAAAGGCTATGGCAGACTTAGCAGGATTCAGATTAAGGAAGTTTCCTCCCATTTTCCAAAAGGTACATTTATGATGATTATTTTGCCAATTGATGACGGTGCCGTTATTGGAGAAGAAAGGTAATGAAATACAATTATTTTAGTAAATTTATCATAAAAAAAGAGTGGATAAAGCCTCTCGTTATCAATGATGTTTCAATAAAGGCAAAAAAGTTTTCAGATAGACATAATCCCTATTATGCCAAGTCTGATGGAACAATTAATATTTTGGAATAGGAATGATTTCTTTTTATCATAATATTAACAATATAAATATTCAACATAAAAGTAAGAGAATAGTACTTCAGAAGCATTCACCTTCTAGAGGAACATTTGAATTTCTGTCCGTTTTAGAGGTATTTTTTTGAGGACTTTTACCATTTATTTGTGATTTAGAAGAATATTCATAACTTAAGCAAGTAACCTACTCTAAAGCCGTCTTTTTTGCTCAATAAAGCTGATCATTGAGCTTAATTAAAGTTTAAATTAAATATTATGAAATATAGTCATTAATGCGCTTCATATTAAAGTATTCGTTTTATATTAATTTAGGTTTAATATCTTTAAAGCAGATTTCTCATATATTTTAGGATCAAAGATTAATTTATATTCAGTATATTTTGGGATTAGTGTTAAATTCAGATTGAAGAAAGAAAGGAATATGTTGGTGAGATTTAATTTTGAGAATTTATTTTATATAAAATTTATTATTTTTTAATATAATAATTAATTTAAAAAATTTTAATTGAACAGAACTTTAAAAGGCACCTGAAATATTTCATTTATTTTATTAAAAAATAAATGGAAGATAAAATAAATAAACTTTTTGCTTTATTCAATGATTTCAAGAATCAGCAACTCTTTAGCTTGGCTTTGGCTCAAATAGTGAATGTGTATAATGATTACCCTGCCTGTTTGTATTAAATATTAAGAAAAACAAACAAATTAATATATTCAAGAGCCCAAGATCCTCGTCTTCGTTTAGAGCATTCTCAAATTGCTGCTGCAATAATTGAAAGAACATACAAGATCTACAAGTAATTTCATTGTTATTCAATGTAGTGAACGACTTGAAGAATATTTGCTATCATCATCTAATGACTCTATCCCTGAAAACTTGTTTCATTTTGAACCAATATTGGATCAATAAGTAGAGGATGCTATGCAGTAAGAGTAAATTCGTGATTATGAGGAGATCAAATCAAATATTAAGCTAAAGAGTGAATAAATTGATTTCATCCATCTGATCAACGATGGGAGTGCAATTCTCGGAAAAGACATGAAATACTTAAAAAGATCACAAGAGAATAAAAATTAGAAGTTAGACGATGAAACTCTCGACATAAGATAAGAGGAAATCATGAGATTGATGGGTTTGTCTGGGAATTTTAATTTGTCAAATGTTACCCGATTATTGGAATTTATGTAAGGAGATGCAGAGATACCCATAGACATGAATTCATCTTCTGATGAAATTGTCGAAAGTTCTAGCGATGACGATGCAGTAGGCTAATACAAGAAGAAAAGTAAGACTAAGGGTAAATTACCAGAAACTAATCTCAAAAAGAAACCATCTGCTTAAAAGAAGAATCAAACTACAAAGTATTGTGTAATAAACCCTTTTAATGTTATTTACAACAGAGCAGTCTATGAATTGATGAATCATAAATGGCAAGAAAGACATGCAAGTGCTCTGGTTTTGAAATCAATTGTTAGACAAAAAGGATTTTTAAATTTGGGATTCAGCTATTTGATAAAAGGTGATGAAAAGGAGATTAATGGTATCTTGAGAGCCAGTCTAATCGAATACATAAGTGATAAGAATGGTTAATTAAACAAATTAGAATATTTATTGACAAGATGCTGTGTATTAATTGTGATGGATCGATTTGCAGACTATTTTGGAAATTAAACAATCATGATTGTAAGAGAAGCAGCCTGTTAGACTGCTATCACACTGCTAACAGATAGAAATTACAATACTAATATTTGGATTCATTATCCAGATAGTTTTATGAAATTTGTACTGTTATTGAAAGATTTCATTGAAGAGGGATAGAGAGTATAGATATATGAAGTCTCCTAAAGTGCTCTATTTTTAGTCAAAGGTTTATTAAAGGATCATTTGTAAGTGATTTTTGATAATTTTTCGGAAATGCTGTTGCAGGTAGGTTAGAGAGATAATGAAGATGAGATTCTGGAATTATTGGCAGATATTTGGAAGGAATTCCTATAGTTAGGTTTAAATCAAAAATATTATAATACTGTCTATTCAATTACCATGGAGTAACTAAAGAAGTAGGATGACATCAGCTTTGCTGGAAAATCTATATTCTAATTTTTAAGTGCTCTATTTCAAACAGGGTTTAAAATACAGAAATAATTTTAAGGAGAAATAGAAATCTTAAAGAAATTCTTCTTTCATAGAATTGTAGAAGTCAAAGAATAATTCTATAAATATTTATTGGCTTTTTCAAAGTAGCAAACATCAAAATAAGTTGATTCTAGAACAATAAATTTTATGAAAATCATATTTTAGACAGGAATATTTGAAGAGAAACTTGAGACCTTCTAAACTTTAATGAATATCTTGGAACAATTATCCAAACATTTAGAGGAAGAATAACTCTATGAATTCATCTAATTTGTTCACAATTTCTCAACTGATCATCAATTTAAGAAATATTTTTATCTCTTTGATGGAATGAAACGGGAATCTATAGATATTCATTATCCAAATTTAGCTCAACAAACTTCAAATCCCATTGACAATTAGACATTTAGGATGATTAAGACTGCTTATTTAATTAAAGATATTAATTATAACCATTAATTAACAGTTGATTTAGATCCAATTAACTTTATTTACACTTTCAGAAATTATATAAATAATAGAAAGGAATCGAATTTAGAAGTAGATAGTACACGTCAGAATGGATGTTGTTTTGATGATTTGGATCTCAAGATTCAGGTTTCGATGCAATAATTGAACGTGTTATTGAAAAACTATATGCAAATCGAAAAAGAACAGGAGTATTTAGCAATCATATAAGGATTTGTCAAAATATACGGAGACTTTGCAATAGCTCCAGCTCATTCGTCAAAGCTTAGATAATTGTATCCTGTTATCTTAAATTAACTTAAGTAGTTGAGTTCAATTGACTATGAAATGGATTAAGAATCAATATAGAAATTATAGGATACTACGTCTGATTTGGTTTAGAATCTTTAGGCTTTTACAAAGTTGAGCAATGAATTAAACTTGAACTTCAAGGTATTGACTTCAGATCACACTGAATCATTAATTCAAAGAATAAGGTAAAGTTTTAATTTATTTAAGAATAGACAAATTTCATTTAATACAGGATATAGCGTCAGAAAGGTTATCCAAATAAATGTCCTTAAACCCAAACTGTTGTGATTTAACATCCCTATATGTTAAATAAAGTACATAATAAACAGTCTAGTATATATTATCTTAGAAGAACGAATTGAAAAGTACGATATCTAATTATGTTTTTAGGAAAGGATTATGGTAGAAAACGATTAATTTGGCATTTGCTAAAAAATTAAGTAGATTTCTAATCTTGGCATCTCTTTTTTGAGAGACTTTTCTTATAGCAATTGAATTATATTCCCAGTGATTTAAGATTTAATCAAACTCTAATGACTTAAACATCTAAATTAACTATAAGAGTAGAAGATTTGAAGTATAATTTATGGGGAATAGGTCTCATCTAAAATGCCTATTCATTATTTTTGTAAAATCCAGAACATTCTGATTTTGACAAATGGGCTTAATATCTCTTATCAAAACTGTTAAATTATTTGCCAGTATTAAGCAATATCACTGATGACGATAATAATAAAATTATCTTAGATGATCTGAAGGGTGGAATATTATTAGAATTTGATTAAACCTTTAAAAAGGTTGTTGTATTGAAAAACACCTTACTGAAACTTTGTGCTAAGTTTATTCACTTTCTGTCAGTCTCAAAGAATATTAGTGTATTTGATTAAGTGATAATGCAAATAAATTAATTAATAAAAAGGAATGAAAATGGAATGTATGAGATTTTGAATATAATTTTGAAAGAATTCCCAATCTCATTAGCACCAATAAGTGGTTTTCTAACTTTGAAAGCTATCAAGAAGTTAACAGCAAAAGATCCAAATACAGCTTAAGCAGCGAGCAAATTGTTTGGATTTTTAGTGCCCATCTTAACTATCATGGATGCACCCTATTCTCCAATATCACCATCTTTAATTAATAAATTTTAAAAGGCAAAGGAATTTTAATTAGGATTTGGGAAGATGACTAAGGTGGATTATAAAGTAGAAGGCGGAATCAAAGATCGTAGCATTTTAAGAGACTATCAATGGGATGGTATTAGATGGTTAGGATTCTTGATTAAATATAATTTACATGCAGCTTTATGTGATGATATGGGATTAGGAAAAACCATATAAACATTGGTAGTGTTAGCAAATGAAGTATTTAAAAGAAAAAATGAAAATTTGGTTTCTCTTGTTGTTGCTCCCAGTACAGTCGTAGATCATTGGTATGCAGAAACTAAAAAATACATAAGTAATGCTGTTTTGAAACCACATATCTATGATGGAGTCTTCCAAGGGAATCTTATTATGGTGTCTTACAATTAATTACTAAAACTAAATCAAAATTTCCTTAATTAAGAATTTTATTTCCTGATTCTAGATGAGGCTCATATATTAAAGAACAGTAAAAATAAGACCAGTAGAGTCATAAGGAGCTTAAAAGCGAAACATAAGATAGTATTGTCTGGAACACCTGTCCAAAATCACCTTTTGGAATTGTGGTCACTTTTTGATATTTTATTGCCTAATTATTTAGGTGATGAAGAGTACTTTAAAAGGAATTTCTCTAAAGCATTTCACACAAATATCTTCTCATTAACTGAAGATGAAATTTTATTTGATGAATAGCAAATTAAGACATTAAGATTATTGCACAAAAAGGTCTTACCTTTTATTATGAGAAGAACTAAATAAGATGTGCTACCATAATTACCAGCCAAAATTATAGGAGATTATTATTGTACTCTATCAGAACCTTTACAATCATAAATCTATTAAATTTTAGAATCAAACTCATTTTCTACTGATATTGAATAATAGATCACGAAGACTTAAGGAGAATAAAAAAACAAAGTATGTGAATCTGTTCTTAAATTATTACATAAATTGAGATAAGCCTTAGATCATCCAATATTGGTCAGAAGTGTAATTTTACCCAATAAACGCCCAAAGAAAAAGGTAAAAACAGAAAATATTGAGATGTTGGCTGAACAAGAGATAAATTAATTGTTGGATAAATAGGAAAAGCCTGAAAGTTATTCTCATTCAGGTAAGATGATAGCTTTGAAAGATATTTTACAACAATTGGGATTTCAATCAACAGATGATGTCCCTTAACAATAGACTCAAAGCGATTAAATTACAATTTACACAAACTTTAATAAGGTTTTAGTTTTTTCCAGGTTCAGAGCTGCTCTACAATTAATTGCTGAGTAATTATTGAAGGCTTAGTTTCCAGGATTATAATACCTAATTTTAGATGGAAGTGTTCCATAAAATTAGAGATACCCTTTGGTTACCAAGTTCAATGAGGATCCAGATATTCGTGTGTTACTTCTTACGACTTAAGTAGGTGGGTTGGGATTGAATTTAAGTTCAGCAAATATTGTGATTATGTTTGATCATGACTATAATCCTGTGAATGATCAATAGGCTATGGATAGGGCTCATAGAATAGGATAAAAGAATGTTGTTTAGGTCTTTAGATTGATTGTTAAGGACACCTTGGAAGAGAAGATCATGGGAATCCAAAGATTTAAATCAGCAATATCTAAGGCTATTGTGAATCAAGACAATGCATCCTTAAAGTAAATGGAAAAAACAGATTTATTATCGATGTTAGAATCCACTTCATAAGGAAACAATAAAGGTATTTTGTATATTTTACAAATTTTGTAGAAAAAAATTCTGAAGAGGAACAAATTGAGAAATTAAGTGGCCCATATTCAAAGATTTTAGGATAGCTTAAATTGGATCTATTAGAATAACTTAATTTTGACAAAGAGTATTGATGTTCTACATTAATTGTATGTTTCATAACCTTAATCATAAATTTTCTACTATTCTTTTTAACAGTTATCGTAAGAACCTTTATTTTATCCAAATTCTATTTTTGTTTATTAATAACTTAAGTATAATTATTTAAATACAATTAAGAATTTTCTTAATTAAACAACCCATTTATTTCATTTCCCTTTCCAAAAATTCCTTACTTTTTTAGTGAAAATATCACAAATCCACTTAATAATGATGTTTAAGTATCAGAAACAATTGGAATTTAATGTTTGAATTATTATATATATATTTAATATTTATTTGATCTTAAATATAGAGGATGCTAGAATAATCTGGTCATACGAAAGCCCATTCAGAGTGTTTTTAGACTGTTTTTGAATCTGATATAGAAAGTTTGCAAAAGTTTAACATAAATCTAACATATAGAAGACCTAAATCAAGTTCTTAGGATAACTATAAAAAATTATTTGAGATAGTAAAAGATTGCTCTAATTCTAAATTACAACAAGCACATTCAGATGAAATTCCAGAATTCGATTCTTTGGAGGATTCGTGTTAGATTCGACCTTCTCTGTGTACAAATAAATCAAGCAAACAAAGCTAAGAACGAGAAGAGAAATTATTCGAAAAAGAATTAATACAGCCTTTAAATGAAGAGGATCACTAATTAATAGCAAAGAGTGAAAGGGAACAGTGTAAATTGCCTTCAATTGTCATGAAAAATGGAGGATGTTACACTGGATACTGGTACAAAAAAAAACCTTAGGGCTAGGGGGAATACAAATTTGCAGATTCAAGCAGATACAATGGTGAAGTAACATCATTAATAATCAATTTAGTGGTCAAATGGCTATGCAAGCGGAAAAGGCAAATTTTTTGATACGGAGGGTGGATGTTATTGTGGAGATTTCCATTTAAATTACATGCAAGGGAAGGGAGTGTATAATTATTCAGATGGATCCATTTATGATGGTATTTTAAATTGTAAATGTTTTTCAGGACAATGGTCTAATGACAAATACAATGGATTTGGCATTGAAGTAAAAAGTGATTCTCATTATAAAGGTATATTCTATTATTATGCATAGGTTAATTTCGTAATGGTTTAAAACATGGTCATGGAATCTTAATTTTTAGCAATAAAGAAAAATATGAGGGTTCGTTCATAAATGGTTAATTTGAAGGGAAGGGAACATTTGTAGTTTTTGATATAATATTAAAAGATGTGGCCAGATGGAAGAAGATATCAAGGTGATTGGAAGAATGGAATGATGCATGGTCAAGGAATATTATCTTGGTCTGACGGTACTATTCCATTAATAGGATTTTAGGTCGAGTTTATGTTGGCTAATATGTAAACGATAAGAGATAAGGTTTCGGAACATTTCAATTTGCTGATGGTCGAAAATACTCTGGGTAATGGATGAACGGTTTGTAACATGGAACTGGGGAGTTTACGGAGTAACATGGGTAAATTACAAAGGGAGTATGGAGAGAAGGTAAATTATTTTCTCTTATTTGATTAAATAATACTAATATATTTCTCATAATTTTGCTTAAGAATATTTGGCAAAGTTTTCTGGGGTTGGAGCTGGAAAAAGGCTTGGTGTAAAAAGGGTTCTAAAGAATGATAAAGGAAAAATATTACGCTTTTTTCATATTGCCTTTAATTTTCATCAAACCCTTTAAGAAAGCTTCATTTGCTTATAATTTACCCTAACATACTCTCTCAAAATCATCATCAATCATATTGAATGTGGCATCAGCCTATTCCTTGCCTTCTTTGATGGATCCTTGGCCATTCTTCAAATCAATTACCCAAGATTTAATTACTGGACCTCCTTTTTAAAGGATTATTTCAAAATTGAACACTCCTTAAACTTTTGGAATTAAGTCTTTTCCTTCTCCTCTGTCCAAAAATGCTCTCATTAAATTGAAAATTTTCTCTGCTTTCAAGGTTACGTTGGTTGGTTAGGCATTTTATGAGGGACTTGTTGATTTAGTTTTGCCTTCCTTTTATTACTTGACAAATTCTTCTTTGTTGAAGAATATCTCAAATATTTCAGAAGATGTTTGTGGATGATACACAACATTACCAAATCCTGATACTTCATCCCATTTCTCCTTAACATCTTCAGGAGTAAATGGAGTATCAAAGAAATATCCTTAATTTCTTTACCATCTCAATTTTGAAATATAACCAGCTCCTAATTCAAAAACTGATCCTGTTTCCTTGCAATCCTCGTGAGACAGCCATGCTACAAGTGGTACAATATAATCTGGTTTGAGACTGGAGAGAACTTCCTTGCTCATCACTGTTTCAGTAAGTCGACTTGCAGCAACAGGGCAAATAGAATTTACGAATATGTTTCTTTTTAAGCCTTCTCTTGAGAGTGCAAGGGTTAATCCATGTGTAGCCAATTTGGCTGTACTGTAATTGGTTTATCCAAACACTCCGTACAATCCTGATGCTGAGGATGTATTGATTATTCTTCCATATTTCTATTCTCTCATATATGGCCAAGCTGCTTTTGAACATGCGTAAGTTCCCTTAAGATGAACCTAAGGCTTTAATAAAAATAAATACCTTGTAAATGAGATCCCAATCCTCGTCTTTCATTTTTTCGAATGAAACATCCCTTAGGATCCCTGCATTATTAATTAAAATATCAATTTTTCCAAATGTTTTTATTGCAGTTTCAATTATTCTCTCACCAAACTCAACGCTGTCATAATTTGCAACTGCAATTCCTCCAGCAGCCTTTATTTCCTCAACAACCTTATCAGCTGCTGAAGATGAAGCTCCTGTTCCTTTCATAGAACCGCCTAAATCGTTGACAACCACCTTTGCTCCCCTTTTTCCATAAAACAAAGCGTATTCTTTGCCCAAACCATTACCAGCTCCAGTGATCACTACCACCTTTCCGTCAAATCTTAATGAACTCATATTTATTTAATGTAATTTGAATTCTAGGAGAGATTGAGTAATATATAGATTGCCATTAGAAATCGTGCGTCATTTCGTTAGCAATGATTCAATTATTTTATCATATATTTTGGAAAAATTAATAATCCTAATGTATTATGTCAAATGGTTCTTTAGCATATAATAAATAAATCATAAAGCCAATCCTAGCATTCTGAATTCTAGAAAATTCATTATAAACCTCATGTATTCTAAGATAGTTCTATTCGATTAATTTTGATACCTTCACTAAGACTTTTCATCATTACTTGCGAGGAATTCAAATACAATCAGAACAATATGATGTCAATATAAGCAATACCATTCATAGGGTGTGATACTAATATTTTTTTAATCAGAAGTGGTATATAATCTTATTGGAATTTAACAATGTAATTACTAAAACCTTGCTCCATTTAATTGCGTTTTTTTAACTATTTACAGATACTTTATTAAGAGATTTTTAAAGTGCAATTCATTAATAGACTAAATGTTTTTAGATTTGTAAATCTACTACTTTTTGGGGCTATTTGTAGTTGGAATAGATAACATTTCTAGTTGGTTAATCTATAATTGGAGGTTAGGTATCTAAAGAATCAAGAATTTTAACGATATATTTGGGTTAACTCTAATTGAAGATTAGTCTACTTAAGACTTGCCTCAGAAGGATAGGGCAGAACTTCAGATTATGTTATCTCTGCAACTTGAGTGGATTGGATGTGAAATGATTACATTTTTATAAGTCACTAAATTAATAATATATATTGTTTCGATTAAAATGAAAAGTTCAAGGAAATCACCGTAAAAGATGAAAGCCTTTAACATACTTCATCTTGAACATGTGGCAAATCGAATCGATCAATTGCTCAATCCTACTTAAAGAGAGTAATTTACATAGATAAGACAAATCAAACCAGGAATCAAATTTGTCATTAACAATAAATTGACTGCCTATAAGTAAAAACAATCAGTTTTTGATTAAATATAATCTTCTCGATCCAGTATAATTCAAACTCAAGACAGATAAAGAAGGTAGAACAACAACTCTTCAAAAAGTTCATCATTTTTGGAAAAAAAAATAAATTAATTAAAAAAAGAACTAGGCGATTTATAAAAAGCCAGACTATTAGAAAAAACCAAACCCATGTATTCTGTTCACAAGATGGCCCTTTAGAATAATCTATAAGAAATCCCTTAGGAATAAAAATTGTTGATTATAGACAGGAAACTGTAGTCAGCCAGAAAAATAATCGATAAATCAATTGAAGAATAGAATGGTCCCTACAAGAAGAAATCATAATAACATATGTTTTTTTAGAACATAGTTATCGAAAACTCATTGAATAATATAGATATTAGTATTCCTACACCAGAATTAAGAGCAAAAGTGAGGGTAGTTCCTTCACAATAACGGAGTGTCAGCCAAGGTTTAATAACAAAATAAAAGAGGCCAATAAAGATGTGGAACAACGATCTTATCGAATTCAAAGGTTGGGATGTCGAAGAAGAAGATGATTACTTAAGATTAGGATGAATTTTAATATTATTTTTTTTAAATAATGTCATACGACACAGCACTCACAGTATTTTCTCCAGATGGATAATTATTCTAAGTAGAATATGCCATGGAAGCAGTTAAGAGAGGTCTCTGCTGCGTTGGTGTCAGAGGAAAAGATGCCATAATATTGGGAGTAGAAAAGAAAGCCACATCAAAATTACAAGATGTTAAAACAATCAAGAAAGTCTATCAATTGGGTAATTAATTCATGTGTATCCCTAGATCACAATCTTTGCATGACATTTTCTGGATTGAATGCAGATGCAAGAATCTTGGCAAATCAAACTAGATTGTAATGTTAGCAATACAAGATCTACTATGAGGATGATCCTTCAGTTGATTATATTGCCAAATTCACCAGTCAACAATAGCAAAAATTCACCCAAAGAGGAGGTGCTAGACCTTACGGAATTTCAACTCTCATTGCAGGATTTAGTAATAATAAGCCAAAGCTTTTCCAAACCGATCCTTCAGGTGCTTGTTCAGAGTGGAAGGCCACTTCGTTGGGAAAGAGTGCCAAATAGGTGAAGGATTTCTTGGAGAAGCACTGGAGAGAAGGATTACATGAGAAGGATGCACTTTTACTCACAACAAAAGTAAGTTGATTTATTAGAGGGTAGGCTTTGATGGATGTCGTGGAGAGTGGTAATAAAAATATCGAATTGTGTGTGATTAGAAAGAATGAATGCTGGTTTTTGAATGAGAACGAGGTCGAGGAGTTAACAAAGATTACAGCTTAATTATAATGAATTGATATGATATAATATTATTGGGAACAAAAATTAATTAATATATATATATATAGACTAATGAATGATTCTTAATGGAAGTATACAATTTAATATTATATTTCGCATAATTGTAATTGAGTTGTATTTTCTTGTTATTTTAATTGAATTCAGCAAAGTCAGAATTTAGGGAATTATTGTTGATAATTCTTGTGGAAAGTGAAGCAATTAGGATACTTAGGCTTTTGTATCATTAAATTATTAATTTCAACAAATTATCAATTGGAAAGTCCTAAATTATATTACTATATATACTGAATTATATATCCATTAAAAATATTCTACAATTTCCAATAATTTTGATATTAGAAATATTATAATTGATGAAACAAGAGTCTTGGGATGATTTGCATCTTGCTAATGAGAAATCAATTACTAAAATTTTGGAAGCAGGGGAGTAAGTTTTATTTTCGAGCTTGCTATATAAATTTAATGAAGTTAATAAAAGATAAGAAAGAACAATTCTTATTACAACTCATAATCTATATAATCTCTCAAAATTGACTGTCAAAAGAAAAATTCCAATTAAAAGAGTGTATGGCATAACCGTTGGTCTGATTGGGACAGAATTTGTGGTGCACGTCCCAGAAGAATACGATTATCGATACTCAAGCTCAGAAAGAAGGGACTACGCAGTTCTGTGCATAATCAAAGCTTATTGCTAATAAAATAAAGGAGCTGCACTCCCAATATTCTATAAAGATGAGCTCACACTAACTGCCTATACAACTACAAAAGTCGATAAAAAAAAGGGAATCAATAGGTTACCAACGACTGGCTCAGAATTGATGAATGAGGATCAATTCAGAAAAAGATTGGACTCCCAGACTGAAGAACGATTGTAAACAAGAGCCAAGACGTCGACATTGTATGCCAAATAGAAAGGAGAAGTAGTAACAATAGATGATTTTGATTTAATTAAAGTGCTAGGCAGAGGAGCATATGGTAAAGTTATGTTGGTGGAGAAAAAGAGCGATAAGTAATATTACGCAATGAAATCAATACGTAAAGAAGATATAGCAGATCCTGAATAGTTAGAACACACGAAAACTGAAAGAATAGTTTTAGAGCATGTAAACCATCCATTTTTGGTCTCATTGCATTGGGCATTTCAGACTCCTGAAAAGTTGTTCTTTGTTACTTAATTTATGAAAGGAGGTGAACTCTTTTAACACCTTAAGCACGTCAAAAGATTTGAAGAATCCAGAACCAAGTTTTATGTCTCAGAAATTGTAATTTCTAAATCTTATTTTTTATATAGATTTTAGCATTAGAACATTTGCATTCAAAAAATATCATTTACAGAGATCTAAAACCAGAAAACGTATTATTAGATGATCAAGGCCATGTGTGTTTAACTGATTTTGGCATGGCAAAGATATTAAAGAAGAATGAGCTGGCTAAATCATTCTGTGGTACACCTGAATACTTGGCTCCTGAAATTCTTCTTGAAACTGGACATTCAATGGCTGCTGATTGGTGGGCTTTAGGAATACTGACCTATGAGATGTTGTATGCACTTCCACCATTTTACAACAAAAATCAAGATTTAATGTTTAAACAGATTTAGACAAAGGATATTAATTTCCCAACTACGCCTTAGATTTCAATGGAGGCTAAGGATTTTATCTAGAAGGTACGAGTGCAACTCGATTATTTTAGTTGACAATCAAAGATCCCAAATTCAGGTTGGGATACAGTAAAACTGATGACGTGAAAAATCATGCTTGGTTTAAGGGAGTGAACTGGGAGAAACTGTTGAAGAAGGAAGTGGAAACTCCTTTTAAACCTTAGATATAGGGAGAGGCATGGCTCGACAACTTCGACAAGTAGTTTACTGCAGAGGAGGCAATCAACTCTTATGCTCCGGAAAACAATTTAGTGAGTTAAGATGAATTCAGAGAATTCGACTATTATTAAAAATGAAATATATATCAAGTAGAATTGAATCATTAATTAATTATGAATTAGTGTTATAACAAATGCATGGCAGTTGGTCTCTATTTATGATCCCTTTATAAGCAAAGTTTTATAAACGATTATAGATCTTGGTCCAAGTCGTCAGGTATTAGAGGAAGTGAGTTGTCGGTGATAATATACAAAAGTGCACTCAAAGGATTATCGAAATTGTGTTCATGCCATGGTTTTTTTCCTGTGGCCATTTCCAAAACGGTGCATCCAAATGACCAGATATCACTAGCTCTGCAATTCTCATCTTAACTAGCAACCTGAAAATGAGTATTAGGGAGTATTACTTCAGGAGCCATGTATGGAATACTTCCTTTGAGAGAATGTAAGATGTCTCCACTCTATTTAGAGCGTTAGATGGTTTTCTCTTTGATTTTGCTGCATCCGAAATCGCCAAGTTTGATTTCCCCGTCGACTCCTAAGAGCAAATTGGCTCCTTTGATATCTCTGTGGATGATGTTATTCTCGTGCAGATAGGCTATGGCTTGTAATATTTACTTGGAGTATGAGCGAATCGTATTGATGTGAAGGGGCCCAAACTTTTCGGTTAATTAAGTTAAGGTTCCTATAATATTGAGGTTGAATACCTTGTGACAAATATTCCAAATACAACAACCAATAATCTTCATTTTCACAACTCCACACATAACGAATTATGTTTTAATGTTTGATACTTTTCAGTAAATCAATTTCACTTTTCAGTCCTTTCAAATCCTCTTAATCAAAGTCTCCTTTCAAGTTGATCTTTTTCACAGCGTAAATCTTGCCAGTTTGATTTTCTTGCGCTATATACACCTATCCAAATGAACCTGCACCTATCATTTCCCCTTCAGTAAATGTAGGAATTTAAGAGTTGAAATCAAACTAAGAATTGGAGGATGACTCCTAGCCCTACTTGTTGGAGTTTGAAGATTCCAATACAAACTTTTGAGAGCCAGAGAAGGATTGATTCTTCATTATAGTGAATCTATTCTCAGTGCCTTGCTCATTTTATTGGAGCACCTCCTCCTTTATCATTGTATCATCGTGAAAGTCTAGGTCAAAGAGAATCCATACCATTTATTGGGAACTCAAGCATTCTGACTGCAGGACTTTAAAATTTATTTATAATCTATTCAAGTGGTTCCTAATTTGAAGTTTATAATTTTGATTGCCGATTCTAGAGTTTGCGAATTATGAGGCCCTGTCCCCTCTGTTTTTTGGCTGACGGATAACACTTCTCATTTTAGGTATTGTCTGTAACTGGTCGAGTATCTTCCTTCTTCTCAATTGATTTCTTTTTCACTGTTGAAATTGACCTAAAAGCGGGGGGAATCTGGGCTGATTTAGTCGGATCAATTTTAATTCTGGGAGATAGAAGTGGTGGCAAGCCTGTACTGCTTGAAATCTTAGGTTTGCTTTTGGCTAGAACTCATAGTTTGTACATTACTTTACATATCCCCTATCTTAGGGATGGAATTCATTATGTAATATTTAATATATTTTTATATTTTCCAATGAATGCTTTCAATAATTTAAAGTGGTTTCTGGGCCTATGAAGGTGTACTAATAGAATCCTCCTGCTTCATTGAAATATTTCTTAAAGATGTCATCCTTGGCCAGAAGTGCCTCTTGCTAAGATTGATTAAGCAACATCCAAATACCTCACTCTACTCAATAACAAACCACAACAACAAGGGGTAGAATAACATCAAAGAATTCCAGAAGATGGACCCTATATGCCACCATTGGCCATAATATCTAGATCAAATTAATAATCTACTTGTATTCCCAATTATCATAAGTGGTGATCCCCTCCATCTAATAGGCACTGTAATGAGGATGTCCCATGCCCTAGCCAGTCTTGGCCACATTGTCAGGGAGATAATATAATTTGAAGTGCACTGGAGGAGCAATCTCTTAAGGAGATCCTGAATGACATCACATCGAATCCTTACCTACTAAAGCCCTGCTGGCTGGATCATGGTGATAATATCGCGATTATTTTTGCAAAATTTGAGCATTCCTCAACAATCTCTTCATATTGTTTTATTAAAAGAAAATATTAATAATTTTATATCATTTCAATTATAAGTAACTCTGAGTCCCAAATCTTCTCAGCTCAAGTCTCTGAACATTCAAAGGACTGTAGCTACTGTGAACTGTCTTGCTCTTTGGTTATGTCTCACTCACTTTCAACTTCTACAGCATTCGTTGTGTCCTCAACTTAGTTTAACAATGAGCACTCCTCTCATGTTCTTCCTTGGGCTACGTGGTCAATCTATAATGAGTCCTTGCAGTGCTCGGTTGCTGTTGACTTAAATTCTAAGAAATCTCACTGTTCTTCAATTATGAAGGAAATCTAAAGAACAACTTAAAATATGAATCTCGATCTATATAATTCTGAGATCCAATCGTCTTCTAATCGAAGAATGTCTTAACCTAAGCATAAGAGCAATTTCTGTCCTTGAATAACTTCTTAAACTATTCAAAGGCCTTCTTCTCCTACCTCTTATAAAATTAGAATTCCTACAATATAACAAGCATTCAAATACCATATCAGACTTATCCATTTGGGTTTCTCGCCTTATCAATGCACAATTGTTCCTCACCTTCACTTTGAAAGTAGGCTTAACAAATTAATCAAACCCTTCTTGACCATTAAGTTATTTTAATTTATCATCTGCTATCTGTTCGTAATATCTCATCTTATTCAATCTAAATTGATGAATGGACTACAACAATGAAACAAAAACTGTTTGTGTTTTTTCATCCCAAAACCTCCTGCAATATATTACACAGATTCATTACTTAATTATGTCTTCCCTACTTATTCTTAATATTTAACCACATTGACTTCTACAAATCACAGAACATTTCACTCTTGACCACCTTACCGAAAATACGTTAAATAGTTTTAATATAAAAGTCTTGCCGTCATCCATTAAGAAGGCTTCTTCTCCGAAAAACTCTCCAGGTCCCAATACACATCTAAATTTATTTATAAAATTCACATGCTGTGAGTTGAAAATACTCCCTTTAATTTGTGCGCATCATTTAATGTATATGTTACTTCAAAATTACTTTCTAAATAACATAATCGATATCTTACCCTTCTCTCACTATGTAAAAATTGGAACAGTAATCATTCTGTTTGATCACTGCCTAATTTAATGTTATTTAAATTGGTTCAAAATGATAACTAAATGTTTTAATTTCCCTGAATGACCAAGACTATAGAAATGGAAACTATAATTTAAGATAAATAAACCCCATAATTACAGAACACAAGAAAGCTATCCTGTCTTGAACTTTTTGTTACTCCTAAGCACCTAAAATTGCCTTGAAATGATGTTTCTCCATAACTGCAAGCATACAGTCTTCTTTTGCTATTATGGTTGCAGTTCGTTTTGCATTATCATTCAAAAGAGCCAATTCTCCAAAACTATTCCCAGCTTTTAATATGTTCACTTCCTTCAATTCAAACCTTTTGGAATCGTCAGGACTAGGCAACAATATGAAAACTCCCACGGATCCTTTCAGAATGATGTAGAAGAGGGACCCTTGATCCCCAACATGAAACAATATCTAAAATTTATAAATTATATTTACTTCTTCTTTTTTTACAGTCTTGTAACTTAGTACTGACATACATCTAAGGACGATGTCAGGATTCTGAGATTGGAGATTTTTAAAAAATGTAATAGCTTCAACCAATTGCAACAGTAGAGTTAAATCACTTTATGTTCTCCTGGAGGGAGCTATCTAAAAATGTGAAGCTTAAACTGTCTACTTGCAAAGTCTTGACACATTAATTTATCAACGAGGTTTTCTCATCGAAATTGGAGAAAGATGCCATAAGTAGAAGAGTAAATAAACAATAAATTATAGAAATAAATAACTAGCATTTATTTAAAATCATTTTCGAATAAAGCTTTTTATTGTTTAGAATGCTCTATTATTACTTCTATATTATGGTAACAATTATTAACAAAGGGTACTATTGAGATCTGATCCCAGAGGAGGTTTCTTTGCTGATCTTCTATCCGGACTCTAAGTAAACACGTAGTTTTAGTGTATCTGAATAGGTTTGATTAGAGAATCTAATTACATGCTTTTAATACCATTTTGATCTTGAAGAAAAGGAGACTTTATTTCTGGGAGCATCCAATTTTGATTTTTACACCCCTTCTGAGGACTAAAATTTTCCTGCTACAATTTAGATTTTCCCTTCTGCTTAAATTAGGTTGAACCTGCTGCATTCTTGTCGTTATGCAATGATAAATTCTTCGCTCTGGTGACTTTGTAATTGGTATCGAACAAATTGCAATTTTCTGTATCGAAAATATTTCTGATGTCCTGGTCCTGAGGGTCTCTGCTCTGTGTTCTTTGAGGACTGATCGACATGGAGTGTTTGACACTAACTTGAGTTTTTTTTGTAGGACTCTGGTTGCCAAACATTGTAATATTCTTATTTGCATAAGGAGTTTCCATTGTTGAGATGAGTTAGAGAAATTTCAATTTCTTGGCTTTGTCAGCGAGAGTTGTTATTTCCATCAATGGCATGCTTCTGGATTGAAGAAACCTTTAATTTCTTTCTAAACTGGATGCGAATAATCGTTCTACATTCTCATTTTTCGATTGATGATACACTATTAAATTTGAACAATATTGCCTAAATTAAGTGTTGAACTCTTACTTGTTTAGAAGCATAATGTCGTAAAGTTTCCAAAAATCAATATCATAAAATTAGAACAACGTTCGATTTTATTAACTATTTAACTGCCACGAAGGAACTGATTTCTTCATTTGAATTTATGGGTTGTCCTCGTTTTATTGATTGGTTTGAATCTCACACCTTTTATGAACCTTAGTTAGTATAACAGCAAAATTCTATGCCTTATAATTAAGTATATCTCTGATGCTCAATACGTAATTAATGGCATTTTGATTTTTGCACTTCTCGATTAACTCCGACACTCTAATCTGGAATCGGTGGAACAATCTGCTTGTTTAAAAAATAATCAAAACTTTTTATCATGATCCTGAAGTTAATAATATTTGTATTTATCAACTAGTTAGGGTATCGTTGTATCTAAATCGTTCTCCTTTTGATCAATAAATAATTGGATTCCCCTAAAGATAACGTCTAAATCATCTGGATTAACTTCATTCAATTTATTTATTTCCATTATATATGAAATAAAAACTTTATAAATGCATCACCCTTGACAACGGAAGACAAGCACCATATAACCACATAACACTATTTTCATCAATAATCCTCAAAACTATGCGAATAATTGAAACCAATCCTGAGAACTGATCTCTTAAACAATAAAAAGAATCGAAATAATTTCATTTTATAAATAATCACCCTGAATGTAGATTACCATTTTTGAGAATGATTTTATTAAAAATAAAAGTAGAACTTATTAAAAGAGTTATATTATTTTATAATTTCTACAAAAATTGATCAATAACTTATTATTTAGGAGATTTTTCTTTAATTTTTTTTCACGCTTTGAAATAAATAAAATAAAAACCACTTAAAAATATCTAAAAACATGAAAATAACACCTCAAATTCAAAAATATATTCTATTAAATATTTTAAGTAAAACATTTTTAATATTTATTACTAGTTACTGATAAGTTTCTCAATAAGCAATGAATACTAATCATTTCTATTAGTGTGATAAAAATCTTAATTTAAGAACGTTCATAAATTTACTGTTTTTTATTTCAATTTGCTTATTAAAATCTTGAATAATTTATAAAAATTATAACAACACTTTGTTTTTAATGGGAACTTGTGCGTAATGTAACACAAAATCAGAAGTAGTAGAAAGTGATATGCATTAAAAACATGAGAGTGTACATGCCAAGTTATTGGAATTGAATCAAATTACTAAGGCTACAATCTTTGAAAGAATGAAAGTTAATAACAAGATGGAAACAGATTAATTAAGTGACAAAATTTTTGAGGATTCTTTAAAAGTGAGTGAAGTGAATCAAGAATAACTTTAATCTAAAGTATACATGAATCTCTAAGGAGAAAATAGAGGCAATATAGCTTCTAAGAATGCATGTAAGTGTTTAATAGTTCTAAGAGGGGTTTTTAAAAGGAATCCATTAATTAACGACAATATCGAATAACTGATCCAAACCTTCCTAAAAATCTATCCCATTCTTCAAGCTCAAATCACTAATTTCGTGAATTCAATAAACAATTTAAAGTTAGTGAGAAATAACATATTGAGTTCGATGAATCTATAAAAAGCATATTAAAAAAAACTACATTGAGAAATAGTGAAAGTAAGTCAGTTCATTTTGCTCGGAACACAAATTCAAGTCAAACATAGATGAAATCTCGATCTTGCAATCATTCAAAAAAAAAGAGAAAAAAAATATAACAATTTGACAATTATAAATTTTGAATGTAACTTTTGTTCATTTCTTACCTTTGGCAGCACCCTTTTCATCCTCAGGTTTGGGACCAATCCCCAATAAAGCATCTTTGAATTTTTAGTATTCATTTTCAAAGTTGGCTATTTCATCTAGAACCTTGGTCTATTTGATGATAAGAATAAATATACATCACCAGATTGTTTTGTTTCTTTGGCAGGCTAAGCTTGAATTTCTTTTTCATTTTGTTATTTTGCTTATTATTCTCTGATTTTGAATCTTTCGGAATAGTAATTTACTCTTTTGACCTCTCTTTCCCAGAATAATCTCATAGCTTTGACTTCATTTCCTTAATCTTTACACAAACTTTAAGGAAATTCAAGTAAATGTAAAGTACCATCTGAATCACCAATGGCCACAATATGAGCCATGTTATCATTGAATTTTAATGATGTAATAGCACATGCTACCACCTAGAATTGAATAGTCCATTTATGAGATTAATCCAACATATCCCAAACATCCAAATTACCATCGGTTTTCCCTACAATAATGACACCAGCACGATACGGAGAGAATCCTCCACAAGTGATATGGGCTCCTTTCATGATTAGACTTTCAAAAATTGGAAAAGTAACATTGTGCTTCCAAACACAAAAATTGAAATCATGCAAAGTTAGTAGAACATCTTCAAAGAATGGACTTACATCCAGAGCAATAGGTGGTCTCATACTTCGTTATTATTACCAAATTGAAGATACCAATTAATTCTTTTATCCCTCTTCTCCTTGTTTTTCTCCCCAATCCATAATGAAGACTTCCCCTTCATCTGATGTGCCTGATAAAGTTGGAGTTTTTTAATCTATTGGCATTAAATTGAGAAATTACTTTTCCTGAATTATATTTATCCGCCGCTCATCATTCCTCCTCCTTCTGGTCTATACAACTATATTCCATAGGTGGCTTTCCAAGGAATAGTAGAAATCTAGTTGAAATGAGAAAATGATTAATACATCTTATTGAGTCTTTTTGCTATCCTTGTCTATCAATCTGGTGTCCCAAAAGAGAATTTATCCATCTGAACTAATACTTGCAAATTGATAGGTTTCTTGAGAGGATGTCAGTATAAGATGGTTGAAGTGTTTCTTATCAAATTCCATTCCAATGGGGAACCATTTCACAGCCAAAACAAAATTCTTGTGAGATGCAACTTGCTTTCTCAAGACTTCATTGGATGAGCCAGCCTAATATGATGCAGGATCTTGTAATGCCGATACCATTTTAGGTTGAAGTTCTTGAATTTCATCTTAAAATAGTGAGAATTTGATGAATACTTCGTTCTTATTTAGTTTTTTAGGTTTTTTTGGATGCAAACACAGAGAGTGCTGTGCCACTGAGATCCCATAACATCACTTAGCCATTGATAGTGCCGCCAACGATTATGTTGGGATCTTTGGGATTGAATTCAAAAGAGAGGATCTCAAGGGGAGATTGCAATAGGAGCACTGGTTCAATTGAATGGATGTCTTCGAAATCCCAGAATACTATGAGGGATTTGTGGGATTTCAATTGATAGATGGCTCTTTCTTCAAAGAGGAGGTTTTCGACGAAGGATTCTGCAACGATATATTTGGATTTGATGGCTTAACTGGTGGGTTGGAATTGTATGCATTGTATTTTTTTGCCTTTACAATTTAAGTAACTGAAACTTTTGATTTCTTTGATCACATTAGTAAGTTCAGCATTTTAATCTAGGATTGGGATAGTGATTTTATGATACCTCCATTTTGTTCTGAGAGTGGCAAAACATTGAAATCGTCTTAATATATATCAATGGTTTCATTCGATTACAACGCTTCCTCCATAAGTGGATAAACTGTCTCCAAGAATTTAAGAAGTTTAAAGTCTTCGTCTGGCTATTCTTATCTCTCATCCCCTTCATCAACTTGCAAGGCCTTATTAATTTTTCTATTCCAGACAGTCTGAGAACTGGCGTCTTGGAATGGGTTACATCCTTGTATGCCCATCTCAATAACCTTGTTTTTGACGAGTTGAAGGGGATCCTTCTCGAGAGCCTTGATCTCACCTGTTCTCTCAGATGTCTCTTAATCACTAAATTTGAAAGTCAAACTAAATGCTTATTGTGAAGCATTTACCCAAATTCTTTTCTCTTTTTAATAAACTGCATCTTGATGAGTGGTCTGTCTTTCACAGTAAAAGATTGGATTTCCTTGATGAAATCATTAGAAATGTCAATTTACCTAAATAGTTTCATCTTCATGATCTGTCTTGTAGGGTCTGGGTTCCAGTGGCTTCTCTTCCACGAAGTCGTCATCTCCTGATGAATCTAATTGGGAATAGGGAATGGCAATATATGTACCTCCAGGATCACTTGGGTCATTGTTGTTCATTAATAATATGAATATTAAACAAATTAGTGGGATTGCATAATCATTAATTTTGATAGCATACTTAAGCATAAACCCCATCCATTATCAACTGATATTGAGCATATCGGGAGTCTTAATGCAGATGGTTGTTTTGAAATGCAAAAAACATGAAGACATTATTACTGAAATATCTTAGGTATTGTTGACAGTGCCAATGGGAATCATTTTGAAGGATGTTTGCAGCACCTTAATAGTAATTCTGCAACTGATGCAAATGAAACCATCTAAATTTCTCCTATTTAAACTATCCTACGTTGTCATTTGTGGGATGATTATGCATGGAGAAGTATCTCAAATTGTCCTGATATGTTTGTCCTTCCTTACTTTTGCAGTTGATTCCTTATTGGAATAACCTAAATTCTCATATTCACCAACCCACATCTCAAGCAAGAAATTGCGGGAGGAGAATGAGCTAGATAAAACTGATAAGTCGGACAAAATACATCTCCAATCCATAGCTTATAGTGACAATTAGGCTGGACACAGAACAAGTGCCAAATGTAAAATATAATCTTATTACAATTAGATCAATTTCTCTAAATCCTGGATGAATTCCCCGATGGAGTAGCTCTCATAATATTTGATGAAAATCGATTGCCTCAAGTTGATTTCTGCAACCAAACCATGATGAACCTGTTGCACACCACCCAATAAGATTTATTGAGTTCTTTAATGTCCCTCAAGAACCTGCATATCATGAAAAAGAATCAATAAACCTAAGATCTGACCACCTCCATATCCACTTACAAAAGTATGTATTCCCCAGAAAAGAATAAAATTGGAATTGTCAGATCCATGTACCGAGCCTCAACCACAGTTCAGAATCACAAGTGTGAACAATTCTTCAATACTAAATTAAAATTCTCCAAAAATGTAAACTTTATTTCTCAATAAAAATAGCCTTTCAAAATGGCCCTGGAATAGGCTATTCTGCAAATTCATTCTTAGGAAGTTCAATCCCTATTAACAAAAACCCAGATTGGTTTTGATTTACACACTATTTTGAATGGATACACAACCTCGCAATCCAAAAAGGATGTCTGTATTGAAATCAAACTATTTATATCCTATCTAAATGACCAACCCCAATTGCTCATATTGACAAGAGATGTCTCCTACAAAGATTACATCAAATCGATTAATCAACATAGCAAAGCAAAGTCAAACTCATTGAATTTTGTTTCACATGAGATCAGAACTCCAATCAAATGTATCATCCAATTGTTGGAAGAGATTGAATAAAAAAATGACACTATCAAGAATGTTCTGTGGAATTGCTATTATCTATTGAATTTCAGTCACGATTTGCTTGATCTGGCCTAGATTAAAGTTGGGAAGTTTAAATTACACAAAGTCAAATTCAATTTAGAATAATTGATTTTATAATTATTTGATTTATTTAGAGTAGAAGCAAAGAGAAACTCAATTGCTTTGAAATTGGAGTACGATGAAGAAGCTCCGAAATCAATATTCAATGATGATGTAAGAATAAAATAGGTGTTGATTAATTTGATTGGAAATGCCTTCAAATTCACTATTGAAGGTAGTATCACAGTAAGTGTCATTGATCAAAAGGATGGAAATTTGGAGATTAAGATCACTGACACTGGCTTTGGAATCAGAGAGGAGGATAAGAAAAAATTAATCAAAGCATTTGGTAGATTAGATGATGATGAAACTAAACAATTCAATCGATCTGGCGTTGGACTAGGATTATTAATAAGTAACATGATATGCAAATCCCTTTCAATTAAGGAGTCTGGTATCAAAATTGAGTCGGAACTGTATAAAGGCAGTTCTTTTTCCTTTGAAATAGACCATGAGACTGTGTACGACACTGTCATCATTTGTGACAATGAGAGCAACAACGAAGAAGAAGACCAAGTGATTGTTGAAGCCTAACCTCGAGTCCAACGCATTTATTCTAATCAAGCCTTTCGACAGAGGGAATTATTAATTATCGACGACAATCAATTCAATATTGATATTTTGATTAGGCTATTCAACGGCAAGGGAATCAATAGAATCGATTATGCCATTAGTTGTCAACATGCTTTGAAAATTCTAGATGAGAGAATTAGAAATCACATATTTTACAGAGTCATTCTCCTGGATATTGAAATGCCGATTATTGATGGGTTTGGCACTGCAAAAATGATTAAACAGTATGTCAATGACACCATGGCTACGATGCCTGTTCTTATAGCGGTAAGTGGACATGGATTACACATGAAACAATAGGCTTTGAACAATGGATTTGTGGATTATTATGAAAAACCATTAAAAGCAGGAGACATTGAGGAAATCATCACTCGTTATCTACAATGATTTTATTTTTTATAATAATACTAATTTAAATTAAAATTATCGTTAGATGTTTGTTTGTTGCGGAAAAAAGAAGAAGGATCGGAAACATGCTTCATTAGGAAATCTACATTAGTTAAATTTAATTTGTTAAGATGGACTCTACTTCGATAAGAATCTTAAAATAATTACAGAATTCAATAAAACAAATGTATTGATAATTTATATAATTGCAAATTAGTTTTGTGATACCCAAAAAGGAAACTGTAAATATTATTGTCCAATCTGCTTCAAATATTACGACTGTAAAATGCGATCACAATTTTATAGGTATGCTCCATACAACCTGCTGTTCCAATTACGTCTGCCATGTTTGTGCAGTGTAATCTCTCGCCAATAAAATGTACAATTGTCATTATTGTCGAAACGAACACTGCAAATACGTAGATGTAGATCCTGCACATTAGTTAAAAATATACATAGATTCACATACTAACTTATGAAATTTATATTAATTAATATATACAAATGTAAAAAGTAGATTACATCTTTAAGATTGTATTAATAGGATCCTAGAATGTCGGCAAATCTTCTCTTATGGCCAGATTCATAGATCAAGTTTTTAATGATAGTTATCTGTCCACAGTTGGAGTTGACTTCAGAATCAAAACCCTTTCCATACACGATAAAACGTAACTAAGTACCCACGCTTATTAGTATTAAAATGCAAATCTGGGACACAGCTGGATAAGAACGCTTTCAAGCTTTGACTCAATCTCACTACAAAGGGGCTCATGGCTGTATTGCTGTATATGATGTTACAAGTGAAAGGTACCTATACAATACATATGATTCCTAAGATCTTTTGAGGATGCCAAGAAGTTCTTAAAGCTAGTAATTGAAGAACATGGCTTGATTCCTGAAGCATGCTATTTAATTGCAAATAAGGTTGATTTAGTCAATAAAAGAGTGGTACATTAATCAGCATTAAGTTAGATCCTTGGTAAGAATGGCAATGATTTTGCACAGGACTTAGGTGTCAACTATTTGGAAACATCTGCTAAAACTGGAGACAATGTCAATCAATTGTTTTTGGAATTGGGCAAAATTATATTGAATTTGGTAGATTAGAAACGTACAATTGCACAGCCACCTGAAAATGACACTAGATTAAGGACATTAGATACATAAAAAATAGAATAGGAATAAGGTTGTAAGTGCTGAAATCTATTTTAATATCAATATAATTTATTAGTAGTTAACTTAAATAATATAAATTTAATAATCTTGAATCTTAATCAAATCATTATTTATATTCTCAATTTATTTTATATTATAAACATTAGGTTGTTTAAAGATCATAATTAAGATTAAATTAATTTAATATAATAAAATTAATGTTAATTTTAGAATTATAATTCTACTTGTTTAACAAAATTAGGATCAATTTTTAATGGGACTTTTAAAGAATATAATTGGTAAAGTTCACGAATTTTGATCAACGAAACTCTGAATTGAATCATCCCTTTTAAAAATTTAAGGATGTTAAATTGAAATCAATAAAAAGAGATGCACATTGCTGTCAAATAAATAAGTATTTTCTTAACTTTAAATAATAATGTTAATTATGAAATAATGTTCATTTATTTAAGTATTTATTACTATTATCTTCCAACCCTTTCTTTTTTGATTTACTTTTAGTATTATTGTTATTTGATTTTAAATCTTCAATTTCTTATTTCAAAGTTTATATTAATTGTTTTTACTATTGTCTAATGAATTCGCTTTTCTCAAAATTTTCTTGTAATCGCTATTATTCCTACTCAATTTGTCCATATTTCTCATTTTATTGTAAGGCCTTCTTCAATTTTTTGTTTAACTAGTCCATTTACTATTGCATTTATTAATTCTTTTGCTTTTCTTTAAGTAATTGAGCCCTATCATCTTCCCATTATTTTCTTAACTAAGATACTTTGATTTGCAGTTATTAAACATCTTATTATTGAGTGCTTATCCCTCTTTGTAAAGAACTCTGAGATTTTTCTTTACTCTTTGATTTTGCTTGACTTGAAGATTTTCTTTATGCTTTAGATTGAGATAGTTTGTTCTCTGCACTTTCAATGTTCTTCTCTAATTATTAGAATTTGTTCTTCCTCTCCTCATGAAATGACTACTTATTGAGTGTTTTAGTTGACTGTTCTTACTCTGTAAATTTAATCTGTTTTTTATGTGATGATTAAATATGATGGTATTTATTCTTTAAAGGCGTTTCCTCGTCTGAATCTCTGATCTCCTATTGTTGCACTAAATGATTAGGTTGGATTTGCTTGTCAATATTTTTTTGAATTCTTGCTTCAATTGTAACAATCTTATCTTAGATTTCTTTCAAATCCCCATTGGTAGTGCGTTTAGTTTAAGAGGTAGGATTATTACTTAGAGCTCTAATGCTAGAATGCTGAATTGATTCTTATTCAAAATAGGAGGAAGGTTATGTTTTTTAGAGATAGCTTGGGACATTATTGTATTTGAGCATATCAAGCTCCTTGTCTAGGAGAGTATTAAGAAAACTGAGTTTCTCCTAAGGAATGGGACTTTAATTTAATTGCATTTGAAAATTTTAAATATATTACAGTTGCCATTTCATTATAGGTTCAATTAGAATTCCTAATAATCACTTTTTGGAACCATGTCAATGACTGCCTCCAATAATCCATTTGGCAATACTCCTCCAGGTCTCCAATATTAATTGGCTCCGACCTCATTTCCAGTTGGCATTCTAACACCAAACTTCTCAGGGAAAGGAACGTCAATTCTGCTCAGTCTTCTGTTTTGCCATCCTCCTGGAGTGACTCCAAGATTTCTTTCCACAATTGATAAATTGCCATCTGCTGTTTTAAGGAGTTAATCCATTTAGGATTTAGGTATCACAAATATACCATTTTTATTTCCCACAAATTCTCTGCCATTGTTATCCAACCAAGCTGTCGTGATGATAAATGATGCCCCGTATCTAAAGTACTTCAAATGTTAGTCGATATATTCTTAATTCATATACTCTTATGGTTAAGGTCTATTTCCCTTAGGTTTGGCAACAACTAGTTCTTGAGTCCATCCAGAATGATAAATCAGAGAAATTTTCTCTTTTTTTCTTGGTGGGTCCTTTGGATCGACTTCGTAGCAAGAGTCCTTTTTAGATTTATCCCAAAAATACTTATTGCGTATTTGCCACTATAAGAGTGACAATCAAGAGCCATAGTACTTTCATATGTAAAACGAATAATTATAAAATATATTATCCTCAATTTTATTATGAACATTAACTTCCAAGCATATGTTACTATTGTTATTTTGTTATTTTCCACATCAATTCAAAGGTAAACCCCATTTATCCAGTTTGACTAAAGAGTGAAGAATGACTAATTAAGTAAATCTCTTAGCCTAATTTTCTAATTGGAATTAGAATTGTGGATTTAATTCTAAGTTGATAATTAAATTCTTCTATATTGCATCTAATTTTGTGTTGACTCTGTGATGGTTTTGCAAAATAAATTAATCCACCAAGATCAGCGAATATTTATACTAAAATTTGTTTTATCCATTACTTTTGGCTGAGAAGATTATTTTTAAATTAATTCAATCTTTGTCTCCCATGATTCAAAAGGCCAATAGTTCTTCATCTCCCAATAATTTGAGTTATTTTGATGGTTGAAACAACTACATTGTATGAGGTAATTAATAACGAAAATAAGCGTTGATTAACTAAATGTGGAATCAATGTATAGTGTTGTGTAATTAACAAAATCGATTGCAAATTTTATTACAAAAATACATAAATTGTTAAAGAATTCTTTTTATTAATATAAAATGAGCGAACTCTAACTAATTAGTCCGCTCTATTAACAGGGTTCTGTTATGAAAGAGTTGACTATTGCTTCCCTCCAGACTGCGATGAGCTTTTTGCTGGAATATCTACCCAATACGATATCAATTTATTTGCTAGAATTCAAGGAGGATTCCATAGTAGTAGGGGCATTGGGATTGGGAATTCTTACAACTTAAGCTTTTGGAATGGGAATTCTTAATGGTCTAGCTACGGGCTTGGAAACCTTAGTATCTCAAGCTTATGGGGCAAATCATTACGAATTGTGTGCAAAGTTGTATTACAGATCGTTGTTTTTGTGTACATTGTTTATGATTCCGATTGGGCTCTTCTTGATCTTTTCAACCCAAATAATTTCCTTTATCAATAAGTACAAGTGCTGGTTTACTTTAGCAATACAGAATTAGCAGAAGAAACAGGAAATTTCAATAGATATATGATTTTAGCAGTATACTTAAATGCGATCTTTGTGAACACCAAGGTGTTTTTGAATGGTTAAAACATCTACAAATATCAATTCTACACTCAATTAGTGACTTGTAGTCTGTTTGTTGGCATAAGTTACTTTTTCATTGTGAAACAAGAGTTGGGAATAGTGGGTTGTGCATTAAGTTTGACATGTTTGGATCTGCTGAATAACATAATTTTATTTTCGTTAATTTTCGTAACCAAATGCAGTTCGACTACTTTATATAAATTTAAATGGAGCTACTTAAAGAATTCAATTAAGTTTTTGAAGGAAGCAATACCTATAGGTTCAATATTATGGTTGGAGTGGATAAGCTTTGATTTTTATGTGATTTTGGTTAGCTATTTAAACACTTCAACAATTAGTGCTCATGTGCTAATGTCTAATTTTGCAGGATTTTTATATCAATTTAGTTATGGCATTTCGATAGCATCGACGACATTTGTGGGAAATGAAATGGGAAGAAAGAAAGTGGATATGGCTAAAAAGTATACCAAGGCAACATTTTTGATTGATGGAATCTTCCTATTGATAATAGTAGGATTATTCGCAATTTTCGGAAAGAAAGTAGTTAGTTATTTGAGTGAAGATGAAGTAGTTGTTGAAGAAATCTATAATTCGATGTTTCTTATGGTGGCATTCATCATTTTGGATGGTAAGATTATTTTTTAAATTAAAGGTCTATAAGCGATCATTTCGGGATTAGTAAGAGCCATTGGAAGAGAAGCCAGTGCTTCCATTACATTCATATTATGCTATTTGGTTTTCGGGGAAATAATCGGATATTTGCTTTGTTATACTGCTGAGATTGGACTCAAGGGAGTGTGGATTGGAATTGTGATAGGAGCCTTGGCTTATGATATAATACAATTTTTGAATTTGATACGGAAAGATTGGAATGTGTTGGCTGAGATCATTCTTGATAAATTAATGCTTTTACATTAACAATAGAATTTTGTACTTTAAGATGATGAAATGTGAAAAAAATAAATTAAATATTTATATTAATATTGATTTCATGAAAACGTTTATAATTTTCACCATAATAGAGATCTTGTGTAAGGCTAGGGAGATGTTTGTGAATAGAAATGAATTAAACACAATTGATACATTCCAAGAATTTGGTGTTATTTTGGATGCCAATATTACAAATCAATCATCAAATGCTCACTTCTGTTAAATAGTCAAACAAAAACTTACTAACTTGATGTAGACTGAAATACAATTGGCTCCACTTGTAAATGAAAAGGATTTCAACAAATCCTTTATAAATGGTTCTTTGAAATTAGAAACTAATTATTACTATATTGTATCTATGGTTCCATTTCAAAAAGGGGCTGTAATCTTATTTAGTGATGGGCGTCTTACGTATATACAAGAAATCAACGGAAAAATTATCAAAATGGAATCAACTGAAAGGATACAAATCGACCCAATTTAGTTAATAGATCCTATTCGCATGTTCTATTTCTCATCAATTTAGAAAATTGCCATTATACTTAAAAAGTTATTCGTATACGTGTAAGTAAATCAGAACGAAACCAATATATTCGGCAAGTATACGAATTAAACTGATAATAAAACCATAACTACCAATAATATAGAGTTTGTTGATGAATATTTATTCATATTGGAATAGAAAGAATTCATCATCTATTCTTGTAATTCAGAAGGTTTATAACAAATTTTTAGTAAAAAACTAGAATTGAATTTTATTGACATGAAAGTTCAGCAATAAAATGACGTTTATCGCATCTTCTTTTTGCATATATTATCTGGTGTAGAAATCTTTGTTTACGACCCTATTTTATTTTAATTCAAAGAAATCTCATCCAATGATATCATACCAATAAAAGGATTTTAAATTGGATTGTATCATCATATCTTAATGATTGTTGATGAAAATCATAATGAATCTATTATTTATGAATTACATTCTTCAAACTCAACTAATAAATGGACTTTGTATAATAAATATCAGTTAAACAACAAAGTTTATGATATCAAGTTTACAGACAATTATGCAATCTTCCTCGGAAAGAATAGCCATGACATTCTTTATCACTCTCTACCAATCATAGATTATAAAATACACAATCAAATTATCATTCCTGGCCTATAATAAATCCATCTCATTGATTAAACAGAACCTCAGAATAAGAAATTCATAGGTATTACAAAGCATACTTATTTCGTTACCAATTTTAGTATAGCTCATCAAAGGATTGATTGCCAATACTAAGAAGACCCAGGTCCAATTTAATTCTCCTACTATTAAAATTCTACACAATGTGCTAAATTGCCTTAGTAGTAAGAAGGTCAATTATGCCTTTACATCTCAAATTACACAGTTTATTATAAATATCCTATCCTTACTACAGAACATTACATATACATATCAATAGTTGGGTTTTTGTTTGCTTTTGTGTGTGCTATTTTAATAGTATTATTCTTAAATGAATATTTTAAATACACAGGACTTATTATAAATAAAAAACAATAGAATATTCAAATACAAGGATTCCTTAATACTCCTAATAGTTCGAGTTCCGTTATTAGTTATGTTCCTAGTCCATAAAATGAGAATTCTAGCAATCAACACACATTTTCATAAAGTCCACTTTCTCCAATAAATTAACTATCCTTAGATCAAAGTAAATTTCAAAATAAAGATGAAGAGTAATAAAGTTTTGGATAATGAAACACTCATTAAAATTAAACTATTTATAAATTAATATGTATTTACAGTACTTGATATTTCTTTAATTTCTCATTTTTATTGATATCAATTGATTTCAATTGATCTAAATATCCAGAATCCCTCTTGAATATCAATGCCCTATCTCAAACTCAATCCAGTAATTAGATATTAATTAATAAATCAAAACTACCAAATGATTAAATATTAACAATATAGATATCCTTAAGGTATTATTTAATAATTAGTGGAGAATATTTATGAACTCATCAAAATACTAAACTTATAAAGGATATTGATATTATCAATTGTTATTACTTAATTTTGTTTTATAATATAAATTTTTTAGATGAATATTATGAATTCATTAAAGGCCAGGAACAAATCCTTAACTTTTATGAAGTTGACAATTATTTAGATTATTTTGATAATTTGGTAAAGTGTTCTTTCAACATCTACCACATAATCAAATATTATATTCAATATTCATTTTTTTATAATTGCTATTCATAGATAGTATTAGTAAAAATAATTAATGAGTCTGCATTATTTATTGTACTTTTATAATATATGTCAATCTGTGTGTTAAGATCCTTTGGTAGCACCAACTCCTGGCTTTCCGTGTCTGGTTGGCTTATAGGTTAAAGAAAATTCACCCAAATATCTATGATTATAGTTTTGCATTCATTTATACCTGCCGATCATATCAAACTTAATTTCAACATTGCTAAATTATCTGCCATTATATACTCCAACAATTGATCCAACCATCTCTGGGACTACGATAGTATTTCTTTAATGAGTCTTGACTGGTTTTGGTTTTTCTCCTGGTAAGGTTTCTTTCTTTGATTTACGAATCTAATGATAGTTTGAAACACTTGATTACTTTCTTCATTAAATTTTAGAAGGCATGAACTTTTTCACCTTAATTAGAAATTCTTCTTCTTTATCTTGCTCTGAATTACTCAACCAACTTATCCATAGGCAATTTGACAAGCTCTTCAAGTTATAATCCTCTGTAGGTAAACTTCTTAACACCTTTGAATTGTTTGTCTTAAGTTTATTCAGCCATTATTTGAAAAATGAAAATAAAGATTTTAATCTAATATAAACATAAAGCATTGTATATTAAATACCAAACCAGAGCCTATTTCAAGATATCCATAACTTTAAATATTCGGAGATATGTTAAGAATGCAAGACGAGTTCTCAAAAGCGAGCTGCCATAATAGAAGACTTTATAATAAACCAGTTAGTAATTATTTATGCAATAAATTATAATTTGATTATCCCATTGTTATAAAAAATATCAATTCAAAATCTCTAATCATACCATTAATAATACTGACCTTTATTTCTTCATTATTTAATGATTAAATATATGACAAATCATTAAATAATAATAATATCTATGTTAGTATCTCCCTCCAGACGATTAGTCAAGAGAGACACCAAATCTATGAGACCTTCAATGTTTTTGAATGAATTCAACATATCTTCCGTGTCTTAATTAATAACAGTAAAAAAAGAGGTCAATGAGAGTTCAACAAGGAGCATAGAAACCTTTGGATCAGTAACCCAAGGGAATGAGATATCAGAAAGTGGGAGCACATTATTTCTACCCNAAACTTATAAAGGATATTGATATTATCAATTGTTATTACTTAATTTTGTTTTATAATATAAATTTTTTAGATGAATATTATGAATTCATTAAAGGCCAGGAACAAATCCTTAACTTTTATGAAGTTGACAATTATTTAGATTATTTTGATAATTTGGTAAAGTGTTCTTTCAACATCTACCACATAATCAAATATTATATTCAATATTCATTTTTTTATAATTGCTATTCATAGATAGTATTAGTAAAAATAATTAATGAGTCTGCATTATTTATTGTACTTTTATAATATATGTCAATCTGTGTGTTAAGATCCTTTGGTAGCACCAACTCCTGGCTTTCCGTGTCTGGTTGGCTTATAGGTTAAAGAAAATTCACCCAAATATCTATGATTATAGTTTTGCATTCATTTATACCTGCCGATCATATCAAACTTAATTTCAACATTGCTAAATTATCTGCCATTATATACTCCAACAATTGATCCAACCATCTCTGGGACTACGATAGTATTTCTTTAATGAGTCTTGACTGGTTTTGGTTTTTCTCCTGGTAAGGTTTCTTTCTTTGATTTACGAATCTAATGATAGTTTGAAACACTTGATTACTTTCTTCATTAAATTTTAGAAGGCATGAACTTTTTCACCTTAATTAGAAATTCTTCTTCTTTATCTTGCTCTGAATTACTCAACCAACTTATCCATAGGCAATTTGACAAGCTCTTCAAGTTATAATCCTCTGTAGGTAAACTTCTTAACACCTTTGAATTGTTTGTCTTAAGTTTATTCAGCCATTATTTGAAAAATGAAAATAAAGATTTTAATCTAATATAAACATAAAGCATTGTATATTAAATACCAAACCAGAGCCTATTTCAAGATATCCATAACTTTAAATATTCGGAGATATGTTAAGAATGCAAGACGAGTTCTCAAAAGCGAGCTGCCATAATAGAAGACTTTATAATAAACCAGTTAGTAATTATTTATGCAATAAATTATAATTTGATTATCCCATTGTTATAAAAAATATCAATTCAAAATCTCTAATCATACCATTAATAATACTGACCTTTATTTCTTCATTATTTAATGATTAAATATATGACAAATCATTAAATAATAATAATATCTATGTTAGTATCTCCCTCCAGACGATTAGTCAAGAGAGACACCAAATCTATGAGACCTTCAATGTTTTTGAATGAATTCAACATATCTTCCGTGTCTTAATTAATAACAGTAAAAAAAGAGGTCAATGAGAGTTCAACAAGGAGCATAGAAACCTTTGGATCAGTAACCCAAGGGAATGAGATATCAGAAAGTGGGAGCACATTATTTCTACCCTTCGTAGAGGAGAAACCTAGTATTCGATTTATTAAACCAACTTCCAACCCAAAACAGTCTTTGAGCAATAGAAAGGTAGTGTTACCTCAATCAGATTCAAATTCTCCTCTCACAAAGTCGGATATCCACTTACCACAAATCAATTCTATACCAACTTCTCCAAAAAAGTTTTAAATAACAAACCACAAAAGACATTTGACTAATATTGATGAATAACACAAGAAAGTGGAATTCAGAAAGTCTATCTAAGTTATTGATTTCGTCAATAACATCATCACTAAAGATGTGATAGATGGAAGCGTTAAACCATTAAAAAAAAAATTGCAAAGATAACAAACCAAAATGGTAAAGAAGGAATGAGGAAATAGAGTGAGTAATATGATTTTTTTTATCTAATCTATATCGTAGAAATCTGATAATATTTCTTTTTTTTTCTTGATTTTAAGTGACACCAGTTAATCAATTTATATCTACATCTCAACATATATTTAAAATAAATATATTTTATTTTTAATTGAAAAATAAAGATCTGATATATTTAGGATGATGATTGGAGACTAGTAGCTGAATTATAATTTTAAAGTCAATGTACCTTGATTATACACCTATAAAATGGGTACTATGATCGAAATCGAGAAAGTAATTTAATTATATAATGCAATCTGACTGCATGATATTGAAATTAATTATTCTTAATATTAATTTCATTAATTTAGATGTCTGCATAAATCTAAGTTTGTTTAGACACGTTGGCTTTTGATTAAATTGAAGAAATAGTTTTGATTAATGGATAGCCATCAGTCGAGTTAACTGTGTATACACCCTTTAGTTAATACTGTTTTGAAAGTAATGAATGTGTTTATCTCAAGGTAGCAAGCCAATAAAGGAGTTCTATGAATATGTATAACATATCCAAAAACATTGTTTCGTGTTGCTGAGCCTAGACAAAGCTTAGATCGATCTCCTTCAAAGTGTGAAGGACAAAGCCAAAACAATCATCGCGATTAATAAACTAATTGGTGAGCTATTATATAGAAGAGATCTGATTACTAAATAAAAAGTAAATGATTGTGTTATCTAGAGACCATCAACTTATTAGGTTTGAATCAATAAATTTAAGTATATTCGCAAATCAAAGCTTTAGTATATCATTTCTTTATACAGATTAGATTCCGAATATAGTCATGGGCTTCAAAATCTCCGATTCTAATCTTACTGTGTCATAAATGATAATAGTCAATTAATTTTTGGTTGTAACTTTGGAGAATCAGAGTTAATTGCAAAAGTTTGGCAAAATTTGGAATTTGATTGAACCTGAAATTATGGGTTAAATGATTGTATTTGTAATTGGAGAAGCAACTCCATTCCATAGAATCTTTGATAAATTTTATAGTTTCAAACTCTTTTGTGTGTAAAATAGTAATATACTCAATGATTAATTTAGTCAATGATAAGTTGGTTGTAGGCACATGTTAAGGATCATTGATTATATACTAAATAACTGAGCATTCAATATAAGAGAAAACAACAATTTAAGTCTTGACATCTCCCATATACAGAATCCACCAATTTAATGAAGAAATTTATCTTGTCACAGATAGTTAAGTCAAGATATTGGATCGATAGACTTTTGATTTAATCGGAGGAGGAAGTCTGAAAAATAGGTTGTAAGCAGCTTGGATTTCATGTCTAAATTTTGATGACAAAGAGAAACTCTTGTTTTTAGGTAATATTAAATATACATCATGTAGGTACTTCATAAGGTTTCATACTTGTTTATAAAAGGACTGAAAAGCTAGAGTTCTTAAATTAAATCAATTTTAATGTCAATACTCCAATCAAATCAATTCAAATTATGGATAATTATCTTTACCCATGTACTGATAACGGAGTTGCTATTATATAAATGAAATATATGGATAATCAATTCTAATACTAAGAGAAAACAGCATTTGCAAGTTAGTTAAAATTAGTTGGGTTCATGAGGACCTAGAGTTCTGTATTTGGATTCACTTAATGTGGATTATTAGTATAATGGAACCCAGAAAATGGATAAATGAATTAAGCATATAAAATAGATAAAAATTGTTTATTTGGATTATATAAATAGAATTCAATATTTATTGTTACAAGTGAACAAATGATTCATATAGTTAATTTTTAATGAAATCAATTAATTGTGATTTTTTATATTTATTATCAATTTATTTTTTATCCTTTTGATAATTTCATCCAACTCAATTTGAGAATGGGGTAAATATTACTAATTATTAAATCCTCTATTTATTATTATAATTAAAAAAAACAATATAACATATAATCAGACATGTATCTTTCGCAACTCTACAAATCCAGCTTAATCTTACACAGTTAAGTATTGTTACTTCTCATTTCTTTTTTATAACAAAAATAACTAATTGGTGCTTATTTGCATTGCTTCTACAGGGCCATACTTTCCATAGTCTAAAAATTCATTTACTATGAACTCAACATATGTTTACTCCTTTCTTGAATCTATATGATGAGCTTAAGTATCGATATTCATCACTATGACCTTTGTATTAGGCACTTTATCAAAATATCCTCCAACAATAAAAATCTAGGTTGGATTTACCTAGTATGCAAAACTAAAGCTGGGTAATATAAAGTGAGGTTTTTTAAAATTTATAACTTGCCATTCTTTATTTTTCAGCTCTTCAACATAATTTAGAGGCTTGTTATTGATTTCAACTCCCCCATATTTGAAAATACTTGAGTTATTATAACAAACCAAGGAACATCCTATTCCTGGCTTCTGGCAATCACTTAATTTAGCCCACTTTTAAGTTTGAATATTGTAACAAAAGGTATTAGCAGTCAATGCTTAATCACTATACCCAGAACAAATGTACAGCAGCTAATTATTTTCTCTAATATATACTAATTTATCTACATATAACATATCCGAAACCCCATCTGTTCGTATTACTTTAAGGAATTTATGTCACTTCTTTTAATGCTGGTATCTCATCATCTAACTCATAAACTAAGTGACAATTCATTCCCCCTATTACAAAAACTCGAAACTATTCAAATATTATAGTCACAGCCTATTCTGAAATCTATTACGATTGAGACAAATCTAGTAGCTCTAAGAAGTAATTTTTCATTTTAAACAAATTTGATTATAAAATATTCCTAGTCCAAGGAATTCCATATGCGATAGATCGAGCTTCAGGTACATTCAGTATACAATATTACTTACGATAATATTCAAAAGTCTCTGAAAATGTTATTTTTAAGTTGTCCTTTATCAGCTTTTGTGGTTCCTAAATTGATAGCGTTTGACAGAGCTCTTATAACTTTATTCTTTTGTGTGGATCCTGTTCCACCATGCTTTCTAAGTAGGATTTATAGGTGTCTCCATATTTCAATTAGATCTCTTTGATACTTTATTTGATATCTTCAAATTTCCTTAATTAGTCTATGCGTTTTAATAAAAAGAGCTATATAAATATAAGTCCTAAGGAATAAACTGCTTGAGAGTAGATGTGAGTAATATTTTTATAATCCTTCACTTATTCAGGTGCCTGATATAGTAAGCTTTCCTTTTTTGCTTTTTCTAAGGAATGTTAAGTTAATAAAATTGGAATGCAATTAAATTTCATACATGTATCTGAACAAATCAAAATGCAAGACATTGTCACAGGATTAAAAGTAACGACTTATTATTATTGCAAATAATTAATTGACAAGATTATTGCCCTAAAGAATACAACAATGTCCTCTTTCAATAATTATATTTTTTTTGACTAATTTAATTAAATAAATTACCTATATGTTCTCCAGATATTAATTTAAATTCTATGAATAGGTATCAAACACTAAAATAAACTTGTATAATTTGTTTAAATTTTAATCAATCAACATGTCATATGTCTAGTTAACAATAAATATATACCCATTTATCTATGCATAATAATCCATCAGAATTAATGATTTCATATTTGTGTATTTCATCTATGTACTTTAAATGTTCTTTTTCATTCGAGATTAATCTTTCCAACAGAAACATTTTATTATTTTTCTTTCTATTATATACTTTTATGATTTTCATATTAACATCTTCATCAATAAGTTCTTCCTATTCCAGCCCATCCAATACTCTATCAAAAGGAGTAAATTTAGAAATTTTCTTCTTTATCATCACTGAAAATAAAATTAGAATTTTTATTATTGCATCATTTTATGTAATACAAAATCTTGTCCCTCTTTCTAATTTCGATTATTTATATTTTTATGAGCTCTTCTTCACAACATAAATTGTAAGGAGGATTTTAAAGGAATCTAGAACCCTTTTTTGGTTTAAATAATAGGCTTTAGGATTGTTATCAATCTGATATCATTTTTGAATGCAATTAGAATTCATACATGTATAAATAAAGCGGAACGGATTTTAGGTTATTTTAAATTCTTCAAGATTCAATAATTTGTAGACAAGAAATAAAATTATATTTAAACAATTAATTCTATATATTTGTATCTTTTACAAGAAAATTCATCAAAAGTGGAATCGAGCTAAATAAATTTGGCTGTGGATGATAGCATTAGGGGCTTAAAATGCGAAATATTTATTAGTTAAATAGGAGGAAATTGCGTACTAAATTCCTGTTAAACTTCTGGTTCGACTTTAAATACTTTTGCATAGCTAATAGCATTAATCTAGAATATCTCTCTTATATAGATAGATCTAAATTGTTAAAAAAAGTTGGAAAGAAATATGTGTAATTAAAATAAGAATATCAAATATGAATTGTTGGAGGAGGCAACCTAGTTTATTGAAATCATACTATTAAAATCATGTTATGAAAATGACTGGAACGATTCAATAGTACGATTGTTAGGTTTTATGGATTAAAAGATGAGGATAAACTTACAGATCAAATAAATTATTTAAAAATAAGAAGCAATATATTAATGAATTGTGTTAAAAAATTTTAATTAATTTATAAATATATTATAAAACATTTATGCCTCTTTTTACAAATTTAAATTATTAAAGCTAAGTACTTTTAAATTCAAAATTGTTCTCTAAAATCCTAATTTTACTTATAATTTCATGAGCTTGGTGTTTTATAATAATTATAGACATGGAAAGTAAATATTATTATTTGTTAGTTAAAAGATACATCTGAATTAACTATCAAGGTTAATCGTGTGAATAGTTGTCCTACAATAAATTATGAAAATCAATTTTATTATTTTATCATGTTTCAAAAGATTTAAATTATTAAAATTTATTGAAAGTATATCGCTGCATTCTCTAAAATTACAAAGAATATCATTATGTCAACCGTTTTAGCTTAGTTAAGTTTCATTGAGATATAAATTGTTTTCTAATTTTGTTATTAAACCTCAATATAACTGATGAATTTAAGATGACCATAGACAATTTCGATAAATTCATTATGAGATTATGAAATAAAAGATGCCGGTTCAAGTTATCAACACTAATGAAGGTTCTTATTAGATATTCTTTAATATCTAAGTAGGGTTTCAGTTTTTTGTTCTTTTTAATTCAATAATTTATAAAATATATTTTGTTTAAGGACTTACCATTAAAAATTTAAGTTAAGATAAGCGATTTTAGAATTTGGATGTTCTTAAACTGAAAAATTCATTAACAAAGCCCAAGTGTCTATTTCTATTTTTCAATTTTATTATACAAAAAATTCCTAAATTCACTGACATGATGCTAAATATTGTTATTTGTCATTCATATTGATCATTATTAATGAATCTCACACTCTAAAGAATAAATATACAGTTTAAATAATAAGTCAATAATAAGAAAATAAATTAATAGATAGATTATTTCAATTCAATTCCCTTCTTTGAAACTTTTAATGTAAAAAGTTATTCCACTAATGAAGCTAATCTGTTAGGATTACATGATCACATCTTTTTTTAGTAGTTTTTGTTTTTTTTTCAAAAGGAGAAACACACCTAAGAGGTTTCTTATGATTGAATCTATTATTCTTTAACTAAATTGGAATCATTTCTTCTTCTTCTATTATTGGCTATGTATCCCCGAAGCATTAAAGAAAACTTAAAGGCGATTTTGATATTTTTTCCATAAAAATTTAATAAAATAATTAGTTATGTTTTAATAATCATCAAGCTTGCTCTTCTAGACTGATAATACATCTCATTTTTAATTAGTGAACGTATTTATGAAACAGATTTGTTATAATGGAATGTCCAGAAAATTTGTGGACCTAGTTATTATTATTGAACTACATCTCATATATATTTACTAGCCAAAATATTACTCAATATAAAATGAAATTAAAAAGGAGTGAAATTCCTTCAATGAGAGGAAACGCAACTTAACCTAGAAATGACCTTGTATTGTTCTTGTATCCTTATTTCGAAGAGGGCGTTTCTAAGAATTGTTGATAGAAAATGGAAAATTGGTTTATACGACTTCTAGTATTAAAAATTTAATATGAAAATTTCTGGCAAATATTTCTATAATCCGAGCTCATTTTCTTTAATCGAGAAGTAAGTATTAAGTTTTTTAATTAAACATAAACAGTTTATATTATCAACAGTCATTAGTAATGGTGATTGATTGTCACAAGGTCATTCCATTTCCGTGGTGTACCTGATCGGGATGTTAGAATTTGTGGTGTAGATAGTTATTCCATGAGATAAGTTCGTCAGTTATAACTTAAATGCTCTTCTTTCTTCTTTGTATTTTACTTTTTGAGATTTCAAGTGCAATGTGGTGATTAAAATAGTGCTTTTTTGGAGAATCGTATTATTAATCATCTCCATTGATCGGACTAGTATCGCCATTCAAAATTAGTTAAGTAATTGGATGATATTGGATAGTTTACATAAGAGGGTTATTTAAATAGTGTTGTATTTTTAATATTAATTTAAATTACTGTTGCATGAATAAGACTTGTTCGATTAAAAATGTAAAAGATTTGAACCAAATTTATGGGAATGATATTTTATTTTAAAATTAATACGCATCATTATTATTTCTAGAATAAAGTGAAGTTAATTAAACAAATAATATAAATCAAAATATCAATATAGTTTTTAAAAGAATTTATGTTCTAGAATTTGTTTACAATTAATTCTACGATGATGATCTATTTAAAACATCAAATAAAGAAGATCAAGAAGATCCTGGTCTTCTATAATTTGATGTAATTATTTGAAATTCTAGACTTTTGGAAGAGAGTTAAATCTGGATTTAAATTTGGAACGTTGTTTCATGTACGAGGGAATGGGTCCAAAGATGGATTGTATAATAGCCAGATGCATTAAATCGTTATTGCCTACTTTAATAAAAACTCTTCCTATATTGAGGTTTGTTTTTTGTATATACCAGTGTATAATTCTACTATGAGGCAAGCTAGACTCCAGATGTCACTTGAGGTGTCCCAGGTGTCGCATCGCATAATGACCTCAGGTGCTCTGTATTACCTAGTATTGATGACGGTACTGTGATGTTCATTGGCTTGAGTGGCACCTCCCATGTCTATTAGTTTAACTAAATGTCTTAGTCATTTAATTGATCTGGGTACTTTTGTTGATTGGCAAAGACAACGTTTTCGGGCTTGAGATCGGTGTGTGTGATTCCGAGGGAATGCATAAACATTAGTGAGGTAGTGACTTATTTAAAGATTGATTGGATTTCCTTAATGTTGAGTGTGTGTGATTGGATATAATCATGGAGATTGATGTCAAGCTGTTTAAATTGTTGAATATGCTACCCTTTCAAGTAAAATACAATGATAGTCCTACCAAGTGAAGTAATCATAGAATTTGACGATACCCGCCTCACCGAAGGGGTCACGTAACTAGATTTTTCTTAAGACATCCACTTCTGTATGATCAGTTTCGCTCAAGATCTGAATATTAATCTAATAACTTTCACAGCATATGGGTTTCCCTGTTGGTCAATCACTTCTAAAACCATTCCGAATGTGCCCGAACATAAATATTTCGTTATCACATATTTGTCTATTTTGTCTCCGATTTCATAGTGGAAGTGGCATCCACTGCTTGAAGAACTCCCTGATGAGCTACTGCTACTTGATGAACTAGAAGAAGAAGAGCTGCTGCTACTCCCACTGCTACTCCCACTGCTACTACTATCGGTAGTTGATCTAGCCATCAATCTACTTTAAATTGCTTAAATCACTTAAGTTTGGAAGTATCGCGACTTCTACTCCTGATTTTGTAGTGCATTGTCTACGGCTCTGGTGTTTGCATTCTAATTTATTTTATATTTTTATTAATGATTTAATCAAATCAAACATTTGGTTTAATACCAGACACCGACTATCTGACAGTTGAACCTGAACTTTTCACGACTGACCTCGTTACCGTACTACTCGTAGTCACAATCTCTAATACACCTCATAGCCATACCTTCTGCTTTTTCAGAGCTTCTAATTCAATTTCAGCATTCATCAATTTCTCTTGAGTCTCACTATAATCATGGTTTATTTCCTAAAACTTCCTCTTCCACACTTCCGCTTCATTGTTGACTTCTGTTATTCTTTAAGTAATCACTTCGCTGCGAGTCTGTTCAATTAAAACTCTCAATCTTTGATTCTCATCTTCTAGTTCATGAACCTAAATTTAAATTGTACATTTACTCTTGTATTGTCCATCTCCTTAACTATTTACACCTCCTTCTTCTTCTCTAATTCTGCAATAAGAGATTATAAATAGAGCACTTCATCTCTCCAAGGTGCTTCAATTTCTTCTCTTGATACNTGTCACTTGAGGTGTCCCAGGTGTCGCATCGCATAATGACCTCAGGTGCTCTGTATTACCTAGTATTGATGACGGTACTGTGATGTTCATTGGCTTGAGTGGCACCTCCCATGTCTATTAGTTTAACTAAATGTCTTAGTCATTTAATTGATCTGGGTACTTTTGTTGATTGGCAAAGACAACGTTTTCAGGCTTGAGATCGGTGTGTGTGATTCCGAGGGAATGCATAAACATTAGTGAGGTAGTGACTTATTTAAAGATTGATTGGATTTCCTTAATGTTGAGTGTGTGTGATTGGATATAATCATGGAGATTGATGTCAAGCTGTTTAAATTGTTGAATATGCTACCCTTTCAAGTAAAATACAATGATAGTCCTACCAAGTGAAGTAATCATAGAATTTGACGATACCCGCCTCACCGAAGGGGTCACGTAACTAGATTTTTCTTAAGACATCCACTTCTGTATGATCAGTTTCGCTCAAGATCTGAATATTAATCTAATAACTTTCACAGCATATGGGTTTCCCTGTTGGTCAATCACTTCTAAAACCATTCCGAATGTGCCCGAACATAAATATTTCGTTATCACATATTTGTCTATTTTGTCTCCGATTTCATAGTGGAAGTGGCATCCACTGCTTGAAGAACTCCCTGATGAGCTACTGCTACTTGATGAACTAGAAGAAGAAGAGCTGCTGCTACTCCCACTGCTACTCCCACTGCTACTACTATCGGTAGTTGATCTAGCCATCAATCTACTTTAAATTGCTTAAATCACTTAAGTTTGGAAGTATCGCGACTTCTACTCCTGATTTTGTAGTGCATTGTCTACGGCTCTGGTGTTTGCATTCTAATTTATTTTATATTTTTATTAATGATTTAATCAAATCAAACATTTGGTTTAATACCAGACACCGACTATCTGACAGTTGAACCTGAACTTTTCACGACTGACCTCGTTACCGTACTACTCGTAGTCACAATCTCTAATACACCTCATAGCCATACCTTCTGCTTTTTCAGAGCTTCTAATTCAATTTCAGCATTCATCAATTTCTCTTGAGTCTCACTATAATCATGGTTTATTTCCTAAAACTTCCTCTTCCACACTTCCGCTTCATTGTTGACTTCTGTTATTCTTTAAGTAATCACTTCGCTGCGAGTCTGTTCAATTAAAACTCTCAATCTTTGATTCTCATCTTCTAGTTCATGAACCTAAATTTAAATTGTACATTTACTCTTGTATTGTCCATCTCCTTAACTATTTACACCTCCTTCTTCTTCTCTAATTCTGCAATAAGAGATTATAAATAGAGCACTTCATCTCTCCAAGGTGCTTCAATTTCTTCTCTTGATACTACTCCCAATCTTACTACTGTTTATTATGATGGACCGCAAGATGATTAACCACAAGGAGTACAGCATTATTAAGTTTAACCACATCCTCCAAGGAGTATAGATTGTCCTGGAATCTATTGGGATTGTAATTAGTAATTGGTGCTTAACACTTTGCTTGAATAAGAATTTAATTTCCCTTTTTTATGCCAAAATTGATATCCCTCTGGTCTCGAAGATCTAGTATACTTTGTTGTCTTCAATTAAACAACAGTTATAGTACATATTCTGTTTAAGGAAGAGTGACTTATTTCCTTTCTTCTACAAATGATTCAGGTCTAAGTGTTGGGAAATAACTCATGTATTAATTTTTATTTCTTTAATTAATTATGGATAAAGTAGAATCTGAATGCGTTCTCTGCGTTTAAGAGGCTGAAATCATTGCATTGGGCCATTGTAATCACAAGACTTTCTGCTATTAATGCATGATCAAAATGAGAGTCATTAGCAAAATCAAAGCCTGTCCTATTTGCAAACAAACCTTGGATAAAATAATTCTCACAGATAATCTCTAGGCTCAATTTAGTGATTATTCTATAAGCAACCTGATGTCTATCAATTATTCCGTAACTAATCACTTTTAAATATTTTCTAGAAAGATTCAAAAGATGTTTTCTTCACAGATTCAGCATTAATCAAGGAAAAAATAGAAGGTTTGAACAGTTTTAAATGTCCATTCCAAGATTGCCAAGCTGATTAACAGATAAGTAACTTCAACCAATTAAAATTACACTTAAAAGTTGAGCATTAGCGTTTCTATTGGTAATCATATTTGGTATATTTAAATAGTGATGTGTGCATCGAGTAGAAGACTTGTTTCCTGGGAGAATAACAATTATACTCAGAATATTAAGTTAGACATCATATAAATTATGGGGATGTGGATGAAGATTCAAATATCATATTTAAACATCCCTTTTGTAAATTTTGTAGAAAACATTTTTATGATGAAGATAAATTTAAATAACATTTAAATCTTGCTCACATTAATTGCAGTTTATGTGAAAATATGAAACTCACTTTCTATAAAGATCATGGAAGTTATGAAAGACATTTGAAGTTGTCACATCATTTGTGTGAGGAACCAGAATGCAAACAAATGTTAGTCGTTTTCAAAACTTAATGTGAGTTAGATATGCATAAACAAATTCATTGCAATGATCCTAGAATTAAAAAGATGTCTAACTTAAATGTGTAACAAATAGCAGGATTCTATGACGATTCTAAATAAAAAAAATAACTTAATGATAAAGAAGGAGAAGATTTCACAGATCAGTTTATTTCCCTTGAGTAAACCAAGTTAAAAGCTGTGATTCAAATTGATCAACATAAAGATGAGAACATTGATTTTAGAGAATACTTGTATGTGGACTATAATGATGAATAAGACAAAATTAGTGATTAGAGTGAAAAAATGCATTCATAATAAAATATTTGTTTAGAGGATTTGCAATTGATTAAACCATATACACTTCCTCATATGAAGTTTCAATCCTTTATGGCAAAATGTGCCTAATTCTTCAAAGGCTAGAAAAATAAGGAAGAATCATTAAGAAAATTAATTTAACTATTTGAAACTGATAAAATGAGCGCAGAACATTATGTAAATAGCTTCATTTAAATGTTTGAACCTAAAACAGGATTACGATTAATTACTTTTTATATGGCTATGAAAGATGTGAGAGATAAATTTGCGAAAATTTTAGATGATGCTTATATGAAGGAGTTGAAAGCATTGCCAAGAAGGAGTAATCCAATCATAATTGTATGTAAAACATATTCAGAATTATTTATTAAATTATTGGACGAATTAAATAAAAATCTAATCAAAAGAATTGAAGATGGGGATTTGGTTTAGTATTAAGATACCATTATGCCCAAAGAAAGAGTATTTTAATTGATTGAAGTTTTGAGACATGTAAAGACGTCCGAAATGGGAAAATTCAAATTTGCTTTGAACTTTGGTCTCAGCACATAAGTATTAGAACAAATCAAACGTAAAATTCTTTTAGATGACATTTCAAAAATTTAATGTAAATAATCTCATTACTTATCAATTAGAACACATATCCTCCATATCAAATCATGATTTAGTTCCATTTTATCTTTATGTGAATTTGAGTATGAAGATTTTAAGAGGAGAACAAATTCACAAAGAAAAGAAAGATCTCAATGAATGTGTTTACTATGAATTCTTCCAGAACAATAAAAAACTATACAGTTTGATCAAGAAACCAGATAATAGTGATATTAACAGACAAAACCTATTATAGAAATAAAATTAACTAAATAGAAATGGAATTGAAATGAATGCAGCTGATTTTCCTTCTTTACGTAATTCTTATTCTAATTTTCATAGCTAAAGCAGAGAAATAGGAATAAAAATTAGAGTAGCAATTTTATGTCAAATAAAATGAACCCCAGCAATAATAACAATAAGTAAAGAAATCAAAATAAAGACAATAACAAAATCAAGCCATTGGGAAGTGGTAAAATAGTGGAGCAGCCATTTTTTAAAATCAAGCTGCAATTGAAGATCAATTCCCCAGTCTGGCTTCTAACACTAGTACTAATTAATTAAATGTATTTTAGCTTAAGCACCTTCTAAAAATGTTAAATCTAATAATGGACAATTTTAAGATGATGACTTTGTCCCTTTAGCTGATTATAAAGTGACTAAATAAAATGAAGAAAGTGAATGGGATAGTAATCCAATAATACCAGTAACATTAAAATCTATATATTAGAAAAAAAATACATAAATGAAAGAGGTTGCCTAAATAAAGAAAAAGAACAAAAATATTGTATAGATTTCAGGTGGTTTTAGATGATTTGTCTTGTAAGTCGAATGATGAATTGATTTGCTTTGGGGGGATACTTATATTGTTAATATTGTATCAATAATTCATTTCTTATGTCTCTCTGTCTTTCGAAGTTAAAACTATTGCATGCCTTCTTATTCTTAATTTCATTCTTAGCATTCTATTTTGTCATCAATTTTTCACAAAGGAGATTTAAAATCGATTTCAACATAGAATAAATAATATTATGTAAATGTAATTGTAATTGTATATATAAAATGTGAAAGAAAAGAAGAGATTTGATAATTGAAACAATTATCGAAATGGTTAATGATATCATTGAATAATGTCATAGATTATATTTAGTTATGAATTTAAGTAATTACATACATGAGATAAAACATATAATTATTTATAAATGGATTTCTTATCACCTGACAATGCTTGTGGACAAAGTCTATTGATTCTGGTTGCAAGAGGAAGTGCCATTTTAGCTGAAATTTAGAGACTCTCAGAAAACATTCCCAAGATTATTACCAGCAAGGCTTAAGAATATAAAAAATATGAGAAAATCTTATTTGACTTTGAATACTTGAAAAACATCGATGTTCTTGAGGATGAGATATAAAGAAACTAAGTATGATATCATCTAAAGTAGGAAATAAACGAATTGGATGAAAACTTTAAGAAATCTTATTTACCATTAGTAGAAAGATTTTATAGATTATTTGAAAGCATTTATTTGTATTATTCCGACTTGATGGCATTTATATAGGAATTGGAGGAAGCTGTTTTTATGCAATATTCTGTTGAGACTGTTTTGTAGGATCCAGAAGGGAAAAGATTATTTGCGGAATCATTTTATTTATATGGATGTATGCTATTATTGGTGGATATCTTGATTCCAGGAAAGGCAAGAGAAAAACTAATCATTTCCTATTACAGATACAAGGGAGGTTAAACAGCAATTGAGTTTATCAACGAAGTAACCAAATTGTGTGCAGAAACTGGGTATTCAAAAAGTGGCACTCGTCCTGCCTTTTATCCTGAAGAATACATGTCTAGATTCTAGTTGCCAGAGAAACTCATAACAGAAGTGATCAATTCTATCAAAGATGAGGATATTTACAAATACACTAGCATTTATCCATCAGCTGATCACAGATCAATAGCATTATCAGTCTAAGGCTCAATGTTGTATGTGTTGTTGTATTTCACTCCATCTATTTTAAATAATAAGAAGGTATCAAAAAATTATCATAATTAAGGCCAAAATGAGAGAAATTGTTGACAAGCATTTCTATGATTAATGGGTGATATCATTCTATTTGGGTTACTTTGTCGATTTATCCGAATAATGGAATCCATATGCTGCAGCCAGAGAAGCAATTAAAAATACAATTAATTTCGATTATATCTAAGAATTAGGAACATTTTATCGCAATAAACTTGCCGAATAGATAAATAAAGCTCAAGAGTATCTCTACGAAGGATAAATGACACAAGAATTTGTTCTGGACAAGATATCATCTTTGATGAATTGTGTTAGAGAAAGTAACATAGCTATTCGATGGATTTTACTTCATTCTAACACTAGCATTCCAAAGGCAAGGGAGTTATTAAATAAAATTGACAAATAAGAAGTTTTGTAATTACTATTACAGAGTTCAAAATTTGAAAATCGTTTATTGAAAGCAATAAAGGCTATAATAGATAATAAACAATAATATTGGGATGAAGATAAAGTCAAATGCGTTGAGAGAATGCAAGAATTATCTGATTATTTCAGTGGAAAAGCTTTAGGAAAAGTGAAAGCGGATGAATCGTATATGTAATGGTTTACTGAGATGGGCAATTAAATATAATCCTTAAATTATAGTGATAGCACTCATGCTGGAAGGAAAATTCAAAGATTAATACAAGCTTTAGAAGACATCGAATAATATCCTCAAATTTCTACATCTATACAAGTTAAACATTATTTAAATGAAACTAGGAAAGACTTGACACATATGGTCAAAATAGTTCATATTAAAAGCACTCTGCCTTCACACATTTCATATATTTCAGATTTCAGTTACTCATGGTAATGCTTAAAAGGATATAAAGAATTGATGCAAGCAAAAGTATAGAGTAATCCTCATTCTGCTTTAAGTTTAAAAACCACTTTTTAGAAGTTGTCTTCTATTTTAAATACTCCTACTATTCGTATTATCTAAGCTGGAAGTCCAGATTTAAATAGTGTCACAAAATACTATTCTGGGGAACTTGTTAAATTTGTAAAAGAAGTTCTTTAGATCATACCTATATAAGTATTCGAAGTACTTTAGGATATTATCACATTAATCACATCAGTACTGAAACCACTTCCTTCTAGGATTAACAAAATAGAATTGAAAGATTACGCTTAATATGAAGACAGGACTCAAATTGCCAAATTAACTAATTCAATTTCCGTCTTTACAGAATCCATTTTAACAGTTGATCCTTACTTGTTAGGCTCTATTGAAGTCAATCCCAGAGAAATGCTTGATCAAGGTATTAGGAAAGAATTAATGGCTTTGATCCATAAAATTCTTGATTCGTAATTGATATTTCCCAAAAAGGATATTTAAGATTTCCAAAGTAAATTATCTAAATTAGGGGAGGAGATTAATGGTTTCAAATTAGCCATGGAACAAATTCAAGATTTCGTTAATGCTTAAGGATTAAAGATGTTTACTGAAGAATTTAATAGGTTGATAGAATGTTACACTTCAATGGAACTTAAGGGTTTGATTACTGGAAATAAAGAGTTTGAAGAATTGAGTTATGATGAAGACATTCCTATGCCAGACGATAAAAGTAAGTAATATGGGGCCATCAATTTTATTGGAAGATTATTAAATTAAATCATTTTGATCACTAATCCTAGGGAAGTAGTATTTGTAGAATCAACTCTAGGCTTCTATGATAGCACTGGAAAAGATATATTGAATCTAAAAACCATTGGATTAATATTGAAATGCATAGGTGTTAGTGGATTAAATGGAATTGATTTGCTTCTTAGTTAACATTTATCGAAGGCAGTTAAGGATATTGTGAGAGTATTAAAATCTGACTTAAACCAAGAAAATAGGAATATCATTGATACTCTAATTAAATAAGTGAGATTATTCACAAATTATGATGAGAACTATGATAAGGTGTATAAATAATTGGCTAAGTAATTTAGACCTCTTATTTCTAAAATCCTCTATCCTCTCCAATAGATTGGATAATACATAAATTTAAGGAAACTGATTTGTTTAGTACTGTAAATGAAGGCTAAGGTAGGATCAACCAAACTATTCTTATGTTTAGAAACCTTAAATGACACAATAGTTAACGATTTTATTAATCGATAGTACGATTCGACCATGGAATCAGATGTTAAAACTCAAATGGAAAATAACTTACTGTTTGACCTAACAAAGCTATTCAACTATGTTGGATTATCTGATCCTCTTAGAAAGATATATGCATTATGCGAAATGCCTGAGTATTTATTCATTAAGTATCATTAGACACACTCCATTGATTTTAGCTCTAGTGATATTGCATTAATTACCATTGATGGATTTTGATAAAAAATTGAATTGCCTTGTAAAGAAGGCTAAGGATAATTAATTGCAGTTTGAACCAAATTGTTTATTGATGGGAATTGTTGGATTTTTGAATCAATTTAATCAATTGCATTCATCGCTATTTGTTTCATATTTAGGGTAGAGAGTATGATAATTAATTAGATTTTACATAAAATCAACTATCTTCTTTATGTTGCAATCGAAAGAACTATAGAAATAGCCAGAGATTCTCGGAGACTTCTTCATGTTGCTCACAGTAATCGAGGAGATTTTCAGAATTAGAGAAGAAAGCTATGAAGTACAAATTTAAATGTAAATTAGAATTTTAAATAATTAATTCCTTTTGGATTATTCAACTATTTGAAGAGAGAGATGATAAAATGGTGAAAGAACAGTATTATAACAACATAAATAATATAATAAGGAATATTATTAATTATAATTGTATTATTTTTTTAAAATTAAATTTTCTGAATAAACCTAAAGAAATGCAAAATAAAGAAAGCACTGAATAGTACAATTATTGACTAAGATTAGTGATCACTTATTTAAATTGTTACTCATTGGAACTAGTGGAGTTGGAAAATCCTGTATGTTGATGAGATACGTCGATAATAATTTTACAAACAATTTTTATAACACAATCGGAGTGGACTTTGTAATTTATTATTTTAACAAGTAGAAAATCAAATCGATATTCTTAGAGAATAAAAACATCAAATTGTAGATTGTAATAATATATTTCAATTTCTTAGTGGGATACTGCAGGTTAAGACAGATTCAGAACAATCACATGTAGTTATTATCGGTAAAGAATATGTTGAAAATAGTGGAGCACATGGGATAATCATTGTTTATGATATAACAGACAGAGAATCATTTGACTCTGTAAAAATGTGGATGTCTGAAATTGATAAGTATACTCTTGGAATTACACATAGGTATGCTCAAGAAGATGTGATAAGAATGCTAGTTGGAAACAAATGTGATGTGGAGGACAAAAGGGCTGTTTCCTATGAGGAGGGCGAAGCTTTGGGTACATAATTTTAAAAATTTAAGCTAAACAACTGAAATTGCAATTTATAGAAACATCAGCCAAATTGTCCACCAATATTGAATAGTCCTTTTTGACAATTGCAAAAAATGTTCTAGAAAAAAGCTAAAATTCTATAAAAGCAGAATCAGCCTAGAATATGAAAATAGGATAGATTTCATCCACTTAGGTAATTGGAAATACAAATAAAAAAAGTTCACAATGTTGTTGAATTATAATTATTAAAATTAAACACGATTATGTTTGATATTCGTTTCTTACCTTTTCTACTTGTTTTCACCTTAGCGATTATAGTAGAAAGGCCTATTACATAAATATCATGGTGTGGAGCTTCCATTATTTACACCAGAGAAGATGAAACCATACCTCAATTTTAAGGTTTGGAAGAAGAAAAGACAATATTTTTTATTACTGAAGCTCATCAAATATATCAAAGCAATGGAACTGTTTGGAATCAAATTGAGGGTTTATTTGAAGATATTTAGATTTCGCCAGCAGATTCACGTGTCATATTTTTATTTGGACAAAATGGTTAGAAAAGCTATAGAACAAATGATTGTGGTGAAAATTTCGAGGAAATCGACACCGAGGGCTTTTATGGATTTAGATTAAATAAAATGAATTGGAAATGGATACTAGCATTTAAAAAATTATAATGTGATCATTCTGAGATGGATTGCAGAGAACCATATAATAATTAATTGTTTTATTCTGAAGACGGAGCAAAGACTTGGTTGCCATCATTTAAGAATTGTAGAGAAGCCTCCTGGGATAAGATCATAGAAGACATTGCTGTTCCAGATGAAAGGTCTATTCTACTATTTTCACATGAAAATCAAACATAATTGATCTACTCTGACGATTTCACTAATTATCATACTTTAATGATTGGTGCCCAAGGCTACTATTAAACCTCAAAATATCTTTTTGTTTTAACCTCTTCCAGCAATGGAGGATATGAATTGCATTATGGTCATTCAAAACTCGAAGAATTTTAAGAGAAATTGGTGGAGTTACCATTATAAATTCTAAAAGAATATTCCTACACGGTCTTAGATACTGAAAATGGTAGAATATATTTATCTGTCTCTCATTATCAATAAGAACAATCAGTAACTAATGTGTATATCAGTAATTAAATTGGATTAGATTTCTAAATTGTGTTAACTAATAATGTTAGATCAACCTAAGATGGAAATTGTGATTTTGAAAAACTATTGGGTTTAACCTCAACTTATGTAGCTAATACATATGACTAAAGAGATTAGTAGGATAAATCAACAGTGATAAGTTTTAATGGGGGAAAGAAATGGGAATCGATAAAGGCCCCCAAATAAGACTCAGAAGGGAATATCATAGAATGTGGAGGAGAATGCTCCTTGCACTTTGTTGGAAGAACTGAATCCTATAGATAAACTATTTATACAGTAGATCAAGCGCCAGGTATTGTTTTAGGTGTTGGGAATGTTGGGTTATTTATATCATAAGAGTAAAATACATATATGTCAGCAGATGGAGGATAGAATTGGATTGAAGTCAGAAAAGGGTCTCATGTTTTTGAAATAGCTGATTTCGGAGGAGTCATTGTTATGGCCAAAGATTATGAACCCACTAATGAAATTATTTATTCAATTGATTACGGGAAAACCTGGAAAACAAAAGTTATTTATGACGATCTATTCATGGCATAGAATTTAGTTACTGAAGCATCTGGAACAGTTAAATATTTTCTGATCTATGGGAAAACTGATAAAGGAGAAGGCATCATTTTAAAATTAGACTTTAGCGATATCTTTTCAAGAGAATGTAAATCAAATTTAGATTATGACATCTGGAATTCTAAATGCATTGATGGGTCCTAAACGAAATACTATAGGAAAAAAGAAAACTCAGAGTGTTTCAATCCTAAATAGATGATAACCAAAAGGATAATTGAACCTTGTCCATGTAAAAGGGAAGACTGGATATGTGCCCAAGGCTATACTAGTAAATTAGAGGGAAGTGATTGCTTACCTATTGTTAATGTTTCTGACTATTGTGAACCTGGAAAAGCATTTTTCAAAACATAAGGATATATCAAATTAACTCAATGTGTAGGAGGGTAAATTATTGTATAATTAAAAAAGTTTAGATTTAGGACCAATAGAAACATAATGTCCAGCATCCTTGAATTTGAATGACATCATTTCATATTTAATAATAATTTCATTGCTGGCTGTTTTGATTTTAATAGGCTATGTGTTATTAAGAAGAGGATAAACTTCAGGTGAAAAAGGTTCAAATCCAAACATTAACAAATATAATCAAATGGAGTTTTAGGAAGATGAGGACGACGAAGATCAATAATTATGAGTTTATATGTTATTATCTTAGATATATATTGATAAATTTCAATTTACAATACGAGCTTTATCATAATTACTTCTTAAACAAAGAACAGGATAAAGTTCAATGTCATCTTTATCAAAGTATTCATAAGAAATATTATATTTAAGATATTACTAAGTAGTGCAATTTTTAACACTTACGAATTGGTCGTTGTAAACCAATTCTAATTTTTGGCCAATAACGAAACCAAAATTTTTTTTTTTCCCGTTCTCCTCCTTGTTTTCATCAATATATACTATGCCATTTGCACAAAATAAATAAGATTAATGATTATGTTTTGAATAATCCTTTGGGTTGAATATATTTTATCTTTAAGTAATTCCAACACAAACATTCAAATCTGAGATATGAAGAAATTCAATTTCAATAGGTTTATTTTTTGAATTTTTAATAGCAATCAATCTATCAAATTTTTTATTTTCATTTAAATTTAATTGAGCAATCTTACCATCTTTAATTACCTCAATGTCCTTATGCTTAAAATGTTTGGAAAATTTAATTTATTATTACAATTAAGATAATAAATTAACTTATTAAGAAAGTTCTTCGCAGAAAGTAAACAAGCCCTTTATCTATCTTTGCTAATCTGAGATGATCTATTTTAAGGTTTTAAAGCATTTGGCAATGGTATGATCCTTTAAATCCTTCCTTTATATCTATTGTTGACAATTCTCGCATTCGATTTCAACGAATTAACATGATTGCATGTGTAATATCATCGATATTCTTTTAAGCTATTCTTAACATCCTGAACATTTGATGATAACCTAAGGACACTCATTTTTGTTGTGCAATTCCAGATCTTTTAATTTAATATCAGATAAACATAACTAGCATTTGTACTAGAAAAGACAATAAATAATAATGTTACAATATTTTCTGGACAAGTATCTACATGATTTTGCATCATTAGAATAGGAACTTCGGATGAGCATTTCCCGCATCGAACTTTTCTCTGCAAACACTCATTTAATTCATGTTGTTCTAGTTGCTTTCTCCATATCTCTTATTAACACCATTTACATTATAAAAGTTTAAAAGGACAAGTATTATCGTGCTGATCCTTATCTTTTAAAAGAATATCGATATTGCATCCTTCATACTCACATTTTACTTATTTAAACTGGCATGATTTAATGTGAAAGAAGTACTCGGAATATTTCAAAATTCCTAAACATCCATTTTATTTATAACAACAATACACATCAAGATCGTTAAGCATATTCTTTAGAATGCGTTGCCCCTATTTTTCTTTTAGCTTATTGCAAACAGGGCAACTTCGTGCTGATTGGTTCTAACTCCAGGTTGTTAAACAGGTTTAACAAAAATGATTTTCACAACTTTCACAACACATTGGATCAATGAATATTTCCAAACAAATCATACATTTGCAAAGCTCCTCGATTTATGGACTTCTGTTAACTAACTAATCAAATCTTAAAACTTACATAATTTTAATTATAATTAATTACAATATTTATGAGCGTATAAGAATTCATTGCCAACAAGAAGATGTTAGATGTAGAATGGAGATTTTCAAGTTTTAATCACAATATCATTTTAGTTGCTACAGCCAATAGTTCTAAGGAAAATTATAGTGATTGCTTCTTATAACTTAAAATCAAAACAATTGATAAAAACATGGTAGAAGAAACAACTCATTTCGAATTGACATTAGCATAATTTAACGAGCTGTTTACTGAAATCGAGAAGGTAAAGAATCTAATGAGTTTAATTAAATGAAAAATATATTATTTATAGAATCCAATAATATTTAATGCATAATGTAAATATCATTATTTGCCTAAATTTCAATTAGCACGCCAGTCAAATTAATACCATTTCTTCAAGACGATCCACAACTTCTAAAATCATATTTTGAAAACATCATTTAAATACTTCAAAAGGGAATTTTTTCTTTTTTGATTTTGAATGACTTGCATATAGAATTTATTGCCACTATCTTCTTTATTTCTAGCATCATTCACATATATTTGATTAGGTATTTGAAACTATATTCTTATTGAATCCAATATTCATAATTTAGCCTCGATAACTACTAAATGAGCTCGTCATAAATATTAGTGCACAATTAATAATTGTAGATATAATTTTCTATTTTTAGCAAAATCGATTATAATATTTACCAATTCTATAACATTCTCTAACTCTGAAATCTTAAAACTTGATTCTGATTCTACTTAATCAATTATTATAGATGATGATATTAATTTCAAGATATTTTATTTACTAGTTATAAATAAGTACTTCTATTCACTAAAAAAAATTAACTATCTTTCAGAAGATCTCAAATTGATGAAAAGCTTCATATTTTTAATCCTATTATTATTCTAATTTATTATAAGCTTTCTAATTTCATTTATTTTTTAATTTTATATTTATTCTCATAAAATTTATATTCTTGATTATTATCTAAATTGCATTATTAACTCTTTCTCTCCTTTTTCCTAACAATTTAAGCTTGTCTTCTCTTTATTCATATTTTTCTTTTCTTTTGTTCTACTAGATTTAGTCTTAATTAATTTTTCCAACCCCATTTTAATAATATTTACAATAATATATTCATTATACCTTCTATAATTTCTTAAAATAATCTAATCATTTGTCTAGTACTTACTCTAAACTCTAATTGAAAAGATATTTTATAAGTTTATTTATTAATATATAGCATTTCTAAATGTGGAATGATTTTCTCTAAATTATAGTTTCTTCTGCATTAGTCAAATTCATATTCCATGCTTAACTTGAAATTTTATAAATTCCTTTTTGAAAATAACTTAGCTTCTCTAGAATCAAAAGATTCTTTACTTTCTCTTATTAAAAGACTTAAAAATTAAATTTTAATTTAATAAATTTAACAATTATTTAAGATGGAAACTAATTCATAAAAAGAAACAAAAAGACCATAATAAAGTAATGTTTATATAAAATTTAGTACTTAAAATGGCAAAATTACATAATAACTACAAAGAACCAGAAGACACTTATGAACCAAAAAGAAGAATAAAATATTAGAGTACATTTAATTCAATAGACAAAAAACAACAATTAAATGAGGATTCATCAACTTTTAACGGAATGGAATATTTTGAAAGTCTGTAAAAGAGGAAATCAAGTGAAAAGAACGAAAAGACTCCTTAAAAAGCAGAAAGTGTGTCTTCGATTTTGGCTAAAACATCCTTAAGGGAAAGGTTCTCTAATCTTCATTTGATTAATACTATCGATAAAATGCTAATGCAAAGTAAATATTCCAGTTTGTGTCACATTTTCAAAGAAATTGATGAAATGCTTTTATTTCTCTAAAGCCAATAAAAACCGCCTTTCTTCAATACCATTTAAGAATTATTGAGCCAGAATTCTAAAATTAAAGTCACATAATAAGATATTCAATAGATATTGGAAATCTTTCCAAATGCATATGAAGTAAATTGGTCTTTAAATGAAAAATTAATAAGATTAGATAGAAGTGATTTGATGATAAAGACAAATATTAAATCTCATGTTTAGTTGGGAGAGCGTGTAATTTAGTTTCAATAATCAATGTTTGACTATATTTAAAAAAATGGAGTTTAAATTGGTTTAGCTATTTTACCTTAAAATCCATTTTAATAAATTCTAAAAGAGAAACTCTAAATTACAGATACTTTAACAAAATAAATCTAATAATAAACATCGAAACATGAAATTCAAAGTCAAGTGTCTAAAGAGCCAACCAATTCTAAAGTCAGCTAAAATTTAATAGAGAAATTGAAATAAAAAAAGAAACTCGAAGTAGTTCACTCTGATCTTTCAGCACCGAAAAAATAATTAATTGCTCTTTCGTCTTTAATTCATTAATATTTTCTGAATAGAGATGTGTCAAATATGTTCTTAACAAATGTTTTGAAATACAGTCTCAATAGTTTAAAACAGTTTCTTTTAGATGAAAATTAATTAAAAACATATATTGATTAATTGATAAAATTATGTCCACATTGGATTTAGGTGATTGAAAATCAGAATGGCTCAATTGTAAGGTTGAATAAGGAAATAGATCTACCTTCTATAATCAGATCTATTGAATAAATGTGAATAAAAACTCTTTAATTAAAGTTTGAATTATAAAATTAAAGCATTACTATATTTCAAGAGCTATCTTCTAATACTATCAAAGATTCTTTAAGTTGTCCTTTTAAAGACATTAAAACAAGTTCGTATTTTTTCATGTCTTTACTTAACTTCTTGGTCTAAATCTTTCCTATGAGTACTGAAATAGCAGGATTGCGAAGACTCTAATTAAATTACTGTTTATAGATCTCATTTAATTATTAGGCAATTTATTCCAATTTCCATTCGTAAGGGATTGAACTAATGTCTACAAAAATTTCTCTTTCATCAAATTGTCCATTAATGATGACTCTTAGATTTTATACTTGTTTCTAAATATAAAGTTAAGTTTACTAATTCTTTTTCTGAATATTTGGACATCATCTCTACAATTTCCTCGTTGTCTTATTATTAATTAGCATTAGCTGTTTACTCAAAAAATGTGATGCTCTTCCTTCTTTTCTGACTCTGCATCTCACTGCCTTGACCTTATATCTAATCATCTTCTAGTTTCTCCTCAATAACATTTGTAGATGGTGGAGGACATATTGGCATTTTTATTGATCTTTTCTCATAAATTACACTTTTATTTTCTACTCTCTTTTCTGGAGCAACGGATGACCGCTTAACATAATTGCTTGTTCTAACAGATGAGTATGTTCTCTCAACAATTCTTCCATCTACAGGGGCTTGTTTTTATGGACTAGCTAACTTACGCAATGGTAAGGCAGTTGCAAAATGTTAATTATAAGATTATTTGCTAAATACTATCGATTAGATCATACACTTGAATCAAAGGTTTGAGATGAGCTGATGATGTGCTATCATTTGCTGATAAATCGCATTCTTTAGATTTATATTTAAAACTCTATGTAGTTGACTTTGCTCCTGATGCTTCTTTAACATACCTAATTCTTTAGCCAGAAGAAGTGTTAAACATAGGAAAGCTAGTTCTTATTAATATAAAAATAAATTTCAATTTCCTAATGGAGTTTGAATTAGCTGGAACCACTCATAAAGCTGTTTAAGGTTGGCGATTTGATACTAATGGACAGGAACCTCTTAAGCAGTAATTAATCGAGCCATCGGAACCCTAAATCCAAACATAAGGGTTTTTCGAAAAAATTAAGAATTAGTTTAATGATTTACTCAAACCACCTGACAAAGAAGTGGAATAAAGAATCATTTACTTAGATGGTAAGGTGTACCCTCAAAATAATATGCCAAATATAGTAAAAAACTAAAAGTACAACATTTTGTCATTTGTTCCTATGGTGCTCTATCAACAGTTTAAATACTTTTTCAATCTAATATTCTTGTTGATCACACTATCTTAATTCGTACCTTTGCTGAAAGTAGGGTTTTTATTTAGTTATGTTGCTCCATTAGCATTCGTATTGATCTTAACATTACTCAAAGAAGCCTACGATGATTTTCAAAGGTATAAAAGAGATAAAGAGGCCAATTCTCAAGAATACACCTAAATTGGGAAGGATAAAACAGTATAACTTTAAAGTTGGCAGTTGAAAGTAGGAGACATTATTGAGGTCCATGCAAATTAAAGAATACCTGCCGATTTAATATTGCTACACACAAACGATGTAACAGGAACAGTTTTCATTAGAACAGATTAATTGGATGGAGAAACTGATTGGAAATTAAGAAAAGCTATCAGACATACTTAAAATTATGGTTAAAACAAAAACCTAACAACTNTTTCCTCGTTGTCTTATTATTAATTAGCATTAGCTGTTTACTCAAAAAATGTGATGCTCTTCCTTCTTTTCTGACTCTGCATCTCACTGCCTTGACCTTATATCTAATCATCTTCTAGTTTCTCCTCAATAACATTTGTAGATGGTGGAGGACATATTGGCATTTTTATTGATCTTTTCTCATAAATTACACTTTTATTTTCTACTCTCTTTTCTGGAGCAACGGATGACCGCTTAACATAATTGCTTGTTCTAACAGATGAGTATGTTCTCTCAACAATTCTTCCATCTACAGGGGCTTGTTTTTATGGACTAGCTAACTTACGCAATGGTAAGGCAGTTGCAAAATGTTAATTATAAGATTATTTGCTAAATACTATCGATTAGATCATACACTTGAATCAAAGGTTTGAGATGAGCTGATGATGTGCTATCATTTGCTGATAAATCGCATTCTTTAGATTTATATTTAAAACTCTATGTAGTTGACTTTGCTCCTGATGCTTCTTTAACATACCTAATTCTTTAGCCAGAAGAAGTGTTAAACATAGGAAAGCTAGTTCTTATTAATATAAAAATAAATTTCAATTTCCTAATGGAGTTTGAATTAGCTGGAACCACTCATAAAGCTGTTTAAGGTTGGCGATTTGATACTAATGGACAGGAACCTCTTAAGCAGTAATTAATCGAGCCATCGGAACCCTAAATCCAAACATAAGGGTTTTTCGAAAAAATTAAGAATTAGTTTAATGATTTACTCAAACCACCTGACAAAGAAGTGGAATAAAGAATCATTTACTTAGATGGTAAGGTGTACCCTCAAAATAATATGCCAAATATAGTAAAAAACTAAAAGTACAACATTTTGTCATTTGTTCCTATGGTGCTCTATCAACAGTTTAAATACTTTTTCAATCTAATATTCTTGTTGATCACACTATCTTAATTCGTACCTTTGCTGAAAGTAGGGTTTTTATTTAGTTATGTTGCTCCATTAGCATTCGTATTGATCTTAACATTACTCAAAGAAGCCTACGATGATTTTCAAAGGTATAAAAGAGATAAAGAGGCCAATTCTCAAGAATACACCTAAATTGGGAAGGATAAAACAGTATAACTTTAAAGTTGGCAGTTGAAAGTAGGAGACATTATTGAGGTCCATGCAAATTAAAGAATACCTGCCGATTTAATATTGCTACACACAAACGATGTAACAGGAACAGTTTTCATTAGAACAGATTAATTGGATGGAGAAACTGATTGGAAATTAAGAAAAGCTATCAGACATACTTAAAATTATGGTTAAAACAAAAACCTAACAACTCTTAATGCATCAATCACTTGCGAACCCCCTAAATTGGACATATATGATTTCAAAGGGTTATTTAAATTAGAAGTAGGTGGTGGAGAAGGTTAGAGAGAAGCATTATCATTGGAGAACACACTTTGGTGCAATACATTTTTAGCTTCAGGGAAGCTTTAGGCTGTGGTGGTCTACACCGGAAAAGAGTGCAGATCTGCTTTAAATTCAAGAGAACCTAGAACTAAGATGGGAAGATTAGATGATGAACTAAATTAATTGGCAAAATTACTGTGTGTATTATTAGTGTGTACAGCATTTATTATTGTATTAAGCAGTGGATTTTAAAATGAATGGTTGCTTCAATTATTTAGACATGTATTATTGCTAAGCTCAATTATTCCAATATCTTTAAGAGTTAATCTAGACTTTTCCAAATTATACTTTTCCTATGGAATTTCAAACGATAAGGATATTGAAGGATCGATTGCCAGGAATAGTACTATACCTGAAGAATTAGGGAGAATTTCTTATGTTTTAACAGATAAAACTGGAACATTAACTTAAAATACAATGATTTTTAAAAAGCTATCTTTGGAGAGAATGTCTTTCTCTGTTGAAACTTTAGGCATGCTAAGGAAAATGATTAAAAAACATTGCACTAATAGTAAATTTCCTATGGAGGATATACTAAAGAAATATCAAGAGTCAGGAGGAAGAAAAATAAAACCTTTCAAAAGAAATAAGGATCAAATTGTCAGAGACTTAATTTCTGCTTTATCATTATGTCATAACGTTACGCCAGTAGAAGAAGAAGGATAAAGAACCTTTTAAGCAAGCAGCCCAGATGAAATTGCCTTGGTTAATTTTGCAGAAGATGTCGGATTCAAATTAGTCAATAGATAGTTAACTGAAATCAATATTCAAAATGCAGGAGGAACACCAGAATCATATAAAATTTTATACGAATTTCCTTTCACATCAGAACGAAAGAGAATGGGTATCATCTTACAAATGCAGGGATAAAAAGGTGCCATCTTTTATTTAAAAGGAGCAGATTCGGTAATGAAACAAAAGGTTCCTGAAGTCTAGAGAGGATTTTTGATGGATGAATGCGAAAGTTTGAGTAGAGAAGGATTAAGAACTTTGGTGATAACTTAAAAGTACTTGACAGAGGATGATTTGAAAAACTTTACTACCGAATATGAGAAAGCGAAGAATTAGATGGAAGACAGAGAGGCTCGTTGTGCAAAAGTGTTAGACTTTTATGAGAATGACATGGAATTACTAGGATTAACAGGTGTTGAAGATATGCTTTAGGAAGATATATATGCAACATTGGAATCATTAAAAAATGCAGGAATATAAATCTGGATGTTGACTGGAGATAAAGTAGAAACAGCTTAATGTATAGCAATCTCAACTGGATTGAAAAGCCCTACTTAGGAAATGTTTGTAATTAAGGATATTGAAGATTCTTTAATCCTATAGAATGAACTAAATTAATTTGCTTTAAAAAACAATAGCGTTTTAGTTATAGATGGATAATCTTTAAAGATTGCTCTTGAGTTTCAACATAACGCATTTTTCCATGTTGCTTGTAATGCTCCAGCTGTAGTCTGTTGTAGATGTTCGCCAACATAAAAGGCTTAAGTGACTGAATTGATAAAAGAGCATACTCAAAAGACAGTTCTGTCAATAGGAGATGGTGGAAACGATGTTGCTATGATTTAAGCTGCTGATGTTGGAGTTGGGATAGTTGGCAAAGAGGGAAAGTAAGCAGCACTTGCCAGTGATTTTTCAATATTAAAATTTAAACATTTAGCTGTCTTATTGTTATGGCATGGTAGATTGGCTTACAAGAGAACTTCTGTTATGGCTTAATTTGTCATGCATAGAGGATTAGTTATAGCATCAATATAAACTATATTCTCCATTGTATTTTACTTTGTTGCTATACCTATTTATAATGGTTGGTTGATGTTGGGATATGCCACTGTTTACACGATGTTTCCTGTGTTTTGTTTAATTTTTGATTAAGATGTAACGAAAGAAAAGGCTCTTGAATATACAGAATTGTATAAAGCCTTACTAAAAGGCCGAGAGTTAACAGTGAAAACCTTTTTGCTTTGGTTATTTAAATCTGTTTATTAAGGTAATTAATTATGCAATTATTTAGCTGCTGTTATTATGGTTTATAGCTTTGCTGTGTTTCAAAATACATTTTTGGATTTGGTGACAGTAACATTTAGTAGTTTAATAGTAGCTGAATTATTAAATGTTTTCACTGAAGTAAATAACTTTAGATTTATAATGTTTATTGCTGAGATGTTCACTTTAGTAGTCTATGCAGGATCAATTATCTTTTTATAGAGTTATATAAATTTAGCAGATATCGATTAAAAATTCATCATAAATGTCTTGATTTTAGTAACGATTAGTTGGTTACCATTACATATTATAAAATTGGTGTTAAGAAAATGGGACCCATCCGAATCAGACAAGATAATGCAAAAAATTAGAATTAGAAAGTGATATTATTTATAATCATCTATTCGAACAAGTACTTAATATGCGATCATATGGCCGAGTGGTCTAAGGCGCTGCATTCAGGCTGCAGTCCGAAAGGGCGAGGGTTCGAATCCCTCTGTGGTCAATTTTTTTATTTCTTGAACTTTTAAAATAGAAGAAATAAATATTCATAATTCTTTTCTTATCAAGATCTCAGCTTTCTAAATTTCATTTTTGCTTGAAATAATAACTAAATATAAAAAAAATTTAATTAAAGAATGCTAATAAAAATTATTAAAAAATCAAGATAGTTTTTTATAGGATTTGTTATTTTGCAATTCATCTAATTTCTTGTTTAATAATGTTGTTTTAAGTATTACACTTATTGGCTCACTTTTAATAGTTCTTTTAAATTTTTTATAAATTAAGAATATCCCTCTCAATTTCTTTTTCAATATTAATGTTTTCAAACAAATAACGAAGAACTGGATTAACATTATAAAATTATTAGAGCAATATAATCAAACATCTAATTTAAATCTCTTCTTGAAGCCTCCCTTTTTTTATTTGGAATCCTTTTGTATTTTTTTATTGATTTATTTTATCTTTCGATCGTCCAAGTCATCTTCATCAACTGCAGTTTTCTTTACCTTTTTTTCCAATAAGTCTTTTAATTCTTGAGTTGCTATTCTCTATAAAATAATAGTAATTTCAATACATTAGCCTCTTAAACTCTTTCATAAAACACCATTACATCAGATTCCTCTAAAGGATATTGGGATAACTCTTTTTCGATTAATTATTCTATTTTCTGATACATTTCAACATCATATTAAGTTACAAGACTGATAGCTTTTCCAGATTTTCCTGCTCTTGCAGTTCTACCAACTCTATGGACATATTCCTTTGCATTTTAGGGAATATCAAAATTAATAACCAAATCAACAAAAGGAATATCAAGACCTCTACTTGCAACATCGGTGGCAATTAATAAATTAGATTCCTTTGATTTGAATTTATTAAAAGATGACAATCTTTTGGCTTAACTCATTTATCCATGAATTGCAATAGCTTGAAATCCAAGATTTCTTAATAATAAAGTTATCTTGATTGCCATCTAACATGTTGCTACAAACACAATGGAAGTTTATCCTGCTAATTCATTCAGTAAGTAAACTAAATAGGTTTCTTTGTATTTATCAGGTATGAATAGGTAATTTTGTTGAAGTGTAGAAACAGTCTAATACTTTGAAGAAACTTCAATTTTGACTGGATCCTTAAGAGAAGCTCTCTATAATTTACTGACCTTATTTGTCATAGTTGCTGAAAATAAATAAGTATTTCTTTCTTTTGGTAGGATGTCAAGAATTGCATTAATTTCTCTTTCAAAATCCATATTAAGCAATTTGTCAGCTTCATCCAAAACTAAAAATTTTAATTATTTTAAATTGAATCCTTTCGTATTCTCTAGATGATAAAGAATCTTTCCAGGAGTTCCAATAATTATGTGTGGCTTTTAAGCTAAAGCCTTTGCTTAAGCTAGTGGATCCATTCCTCCCAAAATAACTACAGACTTTAATGCTATCGAAGCACCAATAGCCTGGAAGTGTTCTTAAATTTAAACACACAGTTCTCTAGTAGGAGATAATATTAAGGCATAATAAGGCATTGGATTTGCTAATAAATGCTGCAATATTGGGAGTCCAAAAGCTAAAGTTTTACCAGAACCAGTCTCTGCCAAACCAATAATGTCTTTCTAAAAGATTAATATTGTAATACTTTTTATAGAGTATAGGGTAGGGATTATTATTGAATTGGAGTAGGTGTTTTATATCCTAACTTTTCACATGCTGAGCACAATTCCTCACAAACACCTAGTTCTTTAAAAGTCGCACTGTTTATTTGTTATTCTTCTTATTAATCCATAAATTAATATTTTAAAATAATTTGTAAAATTAATTACTTTGTAATATTCTTTTGAATAAATCATTCTCTGCTAGCCATTACATCCTCTGAATACGTTTATTTTTCAACAACTAGTTTTTTTCCTTCAAATCCTGAGACTTATCCTGGTTCAAACGGAGCTGCTCTTCTATTTCTGTGATACTTTCTAAATAGATTGAATATATATATTATTTTACATGAATTCCAATCTATTCAAACTCTACATGGCTCCTTGTGGAAAGTAATGATTTGGAGTATGAGATTAATTGTCTGTAGCTGGTTATTAGTAGAATGGCTGAACAAAATGTGAATGACCTGTTCTGGTTGGGGCTTCATCATATACATGAGCCATCCAACCATGCCAAACAGGAGGGACTCTATCCCCAAGAGTATGCCATGGGTTAAAGTAGTCATTATATTCGACCCACCTTCTTTGATTACGATCTATCGAATTCCATTAATTGTTTACGTGTGACATCAAAATCTTCGTAGTATTTATTGCCAAATTAATCTTGTCCTACACATTATATCGGTCCATTCTATCCTCCAGCATAATGACTGGATCTAGATTATGCTCTGTGCATTCTGATGTATGTTTACCAGAATCCTAATTAGTTATGTTATAATTACCTTCTCTTCTCACTAAAGTCCAAAATTTTGGTGTTAACATTTAATTTAGTGTCCATGCCCAAAGACCCATTTTCTAAAATTAATATTATTTAAATAATAACTTTACCTAATAAAAATTCACTCTTCAAGTAGATTGAAAAGGCATTTTTGCTATTCTAAACAACAAAAATTCATCAATTTATATTTATAACTTCAGGTTTAATTATTAGGTGATGTAAATAGTAAATATAACAGGACTTAATAAAATTAGCTATAACAATAATAAATTCTGAATAGATTTTTGAATATATACAAGTGACATTAGACAAAATTAAAAGCAACTGAGAAGGACTACACAAAATAATGCATATGCTGATGAAATCAAATAAATAAATAATATCTAATAAAGTTTATCAACTTATTAGTTTTCAAATGTATGATAAATTATAAATATTTTGAAATAGCAACTAGATCCATTGCAGTATAATAACAAAATGACTTCTTAATAAAAAGAAATTGAAGAGCATATAATAAATGCAATACTATGGTTTAATTGAATTTTACTCACAAATTTGTAAAGCAGCACACAGAAAGCATAGGTGATACTGAAGATTAAATGACAAGATGATAATTATTGATAAAATTCTAAAATATTTACATTATTTATATTACAATTTTATGAAGTAATTTATACCATAAATTATGTCAGAGCCTTTTTAGCTAACAAAAAAGGATAAGTGTAAAATAATCAATATTGATTTTTATGAAATGTATAAATCAATTAGAATATAGATAGTTTTATTGCCATGATTGATTCGTCCAATAAATTGTATATATTTGCCTTAAATACATTGCTTCCAATTTATTATCTTGAGGTACCAATTTAGGTAGTTAACATCACATTCGGAAAAAAGTCAGAAGAAATAGCAGTTTTCTCAGAAAAAGAGATATTAATTTATTCATTACAAGATGACATAATCTTTTAGAAGAAAATGGAAATACTCAATTTAATAAAATTTGATTTTATTGACAAAGATTATTTGATTCTTACCTAAACTCATTTATAAAACTCAATTATGTAAGTTGATACAATTGATCCAATTACATTCGAAAAAGTTCATTATTAAAAGAATTACAATTTATTGATTCTTTTTTAAGATTCAATTTAGTTATTTAACAACTTAAGTCCATATCTAAGCTATCAATAAAAATTTAACAATAAATCTAAGTTAAGGTATGATCATTAATAGTAATTGATATGTGTTTTTGAAACAAATTAATTGAGTATTTTCTTTATTTTTCATGATCAAATTAAGCATAGACATACATTATCACTGAATATTGAAAAAATTTAGGATGGTTGTTTTTTTTCCCTTCCATTTTATAAATAACCTGGCTTTTATGGAGATTAGATTTTTATATACAGTATTTAATTTATTGACTATTTCAAGTGGCGATGACTAGAGGTAAGCTTGGTAGTTAGTTTTAGTTTGTCGACTAAGATGGAGATAGATAATGTATTGGTAATACATTTTAAGAGAAAAAATGCAAAACCATTATTCCAATATCAAAGTGGGGAAATAATCTACTTGTCTTATTTGAATAGGGTTGCTTAAACAGAATTAAGTTATATAAGTTTCCACAATTTGAAAAACTGGATTTTAAATTTCAATATTACCCTAAAAATGAAACATATAGTGAATTAGAAGATGAATTTGATAAGAAAATCAAATAATCATCTATTGAATTAAAAGAGGATTAATTTTCCTAAAGAATACTTGATCCATATTATTCTTATTGTAATGAACTCATTTGAAGATTATCATGAATATTATTTGAGTTTCTTAAATTTGAACTATAATTTAGTATAATTAATTATTTTATGATTCCTTATTATTATGGCAGCATTATAATTGGCCCAAGTGGTGTTGGAAAATCCACTCTTTGTAAAGGATTGTTATAAATGATGGAATAAATATAAAGAAAATCCATCATAATTAATATGGACCCAGCGAATGAAGATTCATATGAAGATTATCTATGCATCAATATTTTAGAGCTTATAACTGTTGAGGATGTGATGAAAATGTTTAAATTAGGGTATGTTTATATAGTAATTAAGGCCTAACGCAGCTTTGTTATATTGCTTCTAATTTTTGTTGGATAACATAAAGTGGCTTTTTGATAAATTATTGAAATATCAAGATTATTATCTCATTTTTGATTTTCCAGGTATTAATTAATGTCAAAATAGGATAGATTGAATTGTATTTGGCAAATGATTCAATTTACAATCTAATATAATCATTGACAAACAAAAACAATTAAACATTATAATTATCATTGGTGGCTGTACAATTATTTGATTGTTTAAATTGTTATTAAGTGAACACATTTATCTCTGCCAGTCTTGTTAGTGTCACTGTATCTGCAAATTTATCATTACCATACTTAGCTGTTTTAAATAAATTAGACTTAATTAAACAATATGGAGAGATGCCATTAAGCTTACAATACTATTTGGAAGGTGAAAATTTGAAATATATGTTGGAAGTCACTGATTAATATGATGAAGAGGGATAAAAATTTAAGGAAAAATATGGACAACTAACATACAACATTGCAGAGCTAATTGATTCAAAAGAGGTTGTTAGTTTTGAGCCGCTCTATGTTGAAAATAAAAAATTAATAATGAGATTAATACTAAAAATGGATAAGGCTAATGGTTATTACTTTTTGGAAAATCTACCCCCCATATATAAATCTATACAAGAAGATGTAGGAGAAGAAATAGATTTCCTTCCAACTGAATTGGTTATGGAGTTGGAAACTGAATTATTCGAAAGTAATTGATAATGTTATTTATAAATATAAATCATGCAAATTTCTTTTAAAATTTGATGAAACTCTTTGGCTTTAATATTTATAAAAATAAAATATTTGAAAATTAGAAGGTTTAAACTTATTTTGCAAAGTGTAATTAAAATGAAAAATCTAAGATAAATTAAGTAAAAAATATAAATTCTAATAAAAACATAACATGTGATTTGCTTAAAATTATAACTGTTCTTAATAAATATAATTCAATCTTATGATATTAATTTCAACGTAGGTTCTGATTTTTTGACTTATTATTACTTCATATTTTATTGCATTTTGGATTTCCAATCTTAAATTTCATCAAAAAACACCTTTTCTTTTTGATTTAAACATTTTGGTGTATTTGGATTTTGAAGAACTTTCTAAAAGGGTTTATGGATTCTTTTTGAAACAACTTATTATTCATTTTAATATTCTAAATTATAAACTCTTATCACATGTTCATTTTTTATTTATTTTGCCTCTTTTAAGTCTACAGAAACCTCTTTAAATTACTGCTTTTTCATAAAATTGTTTCTGAAAGTATTAGTGGTTACCTAAGGTTCCACCGATGATTTAATTATCCTTCTATTGCTCAATTCTTGTTTTATATTTTTTGAAATATATTCTTTTCCACTAAACCCTACAGCAGAATTGGGCCTTATTCGTTATAGGCGAATCATCAAATCCTTTTAATCATCTTTAATTATTCTTTAAACAGAAGACTAGGGTCTATTTTTTAATTGTCTATGAACTGAATGCATATTTTCTATTGTATCTAATGTTATAATTTAAGGTACTATGGGCTTAATTTCTAAAAACTAAGATTAGTTGTTCCTTTCAGAATCTGATTCATTTATGATTTCAATCTTGCTTTCTTTAAAAGAACAGATACTTTTTTCTTTTTTTGAAATCGTTCTTGAGAATTATTAATTCATCATTAAGCTAGAAGGAGTATCTCTAAGGTGTACTTTATCAGTTAGATAACTGATGAGTTACTAGTATGTATATCTTTTTTAAATGTTTTTAACTAAAATCAATTTTATTATTTGAGATAAAATAGGGAATTTGCTCTGATCTGTGGGTTGAGGATCTTTATAAATAATGTTATATGCAAGAATTTTGTCATTGTCACCATTAAAAGGCATCCGATTGTTTGCAAGGAAATATCCTATTATACCAATACTCCAAATTCCAGAATGAGTGGATTCTTTTCTCAAAACTTCTGGAGAAGCAAAATTTAATGGGGTGGCATTTAGTGATAACAAATCGATCTTAATTGAATTAATAACAAACCTTAATATTTTTGTATTCATCGAGAAACAAATTTTAGAGAGTAACTGTTGCTTATATTCCCTTTAACTCAGCAATGTTTAGTGCTTAAGCAAGTTATAAAATTATGGATAAAATTTTTTATTCTCCAAAACAACCTGCTCCGTTAATCGTTTACAAGGGTTCACTATTTTATATAATACACATCATTCCATTTTCTTACCATCTATTCACAATTATTAGAAAATTTGAATGATCAAGCTGACTGATTCTATCATCATAATCAGAAGATGCCTATAATGTTAGAATATATTCTTTTTTCGTTTTCTTCTCGATACACAGATATTTATTTATACCAAGCTTTTGCGCTTTCTCCAACTATTATAATTACATAATTAATTTTAATTTTATATTTATAATTATAATAAACAACTCCACTCAAAATTTCATCTCTAAGTACAATGAAAATGAGGAATTCAATTCTAAATTTTTGATAAGTAGATTAATTAATTAGATAAATTAAATTGTTGAGTAAATGAATGATAATATTTTGATTAACTGAATGATTGAAAATAATAAATGAAAACTGTGTAAATCCAAACTTCCTGTTTTCCAAGCAGTTTTGGATTAGAATTCACATCAAAATTAAGAAAATTTAAGAAGAATCAATATAATTAACTATGCAATAATTTATTTAAGCGTTACTATAAAGGTATCTAGGGAAAGTGAAATTCAATACATTACTTGCATCCTAGACTATGTTTCATTTAATAGCTTTTTGTATTTCACTTTATTAAAATGAAGAGGAATTCAAAATAGAATTACACTATATTATTTTACTTATTAAATCAAGTCCTGATACCAAGATTTTGTAGGTTCTATTAACATCTTATACTTTAATTAAGAATTAATAAAGTATTTAGAGATTAGACTCGTAAATTTAGCTTGATAAAATCCATATTTATAGACATTGCCTGAAAATTAGAACAATAGTAATTAATGTATTTATTACTAATCCAAAAGTAATTTCTGCTTTTTTTCAAGATTATTATTATAATTAAATATATAATATTATTTTAATCTATTACTTATTTATACTAAATATTGTAATAATAAAATTATTCATAAAATGCAGAAGAATTTGATGAATAGAACAATTTGTTATCTTTCTAGAAGAAATTATTTTTGTATTTATTGAATCAAGAATCTTATTATTGATTTAAGTGAAAATTTTTCTAATTAAAAGAAATAAAAAAGTAATAAAAATTAATCTATGCAGATTATATTTTGTACTAAAAAGAAATCATTCATATCTCAGGTTTGAATGCAATTAACATTTTTTCTGATTTTAATTTTGAATTTTAATCAGATTCTGTAGTTGTCCTAAGATTTACAACAATTTATCTAATTTAATAAATATTGTTACCTTCGCATTTTTATTGAAGATTTAGATACGTTTTTCAATTTCATTAAATTCTTTTTCAGCCTTGATTCTTTAGATTTTTACTATTTCCAAAGTTATTTAAATAGATTGGCTAACTTTGATTTTGATTTAATTTTTTTGAATAGATTCTTTAATGAGGCAAGTAAGAGAACATAGTATTTTTTCTTATAAGCCAAGATTATGCCTTTTACAAAAGGGTAGCACAATATTATGCAGAGAATAATAATAACTATTTATAATTAAATAGATAACACTTAATTATTTTGTTGCTCGCATACATATTTAGCAGCAGCAAGGAAAATTGTAATGGAACAAATTTAACCAGCTTATAAGTCTAAGTGATTAAGCTTTGAAATATTGTATGGTTTATATTCAACAGCTAGCAATTGGTAAAGTAGTAAACACAATCCTAGTAAAGAAGCCTTTAGCAAAACTTGAATTTCAAAATAAGTTAGAACAAGTATAATAATTGTTTTTTTGGTTAATTTTATTAATTCCCAAAAGTAATTTTTCCCATCATATTCATTAAATAAATAAGAAATGTGTCTTCNTATCTAGGGAAAGTGAAATTCAATACATTACTTGCATCCTAGACTATGTTTCATTTAATAGCTTTTTGTATTTCACTTTATTAAAATGAAGAGGAATTCAAAATAGAATTACACTATATTATTTTACTTATTAAATCAAGTCCTGATACCAAGATTTTGTAGGTTCTATTAACATCTTATACTTTAATTAAGAATTAATAAAGTATTTAGAGATTAGACTCGTAAATTTAGCTTGATAAAATCCATATTTATAGACATTGCCTGAAAATTAGAACAATAGTAATTAATGTATTTATTACTAATCCAAAAGTAATTTCTGCTTTTTTTCAAGATTATTATTATAATTAAATATATAATATTATTTTAATCTATTACTTATTTATACTAAATATTGTAATAATAAAATTATTCATAAAATGCAGAAGAATTTGATGAATAGAACAATTTGTTATCTTTCTAGAAGAAATTATTTTTGTATTTATTGAATCAAGAATCTTATTATTGATTTAAGTGAAAATTTTTCTAATTAAAAGAAATAAAAAAGTAATAAAAATTAATCTATGCAGATTATATTTTGTACTAAAAAGAAATCATTCATATCTCAGGTTTGAATGCAATTAACATTTTTTCTGATTTTAATTTTGAATTTTAATCAGATTCTGTAGTTGTCCTAAGATTTACAACAATTTATCTAATTTAATAAATATTGTTACCTTCGCATTTTTATTGAAGATTTAGATACGTTTTTCAATTTCATTAAATTCTTTTTCAGCCTTGATTCTTTAGATTTTTACTATTTCCAAAGTTATTTAAATAGATTGGCTAACTTTGATTTTGATTTAATTTTTTTGAATAGATTCTTTAATGAGGCAAGTAAGAGAACATAGTATTTTTTCTTATAAGCCAAGATTATGCCTTTTACAAAAGGGTAGCACAATATTATGCAGAGAATAATAATAACTATTTATAATTAAATAGATAACACTTAATTATTTTGTTGCTCGCATACATATTTAGCAGCAGCAAGGAAAATTGTAATGGAACAAATTTAACCAGCTTATAAGTCTAAGTGATTAAGCTTTGAAATATTGTATGGTTTATATTCAACAGCTAGCAATTGGTAAAGTAGTAAACACAATCCTAGTAAAGAAGCCTTTAGCAAAACTTGAATTTCAAAATAAGTTAGAACAAGTATAATAATTGTTTTTTTGGTTAATTTTATTAATTCCCAAAAGTAATTTTTCCCATCATATTCATTAAATAAATAAGAAATGTGTCTTCTAAGTTTCATAGATTCAAATTAGTCTCTCAATCTATACATTAGTGAGAATAGAGAAAAAGGAATCAATAAGCAAAATATTCCGAGTCCTGGAAAAATAAACGCAATCATCCATTTATAATGAGTTGGTGACCAGAATTCTAAAGAAACATCTCCTTAAATAAAACTTAAATCCGAAATTTCTCTTTTTGAAATCACTGAACAAAGCCTATTTTTGATAAATTAATTACATTTTAATTAATCCCCCAAAATTAGATACATATAAGTAAATTAATGTATTTGAAATGGTATCATAATTATATTACTATTAAGGCGCCTATTTAGTAAGATAAAAATGAATTAACGATAATTTTTAAATCAACAGGAATTGAAATAGCATTAAAACAAGCATTGTTATAATTCTTGAGTAAATTAAAGAAATTTCTTCTAAATCGGATAAATAACAATCTAAATTGTTTGCCATAAAATAAGAAGTGTTACTAGCTTGATCAACAAAAATAAATGAAAATGAAAAGCTAATATTAAAAGTGAAAATAACAGAATATATCCATAAATAATTTAAAAGCATTTTTAGAAATACACTTTCATGATCTAATTATGATAATTTTATACCTTAACTTAATTTAAATATAATCAGAAAATGCCTTTCTCTAAGTTTCAAGGATGTAAACAATTAATTAGACGTGTTTATGCTTTTCAATGATAATATAATAGACAGTAGGGCCCTAAAATTAAAATGTCTCTTACCAGATTGTCGTCAATATAAAAGGGAGTATGCTATCCTAATCTCCATAGCAACTTAAGCAACTCTGATCTTACGATGTTTTAATAAATTTTCCACTTCCCCTAATATTTTATGTGTCACATTCTTCACATAAACCTCCAATATGCCCTACACTACATAATTCATCGCCTGTATTCCAGCCACCTTCGCAAAACTTTGGATTCTTGAAACAATAATCAACTGAATCAGATAACATATTAGGCCTCCAGTAGCCCTCCAAAAGTTATATTTTATTTGAAGTTATGCTAAAAAATTTCGTTTTATCAAAAACAGAACATTTTGTTGTATTGTAAGTGACAGAATAAAATCCTTAATTAGATGAACATATCTAACATCCATTATCAACATAAAATTCTCCTAATTAACATAAAAAACCTTTAGTTTTGATGATATAACCAAACTCTTTCTATGAATTCCCTGTTTAACAATTAAAATAAATAAGAAAGTGGTCATAAGTATCAAAATAAGGATCCAAAGAAAATGAAAGTAGACTTAAATCAAAATTATTATTTTGATTATCATATTCTATTGCGGCTTTTTACTCTAGTTACCCATTGTTTGATTATTTTTCTTTTAAGATTTTCTATTAACTTATACGACAAGTTGAATTGACTTTTTTGAAATCTTATTCATTTCTGCTATTCATAAAAAACAAGGAAAAGTCAGAGATATATGTGAAGTATCTTTGAGATTATGGTTGATATAATAAATAACTTTATATTTATTAATTACTTGGAAGCATTAAGGTATTTGATATTTTATTTTTTCCTTACTAAATAATATTATAAGGCTTCAAATTCATAATATTTGTTTAAGTGTTATTTTGAATCTATGATAGTGACAACATTTCTTTGCCATTAATAAAAAGAGCTAAGTGATTAGGAGTTTCAACTAGATTATTTCCATAAGAAGTAGCATCATTAAAAAGCAGACACGACAAAACAAAATTTAGATCATTTAACTTATTATCCCCTGCTAAATAAATACCTCCTCCTTCACTTGCTTTATTAGATAAAATTATTGTTTATTTTATGAGTAATGCACTATTGATTGCAAATAAATGAATTCCACCCCCAGATATTGTGGCCTAATTTCCAAGAACATAAGAATTTTCTAATTTAAGAAATATATTTGAAGCCATTATTGCTGCTCCAATACTCGCTTTATTTTTGATAAAATTTGAATCCTTAATTTAAATTTTAGGATACAACTAAGAATTTACAGCGATATTTAAGCAGCCATATTCATTTATTATATTGAAACCACAATTTAAGTCTTAAATCTTTAATAGATTACAATTTTCTATTTATAAATAAATAATGCCCTTATAACAGTATTTACAAATATTATCTTGAATATCCACCTTAGACAATATTAATGAATGTTCGATTGAATTCATCGAAATCTGCATTAAAGAGCTAGATTTTTAAGCTAATTCTATTACACTTTCGATAAAATCATTTAAATATATCTTATCTTCTTGATTAATTAAATTGTTCTCTAAAACACATCCTTGGTTACTAGAATCAATATATTTCTAAAAATAGACAACACTGGAATTTACTGAGTAGGCTGAATTTTTTATAATTTAAACCCTATCTAAATAAATGATGGATTTAATCTTCTCTGTTTGGCTTATTGATATCAGATTGAACGGATAAGCGGTCTAGGTTTATGAGAACCAACATTCTTTCATTTTCAACTTAACAAGATTATTAAATTTAAGAATTGGGGATAAAAAGATTCCCTCTATAAGAAATTTTCTTATTTAGATGCTCCCTCCATCAATTGCAATTACAGCATTTGTATTACCAATTATATTTGATATTTCAGATTAAGATATAATTCCAATTTTGCCAAAATATTTAATCAAGAATTCTTATTTTTAAATTGCCTTAAAATTTTATACATTCACAATGTTTGATTGTTAGCTTAAAGTGTTAAATTAAATGCTAAAAAATTGATTCATCAAAGAGATGCAATTTATAATTTAGATATCACCCAAATTAATTTTATTTCCTTGAACTGATGTTTATACAGTAAGGATTGTTGAAGACATCCTATTTAAGATGTTTTCAAACTTTCCTTATACTATTTTTAAATTTAAAATACTATTTTGTGAATATACTGCTATGCAACCAGTGCTGCTTATTGAGTGTAGATTAGTTTCAATATTATATGCAGCTATATTATTTAATACTATATCTCCTTGATTTTAGGTTTGAATTTCAAAAATTGCACTTTGAAAAGCAAGGATATTTTGAAAATAGCAATTTGTACATGAAAATATTGAAGCAATTATTTATCCTGCTCCTCCTTTATTTAGTATTTTGAAGGAGTTTTGCACTGCTAAATTGATATCTTCTTAATCAAGATCCTAATTGAATTTAATACCAAAATAACTTTCCCATAGTTCTTAAGGCAGTATATTATGATTAAATACCTAATAATTAGTGATTTAAATTGAATATGAATTTATAGTAATAAAGGAGTTTGATGAATTTGTTACAGCATTTAATTCACAAAACAAACTATGTATTTCCACATTACTTAATAATGATTATATATAAATTAATCCAGCCTGTGTTTCTAAAGGGTTATCAATAAACTAATGTAAAAAGTTGCTCTTAAATTATATTTTATCAATAAAAATCAATAATTCGTCATATGAATATATCGCCAATAAAGAAAATAAGTCAGCCTTCTCCTTTTAAATTAAGATATTTTTTTCAAATCTAATATTTGAGAGTTCCACTCTACCAAAAGAATAATTGAAAAATTATCTCCCAAAGTTAACCTATATCTAAGAATAAATGGAGCTGAATTGATTATTTATATCAACATCTTTTAAGATTAATTTTGAAAACCCTAATAGTTATAAAAATTAGGCATTTTTGAAATCTAAAGCTTCCCAGCATTTCAGGTTAAGTGGAACCCTTTATGTAGATTAGGTTGATTGAAATGTAACATTCTTCATAAAAACTTCTTCATTTTCAATGATATAAAAAACAAGACAATTTCTTGTATTTTGGATAACAGCATTCTGTAAATAAAATTTAGTACTATGAATCTTAAATAATTGAAGTTAAGTATTAGTTTTATCTGCTCTATCTAATTCTGATATATAAATATCAGATATCTAAAATACAATTGTGTTCTTTGTCAAACTTGAAAATATTAAAAATAATATAGCATCCTAAAGAATATTTTCTCGAGCCTAATAATTATTTATTATACAAAATAATTTATCCTAACTTAAAGCATTTTTAATTTTTATAAATTAAGATTAAATAAATGTATTCTAATTAGTTTAGACATTGGACAATTCTAAATTAAAATCAAAGAAAATTACTGTTGAAAATCTTACATCGTTCATGTTAAATTCTAAATTTTATAAATTTAAGTTGAAATAATTGTCACTGTTAATTAGATAAGAGTTAACAAAATTAGAGTTAGTGATAGTAACATTTGTTAGATAAACAAAATTTATAAACTTTGAATTGTTTGATACAAATTAAAAAAATGATGAATTATAAATTTAACATTAATTAATGGTTACCTTTTGAATTAAGATAATAAATTTGTTATTTGCAAAATTGAATAGGTTTGAGTTATTGAGAATACAATTTTCTATTAATAATGTCTCTATTTCAATATAACCTTCGAATTTTGAATATTCTAGATTAAAAAGTTAAGAGTTTTCTAAAGTCAACCTCTTAAGCCTTAATCCTTTCACCGTAATATTGCTAAAAAACTCAGATAAAAAAATAGTATTGTTTCTGATTACGCTATCTTAAAGTAAGACTTCATGTAGTTTTAAACCTATCTTATTTTTGTGGTTCTCTAAAATAAAGGCTGAACATTTATAAATCCCATCGCATGAATCTCAACTTAATCAAAATTTTAAATTAAACTTGAGGAACTTAAATTAATGAGACAAGAGGACTTGGAATTTATTTTTAAATTCGTGCTATTAAGTGCAAAAATTTTAGTTTTCAAATTTGTCCAATAAATGAGAGGGCAAAACAAATAGCAAATCTCTTCAGTAAATTCATTATAAAAAGTATAGTCAATTGTAATTTAATCAACACCAACTGAATTGCAATATTCTATATTGATACTACTATCTTCATAATGAGTAAATATATCTCCCACTTAATTTTCACAAGACTCAAAGATATCATCAGAAGTAAATATTAATGAGAAATGTGTTTAGCAATCATCAAAAAAGCAATACTTTGCAATTTATGTATAGGAATCTATTACTACATTTATATCCTTTATTGGCTTAAGGCAAATCATAGTATATATTTTATTATTTTCAGACAATTGAAAGCTTGGTTACAATTTCTATTATAGACTAAAGAAATACTTTAATTTCGCTCTATTCACGATTTCTACAAACCTCGCATAATTAAGGACAAGTAATACATTAACCATCCTCTTATTTTCTAATTGGAATATTAAAATAATTTGGAGGGCATTTTTAACAAATAAAGTTTTCATAAGATTTTTCACGTTTTTAACAATCTTAGCTGCATTATTTTACACATTAAGAATAAATTGATAGGTCATATCCTTAGGTACATTTAGTAGGCATAGCAACAATTGCTGAAGTTTATGTAGTTCTTAGTGGATAATAATAATTGTTTGGCAAAAATCTCATCATAAAACTCTAGATAAACCATGACCATGCATTATTTTCATAAAAGTCTCCTTCCATAACAATGATTGCATTATCTATTTTATGTTAAAAACATGTTCCTGTTTGAATTGAATTCTTGTAACCAGGTTCACAGATAATACATTGAATTTTTTCATCTGGAGTTAAGAGACACTACTGGCAATTCATTTAGTATTTTTAACAATTTATAATTTCAGGTGAAATCGAGAAGTCCGAAAAAGAAGATAATGTGCAAACTGCCTAACCTTAAAAATTTATGTAAGATCTTAAACAATTTATTATTTAAGGCTTTTGGTATAGACACAATCCCTAATTGAAATCAAAAATGTAGTTTTCTTCGCATAAAGCACAACCAATTTAAATTATTTCATCATTAATAAATTCTTCAAAATCCTTATATAAGGTGCATCTGATTAAAGATTCATTTTTTTGAAACTCAAAACAATATTTGCAATTTTCTATCGGACAATACTTACATTCAAAAGTTGAAGAAATATAATAAGGCGAAACACAGGTATTTCTAATATCGGAGTTAACATAAGTACAAAATCCATCAGTTAAAACAGCCTAATAAGTACACCTTGAGCATTTTAAACCTGATTCTGAAACGTAACATTATTAGCAAGCAAATAATTGGCATGAATAACAGTTAGGCTACTCATTAAAACATAAATTTTTGAATTCCTCAATTATTATTGAAAAGTCTGTAAAAATGTTCTCAATACTATCAATTCCTTTATTTTAGCAGGAGTAGCAATACTATATATTAATTCCTTCGAAAACAAAATTATTATTAGATTCGTCATAGTATGATTTCTCAATATCTCCATTGGGATTTATATATATGTCGGTTTTGCATTGTGGGTCTTTACTCCATTCCTCAGGATTTCTGAGACACTCCAAACATGTTAGCAAGTGTTCACGAATAATCGATGGGCTAAATATATACATTTTTATTACCATTTACAACATTCTTGATCATACTTAAAATAGCCATATTTACATTAATCTGATTATTAAAATTATTAAACAATGATTAATTTTGAATCCTGATAGGAATGGCAAATTCCAAAATCAATTGTGTTAATCGGACAAATACAAGCCTTTCGTTCATTTAAATATGATCTATTTGAATCAATTGGACAAGATAGGTAATCTCGATTTGTTGGCCCATCACAATCTTGGCAACTTGGGTGGCATATTTATTGAGTGAATAAATCTTCACAAATTGTAAAAGTAACATCTCTAATTTAAACTTTCAAAAAATTTGTATCGAGCTACTAACAATTACCATATAGAAGCTTAAACTAATTCTATTTAAATTATATCACATTAAAAGATTCTTGAAATTCATAAACATTTTATTTTTCAAGAAATTTTATTTAAATATTCATTTAATTCTCCTTTACTTGTATTTAAAAGTTGTGCCATAAGGTGAGATCATTTATAACATCAAATTCTGTGACAATAAGAAAAGGATCATCTAAAAAGTCTAATGTAACAATAGGAAATTTATAACTATATGTGGTTATAATTATTTTCTTTGCTACTGATGATATCTTATAAGGTAAAGTGAAGGGAGACAGATTTAAGTTAGAAAACTTTTAGTTCTCATAATTCAAACCTAACTTAATAAATTAATATTAAAAATCATCATCCTAATTTATAATTTCTTGAATTCTAATCCATCCTGATAAAAAAAAAGAATCACAATTCAGATTTTCTGAAATATAAGTTCCATAATCAAGATAATTGAGATCAGAATCAGTTATTTTATTTTTGTTGTTTTCTGTGCATTAACAATATGTATTTTTTCCTAATACTATTTTTGCTGATTCAACCAGACCCAAGCCTGGCGACATGCCTTCAATTTGAAATTTTCGCAAAACAATTGATCCAGGAAAATAAGAAAATTTAGTACCATATTAGATAGATTCTATTTTAGAATCAAGTACAATCAAGCTACCTCCAAAAGTTAATTATATTTCTTAATCTTAATAAGGGTAAGACATTGAGAGTATGTCAGAATGCAAGACTTCTATTAGAGAGAAAAGAATTATTTCTAATTAATTTAGTTTAGGAGTTCCAGAGATTCCTAAAAAATACCACACATCCTCATAATTGAAAATTTCTAATTAAGTCTGAATTTTATGCTATTCATTTTTATTATTAATGAACTAGAGTGTTTTCGAAATTGTTTTAGACTCATAATCCAAACAATCGTAATATATTAAATTCAAACTCTGATTATCTATTTATACTGCATTATGAAGCTAAAAGCAATTACTTTCTTATAATCCAACAGGACCTACTTGGGATGTAATACTAAGAGGGTTATATTTTGACCAAATACCATAACTAAAGCCATTTTTCCAGGTTAAATTATCATCATTAAAATAAATTTAGGTATGTAGCACTTAATAAAGAGGATCCAAAGGCATAACTTAGATCTATAATATTAAGTGTAGGATTATCAATAATCTCATTAATTTTTTCATTTATTTAATTATTTGTGAGAAATCATTCTTATTAATACAACTGTGGACTGTTTTATAAAAGACTTTGTTAGTTACAATAACAAAAATATAGTGAAATTTAGAAAATTCCCTTTACAAGGCTTAGTTTTATTCATCATCAATTATTTATTGATGGTGAATGATAGTTAATAATACTTGGTTTTTGTAAAAGATTTATCTTTATAATTATTTTACTTGTATATTAATAATGACGTAAAATTGGTATAAAGAACATTTATATGAAATTGATATTTTTGTAAATTCATTAACCTTGCAGAAGGCTATCATATACTTCATTTTCAATTGAATTAGTACTTTTTAAGATTTTTCTTTATTTAAACACTAACTATAATAGTGTTTGAAAATAACAATGTATTTTCATAATTTGCGTCTGAAACAGTTCATCGTTCTTCACTTGACTACTTATTCACATCTAGGGTTTGTTAAAATCATATTATACAGATATTAGGTGCTAATTTTCTTATTTTTAAATATCAATTACAAATTTACAAAATTTGTGTTAAAAATCCAGCTAAACTTTAAATGAATTTATCAATATATTTTAAATGCTTAAATTTAAGAATTTATTAATAGTTGAATGATATTGCTATTATTAACTGTTGTTGAAGAAGTTCAAAATTTACTTTACTATTTATTTGAATTCCATTTAAATATATAATAAGTTGCACCAAAATTTATTAAAATAACATAAAAAATAAAAAGCTAAGGAATAAAAAAATGAAAATAATCCAAAAAGAAGTTCAGATATTTATTATTTTTTGATTGCAGTATTATTTATACTGTTAAAATTCAATATACAGCGAAATTGCATCAAAAAGTTAAGATTGAATGTTTGATAAAAAATAATTTAAAAATAAAGATCACTTGCATAGCATTCGCAGCAAGCAAACTCCTTATTGTCTATAAATAAAAGTTAACGATTAACGTGTAATAGTTTTCTTGGATAACCCTCAGAACAAATAATATATTTTAGCATATCTTCGTTGATGAATTAACATCTAATCTACAAAAATTTACTCATTTCATCACTAATAAAATTTTACTTAAAGACCAGAATTTTACACTTAAGACATATAATTTTTGCTAACCAGAATAACCAAACTACTGCAACTGCAACTGTCGATTGAAAATTATTATTGTTTGCTTTGCTTTTAAATGTTAATTTTTTTTTAGTTCTTGTTCTTATTGATTTATACTCCTAAATCTTAAATTTTAAACTAAACAATTGAAAAATATAGATATCCTACCTTTAAGAAAAAGAATAATAAAATGGTTGTTGAGTTACCTTGATTTTAAATATGTTTTTAAAATATCATTAATCTAGCCAATTAGTGTTCTCAATGATAGCATTAAAGCTTTAAAAACTTAGACGATACTTCATTTTTTGTGAGAAATTAAGGAGAAGCTTAAGATCTCAATAATTAACCTATAATATTCTCTTAGTTTGTCCACCATCGCATAAGTCAATTCCTTTGTAGCCTTCAATAGAATTTAGTAGCTCTTCTTTTTTGTTTCTTCAAAATCTTTTTCGTGCTTATCTTGATACTAATATATCTTTCAAGTACCTTGATGAATTAATCAAAGTAGATATCAAAGAGGAAAGAAAAGTAAGGAATGTTGGTGAATTCGATCACGATGGTCTGCTTTACATTTATGGAAGGAATTATAAATATAAAGTTTCAATACAACCATTATAGAGCATATCGTTTGATCCCCAAGAAAGATTTCTTATTATTTTAACATTGAAAATATCCTTTCTTCTTGACATGTTAAAGGCTATAGTTAGATCCATGAATACAGAAAATATATATACAGAGACTATTCATTTTTAATCATTAGTTATTGGATAATCTGATCAATTAATTATGAACAGCAAAGGTGGGAAGCATTTTTTATACACGAAGGAACTATCTTAGCTGCACAGTTCTACTTAAAATGTGTAAATAGGGGGTTGGAAAGAATTTTGATGAAGTGATTTATGACCATAATCCGTCTATATTTTCCCTTTTGGATGCATTTTATTCACTCATACTAAATTGTATTCAAGTTTGGACGATTCTTCACAGTTCATTACAAAACCCCATAATGGTGAAGAAAATTTATTCACTTTAAAAAGCTCGTCAACGTAATATTATACAGCCTTCTTAGATTATGACAAATGCTAAATTGGCATCCTATCAATGAAAGATTAGAAATCATCTGGAAGTCGTTGGAATTCAAATATCAGTTATGTTTCTTGGATCTAGATAACGTCTTCTGTAAACATGGATAGAATTTATTGTAGTTTAACTAGATATCGTTTTCAATCAGGATTTCATTTATGATGGATTAGCATATATGTTAAAAAGGTTTAACAACTAAGGACTCCCAGTACTGACTATGTAAATGTGTGTTGATAAAGGACTTTGAAAGATGTGGAAGATCAAGGATGAAGAAAAGAGTCTAGTTGATTCAAATCATTTATCTTGAATTATAATTGAATTTTTAATTATTATTATTCTGAAATGCACCTTAGCATCATCTATTATTCCTTAAAATTGATAAAATTAAGAACCATTTTTATATTTTCAGTGTAATTCGTGAAGATCTGCTTCTCAAAATCGGATTTAACAGCTTACCTTTTTCAAGGCCATTACGAAAGACATCTAAAGACAAAAAATTTATGATGCAATATATTATTTGATTTGATTTACAATAAGGAACTAAGGTTCACATTTTGAATGAAATTGCGCTCAAAAATTAATTTGCCCTATCACAGATTTATCAAAATCAACATTACTTTCAGATTTTGTTACGATTACATTCATTATTCAAGTTTTTTCATCGTACAATTCAATAATGTTTTTATCATTCCAACCTAACTTAAGGATCAAATTATTATTAAAGAGTTCTCCATAATATCAACTGCTAATTTTTAAAGCATCTCAGGTAAGAAATTATTTTTAATAAGGATTTGTATATACTAATTCGGAGTGAAGCATTACATATATAATTTAAATAATATTCTATTTGATTATTAACAGACTATTCTCAATTAAAATCTAGGATTACTTATTCAGTACGAATTCCCAAGATATTTTAATTTAAGAATGTTAAAAAAAATTCCGATTAATCAAATCAATATATCCTTTCTATTTGAATTTTATATAACAGAAATAGTATACCTAATTCAAAAATTAGTTTACTGAAATATCTAATTTAATGAGATAGCCAAAATCAGAATCATAAAAAAGTAAATAAAACTTTGTTGAAAATATGGAAAAAAAATGAATTTACAGAAGATAAATAAAGGTATGCATAAAAAAGGATAGTCTAATTTCACTTTAAACTCCAAGACAATAAAAGGAGCAATATGGAATTTTGTGAAATAAAAAATACATATGAGAATTATTGGTGTGATACTAAGAATTTTCTTAAAAATTTTGTTGTTTTTTTTTCCTGTTTTTTTTTAAGCCTTAATCATTTGATGTAGTAATTTAATTGTTTATTCAATATCATTATTTCAATATTTCAATATTTAAAATTGCTATTTCTAATTTTCATTCAATAAGAGCTTTTACACTTAACCCTAACTATTGCTGCGATTATATTTTCATCAAAGATCAAGACTATGTTACTTGAAGGAATTAACATTTTAACTGTTTCCTTATAAATTGAATTCTAAGTCTTTTCAACATATTAATTGTTAATCTAATTTATTGTCAAGAAAATCACCTAAAAAAATATTCTATGAAGAAACTAACTTTTTGTAATAAAAAAAAATCTTCTCGCAACCAAAATTATAAAAATTTGTATATCAATTGAAAGAAAAATGGTGGATATTTATTATACAATTTGGCTATTAAACAATTTCTAACTGCTTAAATCTTCTTAACAAAATATCTAGCTAGTAAGTGTAAACTCCTTATCTAAAATTATATAATAATTAATGCAACTATATCATCATTAATGTCTAAATTAAACCTATTGGATTTGAGGGAATTTCTGAAAAATTTATACTAGAAATGACAAACTTTAAACTAATCGATAATTTATGAAATCAATCTACCTTAAGAAACCCTCCCTATTTGTAATTTATTAAATGACATAGATATTTGATCATACTTTTCTATTGACTTCTTATAAACGAGATTAATTACTTATAATCAAGTTTACCCATAAATACAATCTTATAATTCTTTAATCAATAATTTTAAGTAATTGATTTGAGGAGTGAGACGGAAATATTAAATTATTATTATTATTCTATTTAACATAAAAATAACTCAATCATTCAGTTAAAAGCTTTGCAATTATTTTTTCCAATCTATTACATTAGTTTTTTGGTTATTGTATTTACTAATTATTATTGAAGATGCCTCTTAGATTTATTAAAAACTCTGAAATATGGAAATTGGAATGGAAATTTATTATATGGCGGTATGAAAGATTACATTAGTGGGTCCTACAGATTTTAGGGTACAGGTAGAACAGCTAATTAAAATTATTGGGGAGAAATTTGTATATTGAATTTTAATTCATTTCTTCTATCTCGTTAAAGTAATTATTGATAAAAGTAGTTTAACCAAAGTTTCCGTTGTTCATCCTACTGATAACCTTATTTGTATGCTTTGCTATAAGAAGTTCTAGAGGGGGTAATATCAAATCTAAAAATTCGTTAGGTAAGCATTTAGGAAATCCACAAACCTTTTTAAAGCTAGATTTATATAATTTTTATAAGCGTTGAAATATGTTTTTGTATTTCTAGGTTGGGATTGAAGGACAAATATAGAGTATGTGTGGAAGGAGAAAAGTTTAGAATAATTAATATTTCTGCTTCCAATTAAGTTTTTAAGAAACCCATAGCAACTTTCCACTTAAAAATTTTAGAGTTTATTCTACTTTATCAAGCTATNCTAAGAATT